CATGAATCAATTTATATTCACAAACACACGATGAGCTCTGCCTGTTACATCCTCTTAAACCATCCTGGGTCAAGCATCACATCTTCTGCTAAACTGTGGACAAGAGACCATCCAGTTCTTTCCCATTCACAGGATCAGTCACCTGGAGACTGAAGGTATCGATCAGAATAAGTTATTTCTCCTAAACACCACGTCTTTACAGACTCTAGAGGAGAAATGTTTGCCTTAGTTGTTTTTTAGAACCATTACGATATCACAAGGATGTCTTCCACTGACATTTATTTCTTGTTTCAGAGAAAGTATTGCAGGAGAAAGACAGAGAGAAAGGAGTTGTTCAACTTTGTGGACCTTGTAGGAGGGTGTTGCTCGTGGACCGATTCAGCCAAACAGTGCTGCTGATAGAGCTGAAGCAGCCAGTCTTCACTGTTTAGCAGCACGTAGGCAGCAGCCACACTGTGACCACAGAAACCTGACAGCAGACATAAAGGAAGCCGAGCCTGTCGTCACTCATCAGTCTGTCCTCGAGAAGAAGGTTGTCGCATCCAAAGCCACAACTTCTCCTGAGGAAACAGACTGTACTGATCCAGAAAATGTTTCCGTAAAGCCGGAGGATGAGGAGGATGAAGGACCACTCATGGCCTCGACTCTATATGAAGAAACTGCTTTTACTGGTCCACAAAATGTTTCTGCAAAGACAGAAGAGGCCAAAGCGACACACATCCCACCTGGTTAGTCACATGTCTGAGGCTCTCACAGTTTTGAATAAACTTGCATCATGGTTCTTTGTAGTTTCCATAATTTGTAAAGGAGACTTGCAGAAATGATTTAATATGCTAATAACGAATAAAAAAAATAGAGTTTACAGTGATTATGTTCAGACAACGTAGAGACACCAGGATGATGAATGTGATATAAGTGATGCGTCTGCTCAGAGAGAACACACAGGAACAGATACCTACACAGTGATAAAAACAGAATCTTATTTTGGTCGCGGTGATGAACCGGTTAATACTTTTCTCTCAGCCTGTTCTTCTAACTTTCTTCACACTTCACACAGAGTCTAAAACATAACACTTCAGCTGCCGCTTCTGTTATCTTCTTTGGACTGATTTATTCTCACTTTAAATGAAACAACAAAGCATTTCAAAGTTTCAGATGAGGATAAAAACTCTACCAATGTCCTCATGCTTTATTCAGGTTTGCTTACGAAGGTCCACCTCTTCACTGTTTCACGGCTCAGATCATCATCTGATTAAATCCAAAAATCACTACTTACAATATTGACACAATTCATGAGGCCAAAGAAAGGATGATCAGTCAAATGGTGTAGCACTGTACGCTTTAGAAACTCATCAACTTCCTGTATGAACAATAACTAATATACGAGCTATAGTGTGGTTATAAATGTAATATTTCCGTGGGTATATCGTCAGGCGGTGGAAGGAACACTTCACAGAGCTCCTGAACTCCTCCATGGTGGAGACAGAGTTGGAGGATTTGGAGAATCCTCTTACCCTTAACTAAGGACGAGGTCCTCATGAAGCTCTTCAGTGGCAAGGGGCAGGTGTGGTCGAGATTCGCCCTGAGCTTCTGAAGGCTCTGGACACTGTGGGGCTGTCCTGGCTGAAGCGTCTCTTTAGTGTCGCATGGAGGTCAAGAACAATGGAGCAGCAGACCAAGAATGTGGAACCCATTTTCAAAAAGGGGGTTCGGAGGGTGCGCTCTATTTATATCACACTGCTCCGCCTCCTCAGGAAAGGTTGCTCCAGGGTGCTGGAAGGAAGGTTTTAAATGACTGTCAAACAATGTGGGTTTGGTCCTGAATCAGGACCAGGTGTTTACCCTTGTTGAGGTCCTGAGGGAGCAGTGGGAGTCTAACCATCCAGTCCATATGGATTTTGTAAACTTGGAGAAGGCCTACGACTGTGTCCTCTGGCGGTATCCTGTAGGGGGACTGTGGGAGTTCGGGGTACCGGGATCATTACAGTGACTCATCCAGTCCGTCCAGCCACAGTGAAAGCTGTGTTCCTGTTCTTGGCACAAAGTCAAACACGCTTCCGACGGGTTCAACTCTGCCAGGGTTGCTCTTTGTCTCTGATCTAGTTTATGATATTCATGGACAGGGTCTCCAAGCACAACCGCAGATAAATAATTTGTAAAGCAGAGGACTGCAAAATGTCAACTCTCAAAAACTGGGTGAAAAAAATGAGGACAATCAGCTATAATTTAAAAAGAGCAGCTGCAGACTTTTCTCTGTCAGACTCTGTCACAAACAAAACTATAAATGTAGAAAAAATTAAATACATAAAATGAAAACACAACAACATTAAATTACCACTAAACACACAGGCCCAGCAGGAAAACATGACCAGCAGTAGTGCTTTCGGTGACACTGTAACAGCAGCTTCTTTGCCAGAAACCAGTGGATTGTTCCTTCTGGCTTGTGGGTGATTTGCTGCCCCAAGCAAATTTTCGAGAACTTGTTCAGGAGTTTCACGAAAATGGGAGCGAGACGGACGGACAGCTTAGTGCCGCATCCAGTTATGTGGCCGAGACTGTGCACTTCTACAAGGCAGTCATCTTACACATGACCGATCAAAGGAAGTGACCCAGATAAACTATTTCACCCAAAGCGATCCCTGTATCCCCAAAGTGTGACACTACAATACTCTAATATTCTTCGACATAAAAGGTACTAATAAATATACTGAATAATACTATCTGTTTAACACAGGGGAATAAGCATTGGATGTCATGAGCAGCTGGAGACCAGAAATCACAAGTCAGTAACGAGTGTGTCCATATTATTGATGAGCTTGTTGATGTGACTTGCCTAATGTTGTGTCTTCCTGAAGGGCTTGGCGAATTTGACGAATGTTACGGGGGACGGGATCAAGTTGTTAAATACATCCGTCCACAGTTGTCTAAAACTATTTCTTAGCAGTCCGATGGTAGAGTTGTGAGCATTCATGTGTCTGACTACGGCTCTGACTGACATGCCAGCAAACCCTAACCCTAACCCAACAAACCGTTCTTGATTTTCTCGTGTCATCATTGGTATCGTGTTAACTGAGTAAGGCTGAATTATAAGTTGGACTTTTAGATTTAATTCCGTTCAGGTTACATACATAGTGCTAATTTGCTCAGTTTAACCACTAATTTAACAGAAATTAGATTTTTTCTGAGTCAGAAGACCATTGGCATGTTGTCTGTATATGTTTTGTAAGGACGTCCCATGCCCTGACCGATCACTGGAAATTTTAACTGATTGGCATCAACATAAAGCAATGTCAGAGTTTTTTTCTTTGCAGTGGAGCGTGGAAATGGAAACACAAAAACAGCCATCTGGTATTCCACTGGGTTCTAGGATCATTGACCCAGCTTATCTCTTCATCCATCCATCCATCCATCCATCCATCCATTATCTATACACTTTAATCCTCACTGGGGTCGCGGGGGGCTGGAGTCTATCCCAGCTGACTTAGACAGGAGACACCCTGGACAGGTCACCAGTCTATCACAGGGCTACACTTAGAGACAGACAACCAAGCACACTCACATTCACACCTACGGACAATTTACAATCACCAATTAACCTCAGCATGTTTCTGGACTGTGGGAGGAAGCCGGAGAACCCGGAGAGAACCCACGCTGCACGGGGAAAACATGGAGACTCCACGCAGGAAGATCCCGGGACGCAAACCGGCGACCTTATCTCTTCATTTAACCTGAAATTAATTGAGGTATTCACCACTTGTATGGTGGCCTGATGTCACTAATGCCTCCTCTGCACATAGATTTGATTCATGTCTGTAAATTCATTTCAGGACTGTTCCCCACAAGAATGCATCTCATTCAGGATGGATGGACAGGTCACCACAGCACGGGGAAGAGGCCAATTGGGGGCTAATAATTTAATGAAACATGTGCGTGGAGCATTACTGCCACCAAAATAGCACCAAAAATACATGGCAAGAGATCATTTGAGGGGGTTATGCTGCCACGTGTAGAGCCAGTTCTGTGAACTATTTTGTCATCGATCATACTCAACTACCTCAATATGTGTCCTCTGGATGCTACACAGCTAGCATGTGTTAAACTAGCTGAACAAGTTTCCTTTGTAATAACACAGTTCAACATTTTTCCAACAGAACGCCTCATTTTTATATAGTTTTGCTTTATACCTGTAAGTCCTCATAATACAGGGACTGTGCTGTCCTGGTGTTCAACAAGGGGAAATGCATTTTATAGCTGTGAGACAGAATCAGAGGCTAACGCTTTTATTGAATATGTATACGGAGCATTACTGTCACATTCACAAAACCAAAAGCAAGAAACGAGTTAGAGGTACAGGGACATACGATGTATGAACCATGAACCACTCAGTATGTGCATCGTCTCTACGTTACACAGCTAGCATGTGTTAAGCTAGCAAAACAAGTTTCCTTTGTACGGGACTGTCAACGAGGTCAACCAACTGAATAGTCTCTTAGGTAATTAACTTTTAAAACTTCCTTTTCTCTTTTTTTTAACACATTGGAGGCAAATTCGAGACTGGAAAAAAAACCAAGAAGATTTGCAGATTTATCAGAGAATGAGGAGGCTCTCGTAGGACTGAACCGAGTTCTGGTGGATTCTCATATGAACACAGTTTTGTGGAAAAGCATGCAGGCCTCATACTTTACTGTCTAAACTCCCACAATGCTCTCTGTTTGCCAACATGGAAGTAAATAACATCCACCGCTGTCCCTGCCGTAGACTGTATAAAAATATGTAAACATGTAAAATGATATACAGTCCATGGTGTTGCCTGACAGGTCAGACGCACTTCCTCTGATGCAGGATGTGACAAGCTGACTAACCTCATTTATTTTAGAACAACCACATTAAACCACAACGCATCATGTTAAACAGGAAAACCAAAAGAAGCACCTACGTCAAACGTTTTGGTCCATAAACCTCCTAACAACTCTGTCACATAACACGCAATTCAGCACACAGACGACTTCATATTATTTATTTGTTCTGTATGACAAAAACATAATCAGGCTAATAATAATCTGGCTACGTTTCTCCATAAAACACCATCTATCATAACAACAAATGTGTGATCTGTAAAAAAAGATTTCATCATCAGTTTTTTTGACTTAAAAACAATAAGCTGCCCTTAGGTGGTGACAGTTACAGTGAAAAACTCTTACATGCATTCTTTCTCATTCTTTCCTCAAAATACCAGAATATAAAACGTTTTTTTTCACTAATGTGAAGACACTTAACATTCAAACCATGACAGACATCCATGCATTGCCGACACACGTTAGTCCGATTTACAAATGCACATTTATTGTCGCTGAGGCCTGTTTAGCTGCATATCGGCACCGTAGTCAAAGCTGGTCAGTGTGCACCGTTCATAAAACGCTCTTTGTTTCGCTTGTCTAATGGCTTGTTGAAAGGACGCTTTGTGCAGCGCTGGAACAGAATGTGCCTTTCTTCTGTCTAGTTGGTAGGCTCAGCGGCGGCGGCGGCGGCGGCAGCTTCAGCTCCCTCAGGCTTGGCCTTGCTGGATATGGAGTAATGGTAAGACCTCATGGACTCCTCCACCTTCTTGAAGTCAGGACGCTCTTCATGCCTGGTGAGAGGAGAGGGCCAGAAACAGCTGGATTAACGGCGGAGATGATTGGAAGGGAAGTCACAAGATCTTAAGAGCATCTTAAAAACAACACATCATACAGCGCATTGTATTTATTTCTGGCTAACTGAGGTAATTCATGTCTTTCAGCGACAGAGCTGTGTTTTGAAGATCGACCCAAGACTGTTATCGCTGTTGGATTTTGTTCAATAATCTGCTGACATGAGACTGTTTAGAATCAAGTTCCCAGATGACTGAAGAAGGTGTCGCATTAGGAATCATATAAATTTCATTATTTCATCTAGACATAGTTTTTAGTTTATTTTCTAACTGTAAACTGTGATGCTTGTTTTTATGCTGATGATGCCGTTCTATCTTCCAAACCTGTTTCCCTCCAGGTTAAAGTCTGTTTCAATGGTCTCCACACCTCTTCTGTGAGTTTAAAGCTACTCTACATTCTAGGGAGGAGAAAAAAGCATTTCGTAAAGCACATGGCTGTGATAATCGTACTCTGATCTGTACACATAACAACTGTTGACAGACTCCCATATGGTCTAGCGGTTAGGATTCCTGGTTTTCACCCAGGCGGCCCGGGTTCGACTCCCGGTATGGGAACAGGTTTTTAGTCTGTGCAGGGGTACTGTAGTGTAAAATGACAACATCCTGCCAGCTGGGACTTCATCACTAGTGTATCCAGTCACATTAACAGAGGCTGGCTCTGCATGTTGTTGATATGAACCACCCCAGGCCACATTACTGTACACATTTGAATGGACTCTTTGGAATGCCTTTAAAACATTGCTGTTTATTGCAAAGGTCAAACTGATGTGGTCGCTTTTCTTTCCATTATATATGAATGGAAAGAATCCTGACCTCCAGCATGTGGACACCTATGTATCATGTACAACCAATTATGCTGTAACTATATATAGAATATACTTACTGTTTAAATAAAAATAGAAATGTGATGAGATAGCAGATTGCCCTACTAAACTCTTTTTTTTATATATATGATACAACACAGCTTGTTTTTCCTTTATGAGAGAGAATAAAAACACATTGTGCAGGAAATCATTTGCTGTTTGCTGGTGCTGTTCAAGTTTCCAGTATGAGGCCAAGCTAACTAACTTGCTGGAACATTTAACATTGTTAGTAAGTTCAAAGCGAACCATCACCAGATCCAGATTTCTGTTCTGCAAAACAAACTGCGGTGCTATTTTCAGACGTTTTAATATCTGTGACTGTTAGTGGGGTATATGTGTGCATGAGGACTCCTCTATGGGAGTAAGTGGTGTTATATTTGGTGTTTTATTTATTATTTGTTCTCATGTCTGTCTCCGGCTAAATTCATCCATCCATCATCTATACACCGCTTAATCCTCACTAGGGTCATGGGGGGCTGGAATCTATCCCTGTTGACTCAGGGTGAAGGCAGGTTCACCTGGACAGGTAACCAGTCTATCACAGGGCTACACTTAGAGACAGACAACCAAGCACACTCACATTCACACCTACGGACAATTTACAATCACCAATTAACCTCAGCATGTTTGTGGGAGGAAGACGGAGAACCCAGAGAGAACCCACGCTGCACGGGGAGAACATGGAGACTCCACGCAGAAAGATCCCGGGTGTCCTCAGCGGGACATGAACCAGGGATCCTCTAGATTTGAGGTGCTAACCCAACTCAATACAGCTAAAATGGACAGCTAACAAGTTTAAGCAAAACCAGTTTCTTACGAGTATGTCCAGCACTCTGTCATCAGTGTGTACATTCGCTCTGGACATGCTGGTGGACTCTCCATCCGGTTCCCATTTGTAATGAAGCGTATCACTTCTGGTCCTTTCATTTTCTGGGCAGAAATTAAAAAGACAAGAGAAGCAGCGTGATGCTCAGGAACAGCGTGTGACTTCTGTGATCAAGTTAATACGCACAGCTGATAGCAATGTTCTGCAGAGACACACCTTGTAAGGTTTTCCTCCGTAGGAAAAGGCTTCCCACATGGTGACACCAAAACTCCACACGTCACTTTTACTGGAGAACTTGTGGAAGTTAATACATTCTGGAGCGTACCACTTTATCGGCCATTTGCCTGCAGTTCGAGCCTGAAAACAGAAAATGTACAAAAACAATGTCAGTGACTCGGCTAAAGCTGCAAACATCCTTGGTGACAATGAGGGCCAACATACTGCACATGCGTTTAAGCTCCTAACAAGCAGTGGGTCCAGTAATAGAATTTCTTTCAATAAAATCTTCATACAGATTTAATAAAAGAGTTAGAACAAGCTGGTACTGTCAGAATAAGAAGAGATAAGGTGAGTTTAGCTTAAAGCTACTGAAGATAACTGAAGATAATTTAGAACAGTGGTTACTAAGCTGCCTCTGTAGAGATGGACGTTTTCCTAATAAAAAATAAGAAAAAATAAGATGACATTTTTCTCAATTCATCAGAACAGACACATGAGCAGTAACCATGGCGATCACTACATCTGAGCTAATTTTACTTTTGAAAAAATGAAGTTTATTATTTGTTTTTATCAACAAATTCAGTAACTGTCTGTAAATTTGCACAGCAGCACCTCCTAAAGCCATCAAGTCCTTTCTTTGTGTGACTGAAAGAAGGCCTTTATCATTTAATCTGTTAGATGTAACTCTAAAGTGGAGTCGACAGAAGAGTCGAACAGATCGGAGCAGAGACGAGTTAATGGCGTCGGTCAGATATTGAAATGACATAAAATAAACGTTAATTAATTTATGTCACGTGTATGATGTGTTGGTGGTGAATGAATGTCACTTTAAAGTGTCGTGGTAGCTCAAAGATGTCTGAGAAGCACTGCTGTACAGCGTGTTGTTCCCGTTTTAAGCATCCTGTATAATTTCCTTGGCTTCCTGGGACTAGTTGTTTTAGGTGCTAAATCAGCATTTGAGCTGTGTGACGACAGCAAATCCCCAGAAAGGCCATTGATGTAAGAGACACTATCAACTCATGTTTGCTGAAACGCTGATAACCCCGGCGCCCTCAGCCTTTAGTGATTCTACATTTACGTCACTGTGTTAAAAAAGAAAACAAAAAACACACGCGGCTACACCATGAGCACCTTGTAGTAGCTGTCATCGGCTCCCAGCGCCTTGGACAGGCCAAAGTCACTGATTTTGGCGAACTGTTGGTTGACCAGCAGGACGTTGCGAGCTGCTAAATCTCGGTGCACAAAGTTCTTCTCCTCCAGATACTTCATCCCCATCGACACCTGGTGCATGAGGTTGACAATGTTCTCCACAGTGACGGTATCCCTGTGGGGACAAAGTCAGGACAACTTGATGTTTAAAAAATATACGCTTTTTTTTTTCTTGTACAGACTGAGGGACAGCTACGTCCCAACCTGCACAAATCTGATGAGTCACAGGAAGGTTAAAGAGGTAAGAAAGAAAAAATACTTTTAATACTCTTTTGAAATACTAAATGTCAAGAATCTCTCAGATGAACTCCCCAAAAATTAAACATGGCTCACTGTTAACAAACACTTTAAAGGCAGTTACAAGAAAAAATACCCACAAAAACTTTAGGAAATTATTTAATGTTGCTGTAAACACACTCTGAGTCAAATTTTCAGCGTCTGTGGGGCTCACATGTGAAAATGCTGAATGTTTTCTATTATGTCTTCATAGATCTTATGTTTAGTTTGTCAGAATTATAGTAAGACAAAAGGAAATGACTGATGCTTCTATAGTGTTTGTAAAGTTCATCAGATCATCAGTCAGCTCACAGTTTATGGAAATACGTTTACTTTTACTGTTCTATGTTCTACGGGACGATCATTGTTGACACGTTTCCTTCCTTCGACCACATTAAGGTGCTAAACAACAGAAATATCCTGACAGGTATCGTATCGTCTGAGTCAGTGTGTCTCAGGCTCAGACTAATAAAGATGCTTTACAAGTGTTATGTGACCAGCAGATGAGGATTATTTAAGGTATAGAAGTGACTCAGCCATATGATTTATTCCTGTTTGCACCTGGAGGATTTTCCAGAGGTGGTTTTTAATAACTTTCAAATGTATGTAGGAGAGTTATTGGAGCTACTTGCAGCTATACTCTCTGGGACTTACAGATTGCTCTTGCCTTCTCTACACTGCAAACAGACTGTAAGGTTATTCCATCTCAAATCATTCTGTCCTCGAGTATTTCTGATTTGCTTTATTATTACAAACTATAGATATTTAAAATGGTATCTACTTTCTGGGATCAAAGTTTCACTTTCCCACATTGGGCAGGTTTTCCCGCACATTAAAATTTAAAATGACGTTTGAACAACAAGAATTATAAAAGATGAAGCCAGAAATGTTCACGTTGATTTCTCATTATGCCACCGATTCTGCAATCAGTACAAACGAGCTCTGATTATGAGTTGGCTAAAGTATGAAAAAAAATGAAGCCATCGGGAGAAGTTTCATCTTTGAGACAGACGATGATACAGAAGTTAAACAGTGATGTTTTCTGAACCGTACGTAGCTGCATGTCACAATAACACTAAAGAAAACATACAGAATACTCTTCAATATGAAATACTTGGTCATAAGAATGAAAAGAAGTCATTTTTGTTGAACTTCCACCACTGATTGAGCGGCTGTGATAAGTTGTACCACAAAAAAAACAAAAAAACAAACAAAAACAAAGTCAGGCAAATCAGAAGTGGTCGAGCAGAAACTGGCGATTTAGGATTAAACGACGATTCACCGTCAACCAGAGAAACTCATCAGATCTGGTAACGTTTCATGATCCTCCGTCGTAATTTGATACTTGAAGAGTTCATTTGCAAAAGCAGATGACTCCATTTTTGTAGTTTTTTAGAAGACTTATGTTGACGTTGTTTGCTTGAGATAAACTCAGTCAAACTGAAGCTGAGTGGATTTGACTCAGTAGAAATGACAAAAACAGAGACAACTGATTGATGTTGTCTCAGGTAGACGATGGAAAAGTGGGTTTTCTGAAGGTTTGTGAAGATGGACTTATCTGTTTTTCTTAAATGAACTCCTCGCTTGCAGTTTTTCTGTTTTCCATCATTTTTTTTCTTTTATCTATCCACTGATATTTGTTCTCGTTGCGTTTCACCAAACAACACCACACCAACTAGCTATCTGCTCCATGTACTCACTTTCTGGAGGAGAGGAACTTGTTGAGCGGTCCGGCGGAGGCCATCTCCATGACCAGCATCAGATTCTCAGCGTTGCACAGGCCCAGCATGCGAACGATGAAGGGGTTGCTCAGCTGGTGCATGATCTCTGCCTCCCTCATCATCTCCTCCTTCACCAGCTTCTCGTTGTCGCTCTTCAGCACTTTGATGGCAACGTCTATCTGACCTCTGAAACAAAACAAGCATTAAACAACCCGCCCAGTAAAGACACTGGATCCACTAGAAGTGCAGCGTGTCCGGCTTTAACGCAGGTTTTGTTCTCTAAAGTGTACGTCCTCACGATTCTGCCTTGAGGACGCCCTTCTTGACGCAGCCGAAGTTCCCAGAGCCAAGCTCCAGCTCGTCGATCATCAGCTGATTCCTCTTGATGTTGAACCTCTTGATGTCATTGGGGTCGTGATACGGGTTGAATCCAGCGCAGTCCATGGGCAGGTCTTCGGCTGCAGGGTGCAAGTCACGTCAGAAAATATTCATCTGAAGTACTCTGTACACTACTTAGCACCTTTTAAGACAAACATTTAGGGAACCTTAAAATCTTACATCTATAAATTATGTCTTTAGTTTGTTTCTGACTTTGTTGTGAATTTATTCACAGCAATAGTTTTGGAAACTCTTGCTTGTTTAAAGGAGGAAAATGTCGTCACTGAATCTCTAAGTTTCGTAGTAACTGAATTGAATCCTCTGGTCTAAACACTTCAGTACTTAACCTGAGTATTCTCATGTTACGCGACTTAACATTAGAAGAAAATATCACAGGTTTTACTCCCCAACATGTATTTGACGCGTGAAGCTAGTGGCTGCTTTTCAGATTAAGATTTCACTGCAAGAATAATCAGTGTTTAATAATATGATGCACTGGTGCTAATTAAACTACCCAACAATGTACAGTCAGATGTATTCATAGCCTCCCATTAAAGAAGGAAAAAAACAGCTGAAATAAGTTGAAATTGACAAAAGTAATAATAAATAAAAATGTAATGAAAATCATTGGGTTTGAATTGTGGTTCAACAGAAATATTTAAAAAAAAAATAAAAATAAACAAGCATGATGGGACCCGTAAACTAATATCTAGCTGAACAACCCTCTGAGCCAATCACTGCCATCAGGTGTTTCCTGTAACTCTCAGTCAGACTTCTGCACCTGTTGACAGGTGTTCTGGACCACTGCTCATCAGCAAAGTGCTCTCATTGGTCCAGGACTGTTTTTTTTTTTTTCTTAATTATTCTTTTCAACCACAATTCAAAAGCAATGTCTTATTTCACTAAATTTAGCAAAATTTTATTTATTATTACTTTTTTCAGTTTGTCAGGATTTGGGGGACTATTGTGGATTTTGTCTTTTCTTTAATGGGAGGGTAGGAATACATTTGAGGACGACTGTATCCTGTAAAGTTCATCTTAGCTTCACATTTATCATTTATACACTCATCTCACCCGTTGATGCAACTTTAACAGCGATTTATCTGTAATATTACGATATTTAACACAAATAAAACATACATGAGGGCATTTTTTTTTTGCTGTATGAGTAACTCAGTAGTTCTGTGACTCTATATTTTGTGGATGATACTTCTGTCACTTCTTTCTGAGAGATGCTGATTGCAGAACTAATTGTTGTCGTACTGTATTTTGTGCACGTGCTGCACTGTGGGCGACTCACCTCGAGGTGGCGGTGTGTATCCATTTGATCGCCTCTGAAAGAACCACATGGAAATGAATCACAGAGAATGAACAGAAATGCTGACTCGAGCAGTGCGGTACGTAACGGATACTCACTGATGCAGGAAGATGTGGTGTCTCTGAAACGTTACCAGACAGATTAGTGTTGGATCAACAAACATGAAATAAGCACAACTGCATGTTATAAAGAACCTCAGAACATAAACTGGAAACCCATATTGTTGATATGTTGGGGGAAAAAAAGAAAAAAAAAAGAAAGAAAGATGCTCAGTACTTTCAGGAGGTTTTCCATAAATACAAGCCTCCCCAAGAACAGTGACCAGGCCATCGGGTTTCATCTTCAGGTACTCCACCAGCTGAAGGCATTCAGAGAAGAAGGTCAGTTTGAACTCTGCAGCACAGAAGACACATATTGGAGGAAACCACGATGGATGGAGGACTGACCTGCCAGATTGTGTCAAACTTTGTTCCCTCTGGCATGGACAGTCTGCCTGACTTGTCCTGGAGGATCTGATAGTGGTAAACTGTTTTCCCGTAGACCACGGAGAGAGCAAACGTACCAGACGTCTCTTTGTCTCGAATTCTGAGAAACAAAAAACACAAAAGCCACACTGAAGCCTTTGAAACTAAAATCTCCAGACAGACGCAAAAGTCGGCACAGAGGGGAAAGACAGACTCACAGAAACTTGCCGTCTGGTTGCGCTCCACAGTAAAGCCGCCTCTCACTTTCCTGGCGGCTGATTTTACCGTGATACCAAGACATCTTCTCGTGGGCCGTCGTGGCGATCAGCTTCTCGAGCTGAGGAGCTTGACTGATGATGGCCTGCTCCATGGCTTCTCCCTGAACAGAGAAACAGACACAGAAACATTCAGAGTGAACACAGTGTTTCTGCTGGACAGAGGAGGGAAGTAACCAAGTACAAATACTTCATTATTGTACTCCAGTAGATTTTGCAGGTATCTGTACTTAATTTTTCTGATGACTTTTTACTTTGACTCTCTACATTTGAACACAAACATCTGGACTTTCTACTCCTCACATTCTCTAAACTGGCTCGTTGCTTGTTTCAGCCTCTGCTGATGACGACATGACGTAAAAGACGTAACAACAAACGTCTTTATCTTTCCCAGCAGTTTGTCACTGAAGCTCCACACAGGCCTGCCTGCCTCGGCTGCCTGCCAGAGGCTGTTCAGTTCTGCAGGACTGATGTTCAGACCCAGAAGGGCAGAACTTTGAGAACCAGCTTCTGCTGAGGCTCAATAACAGATGATGGTAGCCTTGAAGAGACGAGTGTTTCCATGTTGATTATAATGTTTAATGTTTATAATGAAATGGAAAACTGTCCAGTGATGTGTTTCTCTGTAGCAGCTCTGTGCAGCTTCCTAAAGGATGAAAACAATCCTGGTTTGTGTGATTACAACTTTTTTCATTTTGCAGAGTCATCAAAAGAGGCATCGCGTATCATCGAAGCTAAAAATTCATTTTTACTTTTGTACTTAAGTAAATTTCCGAACCTTTACTTTTTTACTTTTACTTGAGTAAAGGAGTTAAATCAGTACTTTTACCAGAGTCTACTTTTACACAAGTATCTCTACTTAAGGAAAGAGTGTGAGGACTTTTGCCGTCTCTGCCGCTCGACGAATCACAGTCTGCATGAGGTTCTGGGGAGGAATCGCTTCACCTGTCAAAAAAGTCCCTTAAGATACTGAAGGAGGGCTTGATGTCACGTTGTGTTCAGCTTTCCACGGTGGAAAATGTGTGTTATTTTCACATGTGTGCGATGGATATTCCAAATGACAAACGCCTCACGACAAATTCCCCTTTACTTCATGTGCAGGTTAAACAATCCGTTGACCTGAAGACGGATGTCGACAGGATGTTTTCTGGAGAGGCGGGGACGCTGATTCATAAAAGACATGCTGCTGATGAAAGTTTAAAGTGTCATTTTCACTGCAGATGGAGGTCATCTGCACATGAACAGCAGTTTAAATGAACTGAACCTGTTCGCTTTTACAAGTTTAATCATAGTAAAATATAGAATCATTTACTGAAGTAAAAGTAAAAAATAAAATCCTGCTTTCAGAATGACCAACAAAATGTACTTAAAGTATTAAAAGTAAAAGTTTTTTTCATGTTTCTTGTCATTATTAGTATTTTAACAGTGAAGCGTTAATTTAAAGTCACAGATGGTTAAAGCTGGAGGTCATTTTAACACATCTGGTTTGTGTTGGAGCATTTTAAAAACCCGATCGTATGATATTTGTGTAATATCTGAATCTGAAAAGTAGCTACAGCTGTAAAATTAACCTAAAAGCCAATATATATATAGTGCACGTGGCTCAGACATGCACAGTACTCGGGTAAACAGGTTTTTAAAGGCTGATGTAATGTATTGAATCCTAACTCCAGCCTCACCTCCAGGTTCCAGGTCTGCTTCACGTACTCCCTCAGCATGTTGTCTTTCAGGTTGTCAAACACGCCGCAGCGTATCGGCGTGTCCGGGGGGCGCAGACAAGGTTTCTTCAGGATGCACACCAGGCCTTCGGGGGTTTTGCTGTAGAACTCACAGAGCTCGGCAGGCCCACAGTGATGCTTCCCTCCTGTGATGCAGTAGGTCCCGTTGAGCTGCTTTTCTACGGAGTAATGATGGAACTCCAGGTTCCACACGATGGACAGGACGTAGCCTCCCAGACTGCGGAGACACTGTCGCAGCAAGAAGAGGCCGTCAGACATCCCGGCCAGCTTCAGGTGCTGCTCGGCATCCGCGCGGCTGATGCTGCCGTAGAAGAACGGCAGCTCGACGGCGGGGTCGGTGGACATGCTGAGGCCTGGGAGAGTCGAGCCGGACCTGGTCCTGAAGTCCTGGATGGAGGCGGTGGAAGGAAACTAGAGGGTGAAAAGAGGAACAAAGGTGTTTAGGAATAACCTAATTCATCTAGTCTGTGACCTCCGCCTCCTCCACCGTCTGCTCAAGCAACCCTAATGTCCCATTCACCAAATTGCAGAATACAAGCTGTGGAGCGACAAAAATCAGCGCTACACATCTTTACAAGAAGTAAAACACTCAACGTCTTCAGAGCCTCACCTCCTCGTCTCGTGCTACAACCAGGACTGACGAGAGACTTCAGCGTTTCACAGGACTGTCAGCTCTGCAGAGACGAGCGGTGAGGAGTCACAAGTCTGGATGAGATGTTTAGCTTGAGGCCCCCACACTTTGAAATTGCATGAAGCTTGCAGATTAACAAACTGGTGACAAAAGCCACAACAGGAAGCTGCAGTCCGCCCTCACAGCCTCCTTTCTCCAGCGTGTTGCTCTTCCGTTAAGCAGGTGCTGTTTGGTTCTAGAGCATTCCCTCTGCTTCAGAAACTCGAGCTTATACGTTTTCCCTTCGTTGGAAAAAGACTTTTGAGGCTGAATCCATCCCAGTGTGCTGGTACGACAACTACAGAGTGCAGCATGAGACGTGTCTGTTGGAAATCTGTCACGATTTCAGCGTCAACCGAGACGATGACGTAAAGATAAGATTAAAATCAGCAGGTCTGACTGGAGCGGCTGTGTGATATCAGGCAGTTTGAGTTTAAAAGGAAAATCGACAGTGATCTCAATTCGTCACACACATCAGCTCACAACATGCAGAAAGGAAACAATCAGATGTACAGAGGATCTACATGCAGTACGGACTGAGGTTTTATGACAAGCATGGATCTTAGGATGTTTAATAGCAACAATAAAGTTTTAAAAACCAACAAACAAAACAACATTTCTCCCACAGTGTGTTGGAAACGTTGTCAGTTTTGCTAATCGCTGTCAATCAGTGTCCGTCTCAGTTCATGGAAAAGCTCAACCTACTCACAAATGGCCCTGATGTGTGCCTTATCTGACATTTGAGCAGTTTCACATGAAGACTGGGAAGGTTTCAGATGAAGGAACAACAACGTGTCAACACAATGTGTCATCGGAATTTAAAAAAAGTGTGAAACCTCAGCTTCCTGGCCACAGAGCTCAGCCTGTGCCCACATCTACAGTGGACAACCGAGCAGCAACACGACGCCACCGCCGCAAGAAGCAAGAATCCACTGTGGCCGGCCCGGAGGCTCACCGCAACAAAGACAGCCAGAGCTTAAAATGTGGACCAACAGATACCCGACTCACACGAGCGCTTCATAAACTGCATTTTACCCGGTGTTTCTGTAGAACGTTCTCGTCAGCATGCTGCAGTTTAAGAGAGATGAAATGCACAGCTAATGATTGGATGATGTTATCTCTGCATACATTCACTGAAGAGGGATTCCCAGCACAATGTAAAGGCCCCACTTTGTGCTGCTTTGGACATCTTTTGCACTACAGCTCAGAGATAATAATAATAATACTAATAATAATTCATTTTATTTGTATAGCACTTTTCGAAGACGCTTTACAGGATAAAAGAACAACAAAAGGAAGTGAAGTAGGCTACGCAGAAATACAGCGAGCAGATAAAAACAACACAAGATATCAAGCTAGAGGTTTAAGTGAGAAAAGCAGAGAGGAACAGGTGAGTTTCTAGTTTGGATTTGAAGACTACTGGGTCTGTGGTGTCACGGATATGTTGTGGGAGAGAGGTCCAGAGGATGGGGGCGGCGACGGAGAAGGTCCTATCTCCCCAGGTTCGGTTCTTGGTCCGACATGAAGGGATGGAGTCAGTGAAGGTTTTAAAGAACAGGGGTGATGTGGTCTCGGGAGGAGGTGTGAGTGAGGAGGCGGGCGGCAGAGTTTTGGATGTATTGGAGTCTATTGGGGAGGTTGGTGGTGGTACCAAAGAGGATGCTCTTACTGTAGTCAGTGTGTGATGTGATGAAGGTGTGGATGAGGGTTTGTGCTGTGAGGAAGGAGAGAGAGGGCCGGAGGCGGGTGTTTTTGTTTTTTAGGTGATGGACGGCTGTTTTAGAGACAGAATAATGTGCTGGGTGAAGGTGAGTTTATTGTGTCGAAAGTGACGCTTCGGCAATGAGGAGGTGACAGGGAGGAGTTATCACTGTACTCTTTATTGTTTGTTTGACATCTCACCCTGATCCAAACCTTCACCCCAGAAATCGCTCTTTATTCTGTCGTTCTTTTATTCAGAATGTAAACTGAGCTTTGCTGGTCTGATGCTGCTGTAGATTAAATAAACACTGAGATAAACTCCTGTCTAATCTTCTAGATAGAACATATTGTGTTGGTGTTTTTTTATGACATTATTAAAGTTAAAAGTCATTTAATTAAATTATTTTAGCGTCTCAAGTGGTCTTTTTTCTGTTTTATATAATTTTACATTTAATTTTTTTCTGTTTTTGTCTGCTTGCTGGGTAGGAAAGCGATCAGAAGACATGACGGTCGTATTCACAGTCTGACATTTTATCAACTTGTATGAACCTGGATGTAAGTAACACCACTGAGTCAGTGTAGAGCCAATAATTGTGAGGATTAAAAAGCTCCGTGAATTCCTAACCAACGTCTGTGATGCTACTTGAACAAACTGAAAGAAAAACAAACCAGCAGTCCCCCTTTAACGCAGCATGACAGCGTATTAGCCACGCCGCTGTCATGTACGAGGGAACCGAACCAACCAACATACTGACAGACTTCTTGTGCTCTTTTTTAGAATACGACTTTTTTCACTTTTTCTACTTAACTGGAGTATAATGAACCACAAACCAGAGGGTGCAGACGGGTGACGGGGCTCATGACACACTTCCAGAGCGTCACTTTGAACCCACATCTTTCATGCTTTGTCTGGGACTGAAGACACTTTAAAAGACAGAAACAGACTGCATGCACCGTATTTATGCTTCCAGGTGATGCAGCACAGGCGAGCAGATAGTGACCCAGTGAGCAGTGGAAAAAACGTCCTATGAGTCACTCCAGTGGGGGAGGACATAAGTGACACACGCCAAAACCTAACAGGCCTCAGCTTTCGCTTTCCACAGAGAAGAAAGAAGAGTGAAAACTTTATGGCACGATTTGCTTTCTCGGCTGCAAAGTAAATGCAGTTAAACATGAACCTGATTGTGTTTGTCCTTTGGTCAAACGTTTTCTATTTTGGACAGAGTTGCCGTTCCAGGTTATTAATCTTGATGTCAGTGATTGAGAGGTTTTGCACGAGGAACAGAGTGAAAGCTTTATATAATCCTTCTGATTGCTCTTAATTATGAAAAACGGGTAAAAACTCAGACATGCAAGCTAGGAAAAGCTAAAATTGGAATCTATGAAAGAATACTCTGAAGTAGTCGTGGAAAACAAATGATTGTAATTTACTCCAGTGAAAGCTGCAGACTGCACGTTAAAAGTTAATCCGTTGTAAGTAAAAGTCCAGAACTCATCATGTCACTGAAGATGAAACTATTAGCACATATGCTGTCAGTAATGTCAGTGAAAACTTTTTTTTTTTGCCTTTATTTGATAGTACAGTGAAGCAAGAGACAGGAAAGTGGAGGAGAAGAATGGAGGAAGGACCTGCAGTAAAGGGTCATGAGTCGGACTCGAACCCACGACCACTACATCCGGGACTTCAGCCCCTGTTCGTGGGACGCCAGCTCAACCAGGTGAGCTACCGCGGCGCCCCTTATCAGCTAAAACTTAATGTTCAAATACGACTTAAAGGCCAAATGCTCACTGTGTGAACCTGCAGACGTTTACTGCTCACCTGTACTGGTTCAGTGTGTTAGCGTGCTAACTTGTGCTAATTAGGCTCAAACACAGTGTAAAGGAGGTCGATGTTTGACCTGATCCTGACCTGATGATTGCGCAAGATTATTAACAACATTACTACCAGTCATCCTGATGGAGGTATTCATGTCTTCACCCATTTTGATGGCGACCCAAAGGCGATGTGAAGCTGAAAAACTAAAATCTCAACCCTTACGACGGGTTCAGCAAAAGGCTGTTTTCCACTGGAGGCAGTTTTTAGGGTTACACCTGAATCTTTTTGTGCTTTTTGATTGCAAGAACTGCCCCTATAGAACCTCTCCTGTTCTATTTCCTCGGTCCAGGAAAGACTCTTTATTTCTGTTTCGCTGCACGCAGAGTCGACGCCGTCGTCGTCAGAATCTACACCGCCTCACAAACACAAAGACTCAGAGAGCTGATTACGGGGCTGTTCCTGTAAGCGTTCGTGCCGCCTCGCGCCTGCCCCGAGTTCCTGCAATGGAAAGCTCAAGTCATCCAGATACATCCTCTAAGGAGCAAAAACATCTGTATGAGATTTTACAGCGATCCATACGGCACTTTTTGAAATGTTTCAGTCAGAACTGAAGCAGCCACTCCTCGAGCCACATCACTGGCGCGGCTAAAAATATCAGAAGCGGCGCTATAAAACCTACACTGGTAATATTTGTGAAACTCTAGAACGTAAACTCCTCCAGACATCAGAACAAAGAAATGTGTCAGAAAAAGGCAGGATCGTGTAAATACGGTGGAGCAGCGATCGGCCTGCAGCGTATTAAACGATTAGCAGCAGAGAATAAAAACAGAACAAGCAAAGTTGCCGGAACAGCGTTGAGACGCCGAAACTCTGTCACCGTTTTTTTAACTCCTGTGAATTATAAACACAAATACAAGCATGAGATCAGTCATTTGATTTGCTTCTCTCACTACAACAAGCTTTCTTTAGATTCTTTGACTGGCATTAAAGCGAGTACACTCTGGTGATAAGTTTGCTGTTTAGCTTTTAGACTTTTTTACGTCAAAACCGTTGTGCTGCCCTATCAGGAAGTCAGCCTGTGGTTATGTAACTCAGAGCATTCCTCCGTACATACATCAGCCTGTCAGACCGTGTAGGCATCCGACAACCGATAATGTGTCCTTTAACCCGCACACATGAAATTATTTTTCCACAAATCTTTTGTTTTAGTGATAATCTGAAAACATCTGAGAACGTGGGCGGACTTGGATAAGAGGCTGATATGCATATCGGATCAGGGGCCTAAGTGCCCCAAACTGAACCAGAATTTCCTGAACCAGTGGAAACAATTGACATTCAAATAAACAGTGTGCGTGTGTTTCCCTGTTATCATTCAGGCTGTATTATCTCAAAGCAACATGAACCTCTGGGGAGCAAAAAAATGAAGCAAACTTCCACTTTCAGCAGCACTTTAACACCTAAATGCTGAATCCCTAAAATAGCTCAAGCTGCACGACACAACCGGAGTTTCTTTTCTATTCACTTTTCCTCAATGGTGCATTAATCCTAAATTGTCTTGAAACTCTTTCAACATCATACCGTGAATTAATGAGCACATTTCGTCCTGAAAACCCAGTTTTGGTTCCTCTGGCCAGTATCGGCCGACCGTTGCTGGCACATCTCGCAGATACGCTTCAGCCCAGAACCAAAAATACATCCAGTCATTTTAGGAAAAGTTACAAGCGATAAAAGGCACACACACACGGAGCTCTTGGGTGTGTTAAAACCTACTCATTTTTTTGGTTTTCTATTCCAAGGCACAATAAAAACATCTTTTTATATTTTGCTCATGTAATGGCTGCTTTTGTAAGCCAAAGCAACAATGCCTGAGCCGGACTGCGGTGCACAAGCTGCTTTATTCTTATGAACAGTCCAGACACGGCCATGGAAATAAAAATAAAATAAATCAATTTGACTGGAGATTTCTTTTGTAAAAATTAAAAGATCAATGAAAATATATGACAGACTACTGGATGATTACAAGCTTAGTTTGTACTGAATCAAACAAATACTACAACATGTTGTTAAACCACACTTTTACCGTTGAGTTTGATGATAACAAATTGATATCGACAGAATCATGTGTGATCTCATGAATGTGGACGACACACAGAGACCTTAGACTTCCAACCGTACTGATGCTTTTTGCTGAAACAACGACGCCTCGGCCTCGGCCTGCCCTCACCATGTCAACACTTATCGTATGTTTGTCACAAACACATTAAATGTAATCTAACAAGACAAACTGGTCCACTCCTACACGAGCGGATGTAAGAGTAAAAACGACTTACGCTTCACTGCTGGGTACGGCGCTGCTTCACAGACGGTTGTATCTGTTGATCTGACAGCCGGGTGAGGTGCTGTGAAGAAGCGGTGGTTAGACAAAACGAGACACACACACAAACCTGCACACACACCAATAACGGCAAAATGCATGCACAGGGCGCTGAGTTCAGCTTGACTGCCACACAGTCGTCCTCAAATGTATTCATTAAAGAAAAGCAAAATTCACACTCAAATAACTAGAAACTGAAAAAAGTAATAATAAATAAAAATTTGCTAAATTAGAATGTAGTGAAATAAGACATTGCTTTTGAATTGTGGTTGAAAAGAATAATTTAAAAAAATAAACAAAACCGTCCCGGACAAAGTAGAGGCCTTTGTTGATGAGCAGGGGTCCAGAATACCTGTCAACAGGTGAAGAAGTCTGACTGAGAGTTACAGAAACACCTGATGGCAGTGATTGGCTCAAAGGGTTTTCAACTAGATATCAGTTTATGGGTCCAACATGCTGGTTTGCTTGATTTTTTTTGTTTGTTTTTTAATATTTCTGTTGAACCACAATTCAAAAGCAACGTCATGATTTCCATTAAATTTTTATTTATTATTACTTTTGTCATTTTCAGTTTATTTTAGTGACTGATGTTTTTTCTTTCTTTAATGGGAGGCTGTGAATACATCTGAGGACGACTGTTCTTTAAATCTCCACTGACTCACTACAAACTGTAAAACACAGCCTCCAAACATTCAAGCCCGAGTGCCTCAATATTAAATAAATCGTTCAAGATTTTGGAAAATTAGTTTTATTTGCTTTCACGATGAGAATTCAATGAGAAGTTTGTCCACTAGTGCTACAGCCAGGCTGCACTTAGCTTAGCACGATGACAGGAAAACAGTTAGCTTAGCTTTGCTCAGAGCCAACAAAACCCACCTTTCAGCACCTCTGAGGCCAACAAACTTAACACATTGTCTTTTCTAATTTGTTTAATCCACACAAAAACATCCAAACAAAAAGTGTGAAATGACTAATTATCAATTAGTTTTCAACTATTAAGTTTAATCGCCAACTTTTTCTTTTTTCATTATTGACTAGTTTGTTTTAAGTACTTTTTTAAGAAATAAAAAGTCAAAATTCTCTGACTACTTTAATTTTCCAGTTTCTCACCTCCTTCATGAGTCAACTTAATATCTTTGGTTTGTAGACAACGCAGGACATCAGAAACTCTGAACATTTATCACCATTTTCTGGCATTTTACAAACCAAACAACCAGGAAAACCCATAGACTGTATAACAGATGGACGTAGCTACCGTGACGTCACCCGTTGGTTTCTGCACTGAGAACATGAAGCCAGGGTTTTGCTACTTCCTGGTTGACATCTTGGCTTTTTGGAGCCAGTGACTCAAAAATCGTCGGAGGGGGGCGGAGCCATAGGAGCAGCGATTGGTCAGACGGATTGAGAGGCGGGCCCTCTCTGCCCGCCCACATTTACCGCCTTCTGCTGTATGGTCGCTGCTGACTGTCAATCAAGCCAGCCACGCCCCTTGCCCCGCAAAATGTTGACGATTTTTAAAAAAATTCAGTATTGATTTATTTTCAGATTGGCCACCTGATCTCTGGATTTGACCATGAAAACTAATAAGAAAAAAATCCTGAGCTGGAGGAATGCAGTATTTCATGATCTGTGATCACTTCTTTTCCAATTCCAGTCTATGGGAGCCAGGGCTTTGTGGAGCCAGCAGCCAGCAGATGTAGTGATACTGCAGGTTTTTGACACTTCCGGGTTGGCTTCATTTTCCGGGGCGGTTGCTACGTCCATCTTTTATACAGTCTATGGGAAAACCCAGCAAACAGCAGCTAGCTAGCGCTGTCCGAAGGTACTGAAATCTCTCTTCAAGTACATCATTATAAATAGGCCTTATGTTTTAAATATAGTTTGTTTAAGGAATTTGTTCAACTAATTACGACATACACTTAAAAACTGTCACCACTATCACACCTATGCCATAAATATGAAGCTACATATTAGCTTAGCATAGCATACGGACCAGAAACCTTAGCGAGCTAACCAAGAAATAGTCCAGAGCGCTGTCTGAAAAGGTGAATTATGCTTTTTACACTTATAAAACATGTGAGGTAGTGAGTTTTGGATGTGTTTTCAACTTTAGATGGTGGCAGGACAGTTGGTTAACTCTTTGAGCTAAGTGAGGACGCTAACTAGCTTTAGCCTCACATTTAGCAGTTTGCTAAAGTGGAAAAGAAGTGATATTTTCTTACAAAAAAATGTTTTCTTTAAAGTACATTTTCTAAGCTTTAGTTTCTCTGTATAACTGTGTGTTTCTGTGTGTTTTTATGTGATCCAGCGTCTCAACACTCATTATGACGGATACTGACATCCATCCTGCAGCACCTGTGCAGCAGCACCCACAGCACCCAACCAATGACAGGATAGAAAGCCTCCGACCCCCACAGCCCACACACACGAACACACACACGAACACACACACACCACCCCCACCTCACCGGCTGCAGCTGCTTCCTTGGAGTCGCAGATTTGGCAGCCAGTCAGCAGGATCCTGCTGAATCAAGTCACCCAAAAACAGGCAACACAAACCGGCAGAGCGACACGTCCTCCTGCAAAATAAGAGCATGGACATTTCGTTTCTGTCTGGGTGATCTTGAATGGCTCAACAAACCATCTCCAGCTGGTCTACCATCAGGTCAACTCCCATCCAGATCTGACTAACGAATTCAAGTGTTCAGTATCCTAAGAGAGTTGATTGAACTGAGGCGGAAAGCTTATAATTATTACGACGTTGAGCATGAAAGAAGGCGTTTCCTTTTGTGTTTGAACTAACAATAAACACAACAGAACATTTGAAAAAACTGTCTTGAAAAAGACGCAGAAATCACAAGCTTCTGAATTATTTTCGTGATCAAGCTTTGAACATACTTATTTATATTTTGCATTATTACTGCTTGTTTTTGTATTTTCAGTTCAGGCACATACAAGAAAGCTGAAGTAAAGTCCTAAAGTTCTTCCATAAAGCAGTAAAATCTGCAGGATTCACTTCTTTAATAAAAGAAGACTGATAAGATCTCAGCTCAGTGAACATTCAAACACTGTTCAGTAAATGTGACTGCAGTTTGAGCACCATCACCGGTCACAAACTCTACGGGTCAGTGTGAGCACGTGCAAAGAGAAGAAACAAAAACAGACCAAAATATATTTGGTGGTCCGGCTGTTAATGCATCAGTGACTTATAAAGGGTCAACAAAATGAATACAACCTTTATTTAAACTCATCGTACACTGAGGCATGACAGAGCAGCTGAGCGACTGAGTCCAGCCTCAGGTGTTGTGCTGCTGTTCAAGGTTGCAGGTTGCAAAACTGGATTATGCACGCTCAGTAAAAACAGCTGGCACCTGCAATGCAGTAATTCAAGAGTGTATGGTAAAGCCTGAGACTGAAAGACAGTAATGAGGCAACGTAAGGCGGTGAAAAGAAAAACTTAAATATAAATAAAATCCAGTGTTTGTCACGTTTTACAGAAAGTGAAGGCCACGTAACCTTAACATGCAGCTCACAGTTATATTCATCATTACAAATAAAACAGTGTCCAAAGGTTTAAGATTCATGACTGAGATTGAGCCATGTCACTAATCCAGATTATAAACCTTCTGTTTTACATCAAACCCTTTTATTTTGAAAGTACGACCGCCCTTGTTTTGCTCTCGCAGCGGCTAACTTGACGCGTGTCTGCGGCTCCCTGGTTGTGGAAGTGGAAGAAGTTGAGTCTCCTCAGTCCACCGCCGGCGCCGCCTCCTCTGCTCTCCGCTGCTGAGGACAGAGGACACACTCACTGCGGACACTTCTACAAGGGGACACGGGAAGGTAGGTCAGCTAGCCCGGATACTCTCTCTGAGTTTTCATGCACGGCTCTGGAAGAAAACGACTTCCCTTGACATGATGCTGGAAGCTTGTCAGCTGTGGCTCGCTCCTTCCTCCACAGATACTCCTGCAGGGGCTCTGAATGCCGCCTTACTTCATCTGCCAGTCAGGCACTGTGCTGTCAGCAGATCAGGAGGTGCACCTCTGTGGGCTTCATGTTGTCTTGTGCGATTGCATTGTTCCTAAAATCTCAGCCACTGGTTTGCTGTTCTGCTCATGAGGAGCTCCTGCTTGTGGCTGAGATCTGCTCGCGGGCTGATGACAGGCCTGTCAGCGTGGGGATGATGTGGCTGTCAGCAGACATCAGGTACACGAGCTGAAGGCTGGCATTGTGTCCCCTACCAGCTGGGGGAGCAGCTCGCTGTCGGTCCCTGCTGCAGTCACTCTGCAACAGGTCTCAGAAGTGATTATGCAATTATCACAGCAAGCGTTTCAACCAGCCTGTATGTAACATATCTTGTAGGGCTTGCAATGAAAAAGCTGAATTTTTAGACGAGCAGATGTGCAGCGTTTAGCTGAATGACATGCAGGCACACGCATGACAATCTGTGTTCCCTCACTGAGCAGCAGAAATGATGGATGAGTCATTTCCACTGCAGGTGTCTGCTTGTGTTGTCCTTCTGTTTTGGTCTATTTTTGGCAAACCTGTTGCTATATTTATATTTCTGTTTGGCCACATTTAGATCCTAGATTATATTTGTGACATTTGGAGGTTGCAAATGATGCAGATCGTCATTTCTTGGGTTTGTTCTCTCAGGTTAACTCGTCTCACACCTCGATTTAAAGCAGTATTTTTATTTTTCCCATCTAGAAATCCGTCAGTGTCTGTGTGAATCTTACAGTTTGGGGAACTGATGCCAGCTGCATCTCACAGAGACATTAACAGAGACAGAGACCACATCATGTCTACTACTTTGTTGTGTTGTAGTCGTGCATCCCTCACACACCTCTGGAGCTGTTTGTGACTCACAAGAGGAGCGAAAATAAAACTGGCAACAACTGTGATCATCATTTTTCAAGCAGTAATCACAAAAAAACACTTCTGGATCTCTAATGTTTGGATTAGTTTCTTTTTGTTTGTCTTATGTGACAGTGGGATTAGTGTTTTGGGTGTTTTAAGGCTGTTTGCAGATAAAAAGTGCACTGAAATGAATATGATGAAGACAGAAAACGTCCACCAGCATGTGTGCTGCTGCTGCTGCTGCTGGCCGACTCACTTTGTGTCGAGTCAGCTCTCCCTCTCTCTCTCCCTCTCTCACCCTCTCTCCCTCTCTCTCTCTCTCTCACTAAATATTGTTTCAGACTGGAGAGGCACATTTTGAGAGTGAGGGGAGCACATCCGAGGTTCTCCGGCCTGTTTATGTTCCCACTTTTCATCTGCACACTGTTTATTTGGGGAAATTGAGAAAGGAATGCCTGCCTCTTTCTCTTTCTGTCTTTGTACCAGACGGAGAGTTTAGTCTGAGATATATATCCCCCCTCCTCCTCCACCACCACCACCACCATCCACCCACCCAACCCCTCCAGTCCTTTCTCTCACCTGTTCAGGGTTACGTGTGGAGATCTGCTTGAATCTATACATACTTCTTTCTTTTTCCAGCGAGCTCTGCAGTTGCAGAGTGAAAACGCTGCGTCTGACTTGTGACATTGGTCTTACGAGCCATTTGATCTCGCTGCCTCACGGCCTTATTAGAAAAGAGAAGCCGCACCGCCGGTTTAATGAAATAATAAACTGAACCTAAAGCTGATTCATGAGCTACTCCCTGATCAAAGTGCAGACAGTGTGTGTGTGTGTGTTAGTGTGTGTGTGTGAGAGGGGGAGTGCTAGACTTGAAGCTAAGCTGAGGGACACTTAGCATCTGTTCGCTCCACACAGACTTTACTTTGAGCCGGTCATATGGCTTTGATTAGTGTGCTAGTTTTCGGATAGCTCCACTCTCCCTGGCAACACTTACAGACAAGGACAGCATAGTTAGCTACAGTATTTAAAAAACAACAACAACAACAACATTCACTGTACATCCCACATGAAAAGTCAATGATCACTAGTAGATGACAAATTAAAAAAAAGACTTGTCAGAATGCGTCCACTGGCTTGATTACATTGCAAATTTGGCCCACTCTTAAATTCCCACCTAATTATCCCGAGCAGTCCAGCTTTTCTCTCTCTCTCTTGTTAACAACGGCCCCCTTTCTTTCCCCCCACTTTCTTCTCTTGCAAATTGTGATAGCGTTGGAAGTTGTGTGGCCTGTCTGCAGCTCGGACCGCTTTCCCCCCTTGGCCGTGATTGCGGCTATATGCTGGATACTCGTGGCCCATCCAAGCAAAACACTGAGCGGAGAGTCGGTGTATGTGCTCACTTGGCCTGCTGACAGACATACGTTTTTTATTTCGCTGAAGTGATACAGCCCAGAGGGAAAGTTTTGCACAACAGACCTCAGGAAGATGTACAACGCCATCACCTCTGCGAGACAGCTCGCTCTTAATTTGGCTGTGTTTCTGTGGGGTTTGCAATGGCGTAATAATTTACCGGGAAAGCTGTGCAAGGCGGTGCATGCACGCTGAAGGCCGTCCACAGATCTTTTTAAGCAGCTTTGCTTTAAAAAGCACCAAGGGACAGCGCTGGAGGAGGGGGGGGTCCTTTCTCTGCCTCTTTTTCTGGTTTAAATAAACAAGCGGAGAGTTAGTGGTAATGAAAAGCACTTGATATCAAGCTGCAAGTTTAATAACCCCATAATAAATTGAGAGCGGGAGCAGAAGAAGTAATGAAAATGGAGGGGAGTTTGGCTTGTGCAGGAAATGACTGGGAGAAAGCCTGAGGGAGGGGAAGAGAGAAAGACTTTTAGTTGTTCCACATATGAGGGAAGCTGCAACAGTACAAAGACCCCTCAGTGTTTTTAAAGCAAGCTCTCCTTTTACTGTACCTGCCCGTTGCTGTTTGAAATGGAGCGAGAGGCGCATTAGGAACCTTTTCAACTCATTCCTCCACACTCGGTTTAAGGGTATTAACACTCAAGAATGGTTCTCCCAGCTGGCTTGAATAGCTTACACTCTGCTGTCTCTCTTTCATTCCCCTCGGGTTTTGCACTTGTTTTTTTTTTTTTTTTTTTTTCCCTCCTCTTTTCAGGAGGCACCTTGTTCCCCCTGCTCTCGTCACCAAAAGGTTTCCCATCTGCCTCCGATTACCTTTGGCTGCAGTTGGTTAGCCGCCAGCCATCTGGGCCAGTGTGGCGTCTCCGCTCGCTCTTCCCTCCCCAGACGGCTCTGAGGGAGGGATGGAGGGCTGGTGGGAGGGTAGGCTGGGACAAGAGTGAACTGGGTGGGCAGACTTTACTGGAGAGGATAGCGCCGGTTGGGTTTTAGCTGACACTGCAATCTGTAGCCAGGAAACTCAAGTCGACGAAAAGGGCACCCATGAAAATGTGACTCCTGATCCTGGCCCCGGTCTGTTTTTGTAATGGGTACTGTGGGTCTGAGGAAGTCATTTTCCGTTGTTATTATAAAGCACACTTGCTCTATGTTGGTCGCAAAGTAAAAAAAAAAAAGAACTAGCTCAAAGGGGAACAGTGCTCAATTAAAAAGGAACTCTGGGTTTATTTATAACCCAGGACAGCCTAATTAGTAGAGTGGAAAATGAGCAGAATTCTCCTCGCCAAGATTTAAATTTGTGATCTCTGGCTGGCTGAACTGTCTCCAAATGATCATCATGTGGGTGCTGCCACACAAACGCTGTAGTCTTTACATTCAGCAGTTAACGTTCAGTTCTCTCGGTATGAAATAATAATTATCATCTGCTAGCTGCAAAAAACTGGCTTTGTGCAGCACTATGCAGACGATGCACCACTGTGTGTCCTGATGTGTCCTTTGTTATGTCCTGTGATGCTGAAATTAAAGAAGAGGCTCTTTATGGGTTCTGTTGAGTACTACTGTATGTGTGTAAAGCTTTTTGTCACTAGACTTAAACTGAGGTTGAAGCTGAATCAGAGAAATGTGGTTCCGAGGAGTTAGACACGAGCAAACCTGAGTCTCAGTCCGAACTAAGACCGGGTGATTTGAGGAAAATATGTAGTTGCGATTTGTAATGTTATCTTGTAAAGCTTTAGTTTAATATTTACTGTGTAATAGATTTAAAGAAAATTTCTGTAAACTATCAGGCATTGACACAAGCAGGTCATCCGTGGCTCCGGAGCAGCATCTCAGGATCTGCAACCAAGTTACACGAAGTTTATATCATGAAAACAAAAAACCCTGGGTCAGACACATAATGTGTATCCTAAACCACAGCCTTTCTCATTTTCTAATTGCATTGCTTTATATTGCGATTTCAATTTGAAATCAATTCATTGTTCAGCCCCAGACTGAAACACAGACTGCGTATAAAAATCTAGAGTTTTACCATTTCACCATGTCTGTATGGTGTTTTTTTTTTTTTACAAGCTGGAAGACAGATCAAGAGTGAAATAGTAAAATAAGCACCATAGCTGAGCGTTTCCAAACTGAAACTATAGTGTACTGATGATAACTCAAACACTAAGATTCAGACTTCCAAGGTTTTTATTCAGAGCAACAACAAAATGGCCAAAGGAAGCGGTCCTGTCAGCCTGTACAGTGGGCCCTTCCCTATCATTCTTCTTCTTAAGAATTGGTTTCCGGTTTGAGCATGCATGGCGGAATTACTGTAGTATTGCAACTGTGCATTGTGCAGCATTAAGTAGTTTTGTGGTGATTGAGCAGAGTCGTAGGTGAGCTGGTGTGTTTGAGCTGCAGATGGGTGGAGAGAGATGTAGGGACTTCATAGATCTGCACATTCAAGAGGAAGCAACAGTTTAGAGTAACATCGAGGCCAATTTACGGCAGGAAGGGATTGTTTTCATGGGGAAAAAAATCTAAATTTATACCATTGACACACAGAGTTTTTGGGGTTTAATAATGATTTTATTGAATTGTTTTTGGATTAATATTCTGGATATACTCATGATGAAGTCATTTTTAATCTCAAAGGAGTTCTTTTAGTTAGATTATTCAAAACAACATGTCTCTTTGGATCTTTGACACTTTGGATTTTTGTTCCTTCTTTCACTGTAAAGCACCTTCAGCTTTGTAAAGTAAATGAAGTCCTTATTCTAACTTTTGCAATGACTGTCACTGGAGGTTCGCCAATATGTCAGTCACTATCACCTTATTTCAGATCTCTTGTTATCGGTGTTCACTGCAAGTTGGCAGATAAGAAACAAGAAATTCCAAGAGAGAAATGGCAAACCTGGTTTGAGATCATTTATAAGGAAAGTAACTTCATAGTTTGTCGACCAGGAGCACTGAAAAGGAGACTTTCCAAATGTGAAGCTCTTCAGTGTGTATCTTGGTTACAATAATCCAAGGGATCACATCAGGATTGCTTGTTTTTATTGTTATACTGCATTATCTGTCGATATGTTGTGTCGGGGTATATTTATTATGGTACTCTGTGGCTCAGATGTAAACAAGCTTCGTATAGACACTCATTCCATCAGTCTGCTACACAGGACGCTGGCCAATTAGTAAGCTGCACAGTCAGGCAGCCAGCCAGCAAATCACTCAGCCGTACAACCAACCACCAGAGTCAGCCAGCGTAGCGGTGATGGCAACCTGCTGCTCCTCTCAAATTGGCTCATTTTACCCCCAGACCCTCTGACATAATACCCACTTCAAGCCCTGTTTGGGCATTAAGCACAGCTTTTTTACAAGATCAATGGCTTCCTTTGTGTTTGAACTCTTTCCGGTGGGCAGGCAGCTTAAAGTGTGGGTCCTCAGGGGCCCCAGGTTGGGACTTACTGTTGTCTCTGGTCATCAGAGTGAAAGACAGGGTGCATGCCCCTCGCTAAAGCCAAGATTGATTATCTGAAGAAACAATACAGGACTGGGCGGTCCTTGAATATGAACTGGGTAGATTTGTCTTGTTAGACTGGGAACTGCATGGGTCAATGGGATCTCATGCTCTCGCTCTGTCTGTGTTTCACTATGTCTCCCTTGTTCCTCCCTCCTCTTTGAGCCTAAATCTGTCTCTCCCCTCCCTTTCACTCCCTTTCCTGGCCTTCCTCCTGTAGTTACTGAACAGTTTCTCTTCCACAGGGCAGCAGAGAGGAGCGTAGACCCACCGCTGCTGTCGAACCCCCTTGAGAGATCCATCCAGGTGCTTTCTACTCCTATGAGGACTTCTCCAGGATCCATCACCACTCGCTGACCGACACTGTAGCTGCTGCTGACTCTCAGATCTTCCCTCAGCCATGGCCCAACAGAGCGCTGAGCCGTCCCACTGCTAGGCAACGGGGCATCCGAGAGGGCAGGAGACATGTTGGGACAGAGGCCCGGGGACCACTGCACTGAATTCTGTTACTATAGCGACTACTGTAGTAACCATGGAGACGCTATGGAGGACTGGTCTGGTCTGCACTGTCATCGTGGTCATGGTTGCCACCGAGGTCGCAGGAGGTCACAAAGATGATTTTGCTCAGTCACAAGGTGAGATGAACCCGAGTGTGAAACAGAACGTCTGCTGTGGCCACTTTCACAGGAAAACATCCGAGTTCTCAGAGGATGTTTGTGTTTTGTCCATCTCAGATAAACCAGAGGGGATAAAATAGTCAGTGATGGTTTATGTAATTCTGTATTTCAGCATTAAAATATATTGTGAGATAGTAAAGTTCTTTGACAAACAACACTAAAATTAGTACAATAGATAGAGAGAGCAAGATGTGGTTTTTTGTAGCTGGTGTAATGAACCTAAAGATGTAAAGGCACCATGACGAAACTGAGTCTGGGACTTCATGCATCTGTGCATTCTATAGAAGGTGTAGAGTTACATGTCAGCCATTTTAAGGCAAGACGGGATTATTTTCATGGAGAAAAACAAAACAAAATATGCAGCACTGTTTTTCAGAAACTGCTTTTTAGGGGTTATCAACCACTAGACGGATATGCATCGTCTGAGGTACCTACAATGACCATGTGAGTGTCTGGAACATGGAGCAATGGAAGAAGGTGGCCCGGTCTGATGAATCACATTTTCTTTCCCATAATGCTGACTGTGGGCTTGATGTGTGCATGGTTTGCTTTGGGCAGAGATGGCAGCAGGATGTGGAGGCAGTGTGATGCTGTAGGCAAAGTTCTGCTGGGATACTCCGGGTCCTTGTATTCATACGGATGATATTTTGACATCCACCTGAATAATGTTGCAGACCATGTGCACATGTTGATGCCAGCGATGTTTCCTGATGGCAGAGGTCTCTCTCAGCAGGATAATGCTCGAATCCCCGTCACCCTGCAAACATTGTTTAGGAATAGCTTGAGGAACATGACAAGGAATTCAAGGTGTTGACACTGGCTTTACAGTTCCCCTCGATTGCGATCGGATCGAGCATAAAAACGAGTGAGATCCACTGAGGCACCATCTCACAACTTCCAGGATGTGCTGTTCCTGTGTTGGTGCCACACAGGACATCTACAGGCCTTGTGTAGCCGTTTAGCTGCTACCAGGCTGATCTACACAATATGAGGTGGTTTTGATGTTATGGCTTTAACTTTAGAATCATATCTAATAATCAGAGCTGTTTACATTTTGTTTATTAAAAGTTGTCTCGGCTGTTTTTCAGTTTTGTAGTTATTGTATAGTAATAGTAGAGTTATTATAGAAACGTATGTTCACCCTGAACCACCAGAAAACAGCCGTGTTCAGCTGCCTTCACCTCCTAAACCTGAGCAGGTCTAAAGCTGGCATAGATAACAAGGGGTTTGTTTTCATCATCGTGCCAGTGTCAGAGACCTGTGTTTTAATTAGAGACACTACTACCAACACGACTCGTATTCCTTTCTAAATAGTGGGAAAACATCATTGGTTTATTGTCTGTGATCCCGGCTTCTGTGGGCTGCTTTAATGATTTTCAGTCTTTGAGAGCGGTGTTACATTAATGTATTTTATAGAGGAGGTTCCCAGAGTGAAATCTGTTTTTCATTTCAGTCAAGTAAAAAAAAAACTCTCCACACTTGCCAACCTTAGAAATTCAAAATAAATAATTTGACAATAATGTGACGATGTCGTGATACGTCAGGAGTTTAAATATTTAAAGGATCGCAATGTGTTTTATAGTTGCTGTAATTGTTTTCACGTATAACTCGCATGCACAGTGCTCAGATTAGAAGAAGTCGGCTGAAATGAGCTGTAGAAAAGGTTTCGGGTCTGACCCGGCTGTCGGACCGGCTGAGGCACACTCCAGGCCTGCAGGTCTGGACTCTCTGAACTTGAACTCTGCTTCTACAAATCATGTTGCCGTGCCACAGCCACGTGCCCGCCCCCCTCGCCCCTCACCACACAGCCTCTCTCTTCACGCTGAAGCTGGAGCGACTGAAATCCCCCGAAAGGAAAAGACATAAATTCCCCGAGAGTCCGAGTCTCATCACCCAGAACAAGGCTGTGATTGTGTATTTCCTAAACTTAACCTCTGACCCCTGACAGCCATCTGTCTCTAATAGTCTGCCACTACTTCCTCTAAATAACCCACCTCTCAATCCCTGACGTGGCCTTTCCCCTCGGGGACTTGGTTTTCCACAGGTACAGGAACCTTTAGCAGTCAGTATTTTTCATTAACATGAGTTCGAGGACTTTGTGTGATGTGAAAGGAGTTCCTTGCGGTGATAAACCCCACAACCGATTATCAGCCAACCGTGCAATTCCATTCAGCTTTGAGGAGCATTTCAGCGCTTTCTTACCTCATTGTTTAGATTTTCTGGCCTGCAGCTTTAGTCTTGGTTCACTCTCGCTGCTCTCATCAACATCATTTCCAACAGTGGCAGACGACTATTTTTTAAAAAAGGTGAAGAAAAAACTTTCAGTGACTCATTGTGCGCTCCTCACTCAGGAACAACAGACAGGCAGAGCAGGTTAGCGACTAGCTTCTGAATGCTGTGTAGTGTTCAGCAGCTAAACTGACAGATGTTTCTGCAGGAGTTGGAGGAGACCAAAAGTAGAGCTAAAAGGAGAGATAGCATTCAATAGGCGGACAGACACACGACTCCAAATGGAAACGGATGTTGTGTTGTGTCTACGAGGTGTGTCCGAAAAGTTCCAAGACTGGTGTCACAAAAGATATATTTCAAATTCAAATTACCAGTTTTCCCCTTCCAAGTAATCCTCCTGGAGTCTAACCACTTCTCCAGCCTTCTCTTCACGCCGTCATGCACTCCTGGAAGGATTCTTCAGGATCCTCTCAGCTCCGTCCTCACAGCCATCTTGATGTCGTCCACGTCTTCTAAACGGGTCTCCTTGATGACCCCCTTGAGCTTGGGGAAGAGGAACCAACCCCACGGAGCCAGGTGGGGTGAGTAGGGAGGTTGCTCCAGCACGGAGATGTTCTTCTCAGCCAGGACCTGTGGGATGCTCAGGGCGCTGTGAGCAGGTTGTCATGGTGAAGCAGCCTCCACTGGTCCTGACACAACTCTGCCTCTTCTCTGAACGAAGCAAACGCTGCAGGATCTCTGTAGACGTGCTGGTTGATCGTCTGAAGGGGAAAACTGGTAGTTTGTAGTTTGGGTTTGATTTATATCTTTGGTGACACCAGTCCTGAAACTTTACTGACTCACCTCGTACTTGATGTGTAAGCAGCAGGTGTCGTAACGATCACATCTGTATAATGCGGTAAATGTTTCAGCTTGTTGTCCAAAGCAGCTGTTGGTGCAGCATTAACTAGAAATCCTCACAGTGAATTTGATCTTTCTTGTTTTCATACAGCTCTTGAATTCTAAGGTGGGATTTTCACCATGAACCATAGTCTTGAGTCTTGTCCAGACCTTGGCTTATATCTGAACACACATGAGAACCATTTTGTTAGAAACTCTTAACAAAAGCAAATGAAATAATACTAACCTGACTAGAAACATAAGAATACATCCTGTGTTTGCTGGTTTACTCGGTGTCCAGCTGTGTGCAGTATATTTTGTTAGTGTGTCCGTGTTTGTTTGGAAAGAAAAGGAGCACAACTATGGAGACATGCTGCACTGAGAGCTTCAGGCTTTTTAAGCACCTTTTTTTTATGCCTCTCTTGTCGTACATTTAAAAAAACACGCACACAAAGTAACCTATTGTTATGAATTAACATGAGTTGTATTTAACGATACAGAATCTACCTGCTCATCTGTGCATATCAGCTTTATAAAGGCTGATTAAAGTTAATCAGTCAGTTGTCTTAATTGTATTGAAAAGCACAGACAAAGATTAATAATAATATAAAAGTAATCCAGTCTTTTCTTGTATTTGGAATGAGCATCACCATTGATTAATTCTATCAACGCTTCTTGATTTACCACCAAAACTACATGGACACCCAACATTAGGCCCAAATGTGATCTGATAGCATCTTATTCCAGAATCACTGCTGCTAATCGTCTCCACTTCTCGAGAAAGGCTTTCTGCAAGATTTAGGAATCTGGCTGCAGGGATTTGATCTCATTCAGCCACAAGAGCATTATTGGAGTCTGGCAATGATGTTGGACGATAAGACCTGGCTTGCAGTCGACTTTCCAGTTCGTCCAAAGGGGCTTGGACGGGGTTGAGGTCAGGGCTCCAGTCAAATTCTTCCACACCAAACTCAAAAAGTCGTTTTCTTCATGCATCTGGCGTCGTCACGTTAGCAAACAAAAAAAGGTCGACCGCAAATTGTTGCTGCAATGCTGGAACGGCAGTATTGCCTAAAATAGTCTGCTGTAATATTCCGATTTCTTTTATTTGAATTTCACGACTCCATCCTCATCTTCACGGCCGCCGCAGTAGTTTGAGCTGTTAGTGGTGGTTCGGGGACGTCTGAGTTGTTTGCTCGTGTGCTACAAGTTTTAAATGTGCAAGAATAGTCGGGAGGCATTTATTTGATTCAGTTTGAAACAGCCTGCCTCCCACCCCACCACATCTTCACCTGGAACAAATGGGTTCTGCTCAAACCATGAAAATAGCCAGAAAGGACACAAAGCATATGAATGGGTTGTCCACACACTCCTGGCTGTGTGTATTTATCTCTTCTCTGTGTGGGCCACCCACTCTGCATACAGAAGAAAGACATGAGAGACACAAAAAGGCACATAAACATGACATATAAAACATATAAAAATAACTAATTACAGGTTCCTCCTGCTCCCGTAGTTCAAAAGAGTCAGTGCAGCAGTGTTTGGCCTGAGGTGCCGTGGAGGTGTGTCTGGCATGGAGGGAGGGCCACTTTCCATCCAGAGTACTTCCTTCCACTATTTTCATTTGGCGATAACAGAACCAGGGGTGTATTTATCAGCACAGACTCTTCTGTATGTGACCCTGCTGGTCAGGGTGTTTTCTCCGGTTAAATTTAGCAAACACGTTTCCACTGCTGCCGTTTCACTCTTTGTTTTGATGCCTGCTTAACAGTTTCAAATGTGCTGCCTGGTAAGATGAAAGATGGGATGTGTGTCCTAGTTTACACTCTCAGGCTTTACTAGAAAAGACCGAGCAGGAGTGATGCTTGTGGTTTGTTTGGTTTGTTACCTGTGAAGCATTCGCCCACCAGATTTATCAGGTTGGCCCAGGCAGAAGGATCTTGATGGAAAGCAGCGATTAAAAAACAAAACACATCTTATTAAATCTAGATGGACAATTTTCTGATAGCAAGAGAGGCTATTGTCATTGTATTCAACCACGCATGTAACGGTCTTGAGTTCTGGCAAACAGAATCCATCCAGATGTGATTAACAAGCTGTTTTACATGCTGTGTTTAGATGGTTTAATTCAGCAAACAACGGCCATATAACCCTGCTGCTAAGATCTAACATCTGGTGTGTATCTGTTACTGCGGGGAAACAACATAAACCATCAGAGCAACGAGATTGCTAACAGTTTTAACCACTTTTGGATCTCGCTGCCCCCAACTGAAGGTGTTAATTAAGGTTGTTTTGAGTTTGTAACGTCCAGATTTGACACGGTGAATAGTGGAGTCACAGTTTTTCGCATGTCTTTAGATCAAAACAATAAGAGCTACATGTGTCCTAATTCTCATGTGGTGTGGACAGATGGTGTCTGTAGGACCAAGAAGGACTGGATGGAAATCCTGTGGAGGCTTAAGTGTTTGTTTTTTCTCTTTTCTAAACACTTCCGCTCAAACCTTTACTTCAAACTGTAGCCTAATTAGTTTTGGTGGTTCTCATTGCAGTTTATTCTGTGTGAGGTCTCATTAATGTCTCCCATGGAGGTGACTTATATCTGCTTTATTAACACCCTCCCTTCATTCTCTCTCCAGGAGCTTTTCCTGTGCTTCAAAGGTAATGCTAATACCACCTGCTTGATCTGTGAGAGCAGGATGGATGTGTTGTGGAAAACAGCTCAGTGCTCAGAGGAAGGCAATGCTTTGGAGCGAGTTAGATGAATGGAGGCTCGTGGGGGTTTTCCATGTCCATTGTGGTAGTTCATTTGAAGGAGTCATTAACGGGATTTCCTGGCGTTGTAAAGAGATATTTCTCTGACAACTCCAGTTCAGAAGTTGTTAAGCTTTGTTAATTTTGCTGTTTTGATCATGGATAATGGATGTCATGTGCAGGTTTCAGCATTACAAACATTGGGTTTTGCCTTTTTGTCTTTTCTGCTGTATGGGATTATCCAGTAAACTGAGCCTTTACGTTACCTAAGCTTTAGTGTGAACAGTAATCAGGTCAGTCGAGTCCTCATTTATATGAAATGAATCTATCTTCTACATGCATGGATTACACCTTTAGGTTTCTCAAATTGATTACAGTGGATTTACAGTGCAACAGGTTTGGCTGATGTATTCAGAACCAAATTTCCCTTCTGCTTATAAAAACAACTGTGAGGTCCTGTATTGTGCAATGCATGACTAAATTGTCCGTAGGTGTGAATGTGAGTGTGCTTGGTTGTCTGTCTCTAAGTGTAGCCCTGTGATAGACTGGTTACCTGTCCAGGTGAACCTGCCTTCACCCTGGGATAGACTCCAGCCCCCCATGACCCTGGTGAGGATTAAGGTGTAGAGATGATGGATGGATGGATGGTCTCGGTCTTGATTTAATGCATAGTCTTTCTGGTACAGGATTTTGTTACCTCGATACTTTTACACTTCACACTTTATAGCATTTGTTAAACAACTATCGGACTTTTTCATGTCTGTATGAAGATGCTGTAATTATTTAACCACTGTGATAAAATGCAAACAGAAATGAAGGCCCGTCGTGTAGACTTTGTAAAGACAACAACAGGTGGTTTGTTAGTTATTTCCTAAACTTGTACATTGAATTGTTTTATGACCAGTTTGTGAACTGTAGCAGCTCAGTGGCCCAACAGGGACACAAACACAACACTCAGACAAAACAGGTAGGCTTAATTCAAAATGTAGAAACCTCTTGGATCAGAACCAGATTTTAACCTAAGAAGGCAGTCAAGAGACAAAAGCGGTTTAGATGCTGTGGTATGAGCAGCATAATTAATGATTTTTGCTGAGAAAATTGGCTGAAGGGCAGCTAATGGGAGAAGGAGTGGTGGTGATGAGGAAAGGTGGTAACAGGTGGAAATGGCAGCTTCTAAGATGACAGGAGGACGCATGTGTGTTCAGGGCAAATAACAAGGGGTCAAAACAGGGCCTTTAGTCGAAATGTAGTTTAAAGTATTGAATCTCTTTCTAGTTAGAAACTGCAGTGATCAAATTGTCTGTGTTTGTCCCAGTACTGTTTTCATAGTTTCACAATGACTTCCAGTAAAAACTTTACACCTTCTTGAACCCGTACTGGAAGTGTGTTTTGGCAACATGAAGCTATAAGGAGATTAACTGTGAAATTAAAATGCAGACAAATGCTGACTCAATCACCATTCTTTAATAGGGAACAAGATTCTGTCCGTTTTTGTTCTCACGACTGAAACTACTTGACTGACAAGCTGATTCTGTCCCGGCTTTCCCGTGTTAAACATACAGTATCACCGTACCAGGTCCATGTGAAGGCAACATTTCTAATTGTGCTTGCTGTTTATTCAAGCCACAGCTATCTGCTGCCTACAGAGAGATTTTTCCCGGCACAGAGCTTTCCAAGTCTGTACCAGGGAACTCTGATCTCGGGGTATTTACTCTGTGTGGGAAGGGGCTGCTTCTCCACCGACCGAGACCAAAGGTTTGATGAAAACTGGACTCATTCGCTCGTGACCTTTCCCTGTTAGTTAGCTGACGTTGGCTGTTTGGAGCTGTGTGTGTTTGGACAATAAATCTCCACCAGGGCCCCGGCACAGACTGGGACAGACAGGAAGTATACAGTTTCACGGTAACCATGGCAACATCCCTTTGGCCTCATGAAGGAGGGGTTACTTGGATTGGAGGGGCCTTGTCAGCAATGGGCCAAGTCTGCAAGTCTGTCTTTGCCAACTGGGTTAGTCTCTCAATAAAAATGCCTGTAGCGTATTTCAAAATAAGCAACTCCCAAATCCTCTACCGCTTTTAATTACAGTCAATTACATTAAGCAGAATTTGGGCTTTATTCAGTTAAACTCTGATGCTGATTTAACGCCTTCCTTATGTTTCTCTCTCTAGCTGCTTTTCTGTCCAGTCTGGGCCAGTATGAGATTGCCATCCCAGTCCGTGTAGGACCGAACGGCGAGATGCTGGACACAGAAACAACTCAACACCACCAAAGAAAAAGACGCAGCACTGAAGACAAGCTGCCTGACTCTGTATTAAGCTTTTTGAAATAATTTCATTTACCCTTTTGTCTTATAATCACACACATCTTTAAGCAAGTTGAACGTAGTTATATTAATATATTATACACTTATATATTCCTCTCTTTTTCTTAGCTCTTCTACCAGCTGTCCACGTCACGGAACAACTTCCTGCTAAACCTGACGCTGCAGGGAGGCCTGTTGTCCCGGCAGTTCCGGGTAGAGTACTGGAAGAGGGGTCGATTAGCCTGGAGTCACCCTTACTCTCCCCATTGCCACTACGTAGGACATCTCCAAGACCAACCGCACTCCAGCAAAGTGGCCCTAAGCAACTGTAACGGCCTGGTAAGACCGAAACTTCCCAGCCTAATCCACAGCTAATACACTGAGTGAGGTCAGCACCAGCAGCAGCAGCGCTGGCTCAGCAAATAAGGGATCAGAAACGCTTGATTCCAACATCAAAGCATTAAATTTTAACAGACCTTGAATCCTCGTGTCAGGTTTAATCTTTCGTCAAACTCACCAGTGTGGTCTTTTGGTCAGGTCCTTTTAAAACTTGTCTCAAAGGACGGATTCATTGTCAAAGAGGCAGTTTGCCTCATAGTCTGTAGAGGTTTAGCAGAAGATGTTGTGTAAAAATAGCCAGTGATGCTACTGTAGACTTATCACAGTGTTTGGGGAGACATTATTGTAAAAGAAATCCAGTATTGTCACAATTTTCCATCTAAGGGTTTATTCCATATTTACATCATATGCGTCAAAAGTCAAAAAAGGGTCGTGATTATGACAGTTGGTAATTGTGAAAATCTGCAAACTTGAATGGCTGACTTTAACTGTCATTAGTCATCCAAGTTTGTTTGTGCCAAGTCTGAACCTGGCTATTGAAACGACTGATGATAACGCTGCACACCTGATTGTGTAACACCCAGCTGCACGCATGTAAAGTTTTATGAAGAATGCTGCCAAACTCTGCCTGCTTTCTCACCTCTAAACACCTGGTGAATCGCCACATTAAGCGGCTTTCGGAGAGCTATAAAAATCGTTAGGAATTGGGGCGACCTGATGGCCAAGTGGTGAGAGCGCAGGCCATCTAAACTAAAATGTCCTGAACAGTTGTGTCCCTGGTTCAGCCCGACTCTCGCTGAATGTCTCCACTGCAGCGTCTGAATGAAGGCAAAATGCCAAAAAATGAGCTTTAAGAGAAAATTGTCCAAAGTTGCCCCTCTAATTCAAACTCGTCTGAATTAGAGGGGCTACGTGTCGTCTCATACAGTGCATGCAGACTTCTGGCCTCAACTGTACATAAAAGCAAGTTAACAGTACAGTGAAGTTTTAGTCTGCTGTTAACATACTTTTGGGCATGTAAACACTTTACTGAAAAAAAAACAAAAAAGGTCAGGGTTGGTTTTAGACGTTGTAAGACGATCTAACAAGCGCTTTTTTTGAAGTTTGAGAGTCTTAGCCTCTGCCTATTACTTACAGTGCATCAGGTTCTGGCATGCTGTCTTTGGGCTGTTAAAAGGCGTTCTGGAAAATGTAGGATATTGTTCAGTCAAACTGTAACTCTCTGCTTTCCAAAGTAGACACGTTTAGCCCTTAGAAAAGCATCAGTTCCATTTCATTTACCTTTCTCATGAAGTCATCACAGCTCATCACAACAGAGACCTGGCATCTGTTTGTTGATGCTTCAAAGTTAGTTCTCATCCGAGCCGCTTGACTGGACGCTCTGAATCGTGATGCATCATTTTGTTGGCTGAAAGCATTTTGCTGTATTCACAGCACCGTGTATCTGTGTATCCTCTCACTACAAACAGCAGGCCCCACAATAACAGTTGTATACACAGCTGAGGATTAGATGTGTTCACAAAGCGTTAATAAGCCGCACACGTAATTACTGTTAGTCAGACCAGCATGAGCACATTCACCAGCGAGCGGGCTGTGTGTCCAGAGGAGCATCACTAACTTTATTATGGGATTAAAAGCACTTTGAAAGCTGCCGCGGCGAGTCGAGGGGAGACACTCGCTCCGGCTGGGGCCAACACATCTGAGCAGAATCAAAGGAAGTGTTAGTGTATCGCTCTCTGTCTCACTCGCTCATTTTTCTCGCTCTCATTCACTCTTTCATGCTCTCACGTGTGTTTGTTCTATGGGGTCCTGATCCGCTTCTCAGATGGGTCCAGTTCCCCACAGAGGACCCTGTGAGGGGAGACAGTGTCTGTAAAGCAGCAGTCTGATGATCAAGTTGCACGTCTAACACATTTAAAACATGAGGTTCATTATGTCACTAAGCAGCTGTCGGATGCCCTGACATGAACGCAGACTTTCACTTGCACTGAATAATAATGTCTCGTGACGTATTGCTGTGCTCGTATGTTTGTGTTTCATCACTTCATAAGAATCTTGTAGCTGATAACGTTGCCGTAACAGTCAGAAACCCTGTGATTGTAAATGAGAATAATGAATACTGTATGATAAGCTCATCTTTGAGTCGGCAAAAGAATCTTAACTCAAACTCCACTACTTACCTGGCTATGGATGGAGTTTTCTTCTTTTTTGTGGTTATTTAATGGCTCTTTTATATGCTGTGTTGTGTTATTATTGTGTATTTGTAACTGATATTATTTCATGAGCAGTAAAAAAACAAAAAAACACGACTAGCTGTTGACACCTTCACTCAGTGGTCAATACAAAGTCATGTTTAAATTCTAGTTATAATCCAGAAGTTTTTAAATATACCAGCCCTGCTTGGTGATGATGGTATGCAGAATATTTTAGATGATAGAATGCTGCAATAAAAAAAACATGCAATCCTGAGTGTAAAGATTTCTGTAGATGTAAACAATCTTAAAGCTACTTAAATTAAATTAAAGGAAACTGAATGGTAAGGGGTTAAGCATCTGTGCTAGAATCGCATTATTGCATGTGTGTCATATATGAAGGTATATTTTGGGTTTATACGAATAAAAATCTGCTTCAGGTTTGCTTAATGGACTGATGTGTATTAACTTTGTGTTTTATGAAGCTCTTTTGGCAGTAAATGTAAATGGGATAATAAGTACAGGTTTGGCTAACCTTTGCACTGTAAAGTTTATGATATTTGTGTCATGATGGCAACTGTCCCTGTTATTCTATTCTATTCTGTTCTTCAAATCTGTCTCTCTGCAGCAGGGGGTGATTGTTGCAGGGGGAGAGGAGTACCTGATTGAACCCCTTGTCTCACCAGATAACCAAACCAGGACGGAGAAGGAGGAGAGAGCAGAGGGGCGCCCCCATGTGGTTTACAAGCGGTCATCGCTTCGTCACCAGTACAAGGGCCAATCCTGTGGAGTCATTGGTGAGAGGAGAGATGTGCTGTCAGTTTAAGCGGCAGCAGTAAGGTCCAGACTGGAGCAGTAAACAGCTCCGGGCTGATTTGCAAACCAGCCAGCAGCAGAAGATTGTGGTTGTGTTTTGAGTTCCCAGTTGTGATTGGGCGTGACCGTGTCTGTTGTTACAGGGCGTTGCTGAAAAAGCAAAAGTATGTTCAGAAAACCATATTTTGACAAATAAAAGTTTAAAAAAAAAATTGTAATGCTGTGCCTTAATTCTGCTCTTCAGTCATGTGAAGTATGTTCAGACATCATTCTGGTTGCTTGGTGAAGGCTTTCAGCTAATTATCATTAATCAAGGCAAACGTTTAGTGAGTTGTTTGAATGATGTTATAACTGGCTTAGCTGCTGCTATGTTTCTGTGGCACTCTTGCCTCTATATGCTTTGAAAATATGAGTGTGTGTGATTTACCTCAGATGAGAAGCCAATGAAAGGTGCGTCATGGTGGCAGCGGACTCTGAAGACGCCTCCTCATCATGTGGGTCGCGGGCAGCTGCCTCTGAAGCGCTCCGTCAGCCGGGAGCGCTACGTGGAAACACTGGTGGTCGCTGACAAGATGATGGTTGGATACCACGGTCGCAGGGACATCGAGCAGTACATCCTGGCTGTCATGAATATTGTAAGTGTCACAACACAAAAGATGTACACGCACAGAGCACTAAAAAAATCATTCTTCTTAATGAATACAAGGGGGAAATTCTTCTCTTTCTTCATGCCAAGTTTCACACTAACACAGAATCACAGTGAGAAGATGTGGTCAACATGTTTTGTTTTTATGCAGTTCGGTTATGCTGAGATTTCAGCAGCAATCCATCAGCCGGTGGTGGTTTGGTTACTTGGCATCATGCAAAACAAAGAAACAGCTCGGAGTCAACATTTTACGGGATTAAAGAAGAGTTGGAAAGAACAGAAATGTCTTTTGTGACAGAAATAAGTTTTAGTGCTTCTCCAGGGCCAAGGATTACTCACACATAAACTTGTTAATACATTTAAGTGCCAAAGAAACACATTCAATTGGAAATAAATAAGATTTATGCATGTTTAGTTGCATGAATAATGTTTATAGGAAGAAATAAATGGAATTGTGTAGACTTTTGCCCTGTTTCTCCCCGGGGAGGCCACATGTTTTAGTCAGACAAGTTCAGGTCGTGTGTCGTGGTCTGCAGTATTTCTGTCAATGGGGATCTCCTCACACACAGTTAATCACTTTAAACCCTACACACACGGGTTAGGAATGTGTTTAATGAAGGGTTGGTCAGCAGACAACGCAGGTTACATCCGGACGGTTACGAAGTCACACAAACTAATAGTGTCTCTTCAGCGGTGTGAAGCAAACTGGAGCAAATTACACCAGACAACAGTAATGACAAGTGTCTGAGCGCAGCTTTAGGGCTCAGAGTGGTTTCAGCTCTGCTCCTTTTTATTACTGTTGCTTCTTTAAACTCTGATCATCGCTGGTACACTCAGGCTTGTCTTTTTTGTGGAGTGTTTGATTATAGCTCTGAGCCAGTCTGGGTAGGTGCACAACACAAGAAAGCCCTCCTGCCCTCACAGTTAGACAAATTTAACCAGACTTCCTGGGAGTGATGATGGGAAGATCGGTGCTTAGGTCGTTGTTATATACGGGCATCTCATTGTGCTGTGAATTGGCCTTTTAACAGTTTTCCATTTGTTCATCCATTTTTAAGAAATGGCCTTTCTTTCCTTTTTTCCCCCCTCATGTTTCTGTCTCTCAGCTCTACTGTCATGCGCTCAACTGGTGTATCAGCCGTTTTTAAGACTGGTCTTTTCTTGTTTCCCTGGAGGTCAGGTTGCCAAACTGTTCCAGGATTCTAGCCTGGGGAATGCAGTCAACATTGTGGTGACACGGCTCATCCTGCTCATGGAAGACCAGGTAAATCGACTTTGCCAGCCACTGCAGTGAGCTGTTCAGCCCTCCTCCGCTCTCTCTACGTCTCTCTGTGCTTGTCCTCATTACCTCCCTGTCCAGACTCCATCAAACACTTCCGTGACCAGCGTCTATGAGCTTGTTATTTGTGTCAAATTATTGGCTTAAGTGTATTTTTCCTCAGCGCTCCCGACGGACTCTTGAGTGTGTAAGTGGGTCTTGTGAATGGCAGCTGTAATGACAGGAATGAGAGGATGTAAGGAAGCGAGGAAGAGAGAGATGATTGAGGAAAGGCGGAAAAGTCGAGAAATGAGGGGAGTTTTGTACCTGTCAGACAGAGCTGCTTTGTGAACGTCCTGCTGGTTTCTGCGGTGAACAGTGACCTCTCTGAACGTTGCCATGACGCACGTCCAGGGTGTAGTAAATCTCAAAGATAGATTTAGACGCTGATGTGTTTTACATGAGTGTCTAAATCTGCTTCACAAGAGGGGATGCAGAAACCTAAGTGTGTTGCGTTTAAGGTACTAGGGAACACCATCAGACTCTATATTTACAAGACAGAGGTCTGGTCTTGCCACTGACCAGTGTTCTGTAGCCACACTAGTAGATGTTAAGAAGTTGGAACACGCATTCATGTTTTCGTCAGTTAAATAAACATGACTCCTAATTTAGGGACATAGGTCAATCGGCCAAACATTTAATTTGATTTAGGACTATATATATGGACAACATTAGTGATAGTATGGTGACGTGCCACAGAGGAAGGTGAACTCAGGAGACACTATACCTGTTTTTCACATTGAGCATTTAGCGCAAACCACCGCCTTGCCTAAGGACCGTCTCCCAGAGCGTAGCTGCAGACTCCTGTTATATGATGTAAGTGAGTGACTGGAGGTCAGAAAGGACACAGAGTGAGAAGCCACACCTGACCACAAGGCAGGAGTTCAGCTCATAAAAAGTGCATGACCTTAGCAGCATAGCTCAGGAGATGACTGAGCCATCTGACTACCTAGTAAATGACCTTATTAGCCTGCCATTAACGGCATGCGGTGAGACGGTGCGGCCTTCTTGCGCTCTGACAGATGAATCATACTGAATTACAGGGGCATTACAGTGCGGCTTTGAGGTTTCCTCTATAGCTGTCTTATTAGGGAACATTTTTGATTCATACTGTATATACTGCCTCAAAATTAGTCCCATAATTTACCGCTCGGATGTGTTCGTTATCTGACAAAGTAAAGAAGCAAATGTTAGGATCATTAGCGGTGGGCAGTATTAGTGTTGTTATTCTTACTCCATGGACCGTTGAGGTTGAGGTCGGGACAGGATTGAGAGGAGTCTCTTTGAGTGGTTCTGTTGCTGGTTTCCAGATCTGAAAAAGGCAAGCTGCCCCTGGAAAGAAAAATGAGGCCAGCAGTGGGCCCAGAAACGAGGAACTGTGGGATGAGACAATTACTAGTTATGTCACCACATGCATTCCTGGGTTACGAGTTCTTGCCAGCTGTGGCCGGCGCACTCTCTCCTCTCCTTCTCCTCTCTGCACCCTCATAATACTACGAAGGTGCAGAGATACATAGTTTTCACAGGACGGAAAGACTAACATATTATGGTGGAAAAGAAGCCTAAATCACTGCAATGCAGGAAGACTAAGGCTGGGTTATCATAGCATTGTGTGGCTGTCATGTGATTGTTGGAACATGCTCTTTGCTGATTTTGGAAGAGTCTTATATTATTAAATGAAGTGTCTTTGGTGAATTCATGAAATTGATTGTTTTGCGTTTGAAGACTGAAATACCTCTATTTTTTTTATTTTTTTTCCTCCAAATTTGCTTTTGAGTCTGTTTTCCCTCCCTTGTCTCTCCACCAGCCAACCCTAGAGATCAACCACCATGCCGGGAAGTCTTTAGACAGTTTCTGTAAGTGGCAGAAAACCATCCAGCACCGGAGCAGTTACGGGAACGCCATACCAGACAATGGCATTGCTCACCATGACACCGCTGTGCTAATCACCAGGTCAGACACACAAACAGAAAAACCTGTCTCACAGGAATGAGCGATTAGGACTGTAGCGCTGTTCTGGAGCTTTCTTCATACACAAATAATGGTAATTTAGAGCAAACTGTCTGTTGCACACAGTCCGTTGAGCCAAAAACAAAACTCCTACTGCAGCTTTTTGTTCATATCAGGGTTAAAGCAGTGTTTCCTCCAAGCTGAATTTGTACATTCCCAGCCCGTCTGCTCATAGGCTGTCATTAAGCCAAGTCCAGGAGATTTGGGCTGTATCTTGTCCTGTCTGGGGTGACAGTAGCAGGAGCCTCTCTGCACAGCTCAGCACCTAGACAGGCAATGTAGGAGCAAGATATGACAGAGGAGCAAGAGACAATGACAGATATATATATTTTTAAAGAAAGCAGGAAAGAGTAAATGAAGAGCAAGTGAGCGGAAACCAAGCAGAGCAGCCTTGAATCTGACACTGATGCTTCCTGTCAGTCGTCTCTTTATTTCCCTAACTGCCTTCTCTGCTACAGATTCTGCTGGACGCAAATGCAGACAAAAGTAGTGGATGCATATTCAACAGATAAAACACTGATGCTATTGACTGAGGAATGTGCAGCAGCGAACAACATAACCATGGTTTGGTCAGAGTCATCTGAATGCAATGGGGCCAGGCAGAGCGGCTACAAATACTTTCCTATTCTTTCTAGCAGAATGCGCCATAAACTCATGCTGCAGGAGGTTAGCAGTCAAATAGAGGTGGCACATAAACAGATAAATGTCCACACTCGTTTTTTTTTAAAGATGTGGGCTCAGTGGTTCCTTTGGGAGAACAGTTTGGTTTTAGCAGAGAATGGAAGCTGTCTGGACAGATGACACTGGCTTCCAGCTATGGTTTGCTATCACTGCTGTCTGCGGTCCATCCATGAAATGTTTGTGTGTGGGTGTCTGTCAACATCTGTGAATGCAGTGCAAGTTCATATCCAGTGTGTTTGTGCATGTATGTACCCATAACCAATCCTGACTACATGCTGAATATTGTTGTTTCTGTTTGACTTTGAGTCTGAACACTCTTGTTTGTTTCCCCTCCCATCTGCAGGTACGACATCTGCATCCAAAAAAACAAGCCCTGTGAAACCCTAGGTAACATTCATTCACACACTCACGCAAACAGATGCGCAGTTGTACTTCTATACTTATTGTTTTCCATCTGTCATCATACACAACCCTGCTTCTAAAAGAGATGATCACAACACTTAAACCTTTTTGTATCCTTAATTCTAAAAAGCAGTCGTGTTTCTTAAAGCGCCAGCAGCAGGTCCAGTCCAAGTTGAGGATTGGCTACAAAGTCCTAAAACTGATCCTTACAGAGTTGACATACACACGCTGTCATACACAAGAAAGTATGATACAGATCCTGTGTATTTACAGGGACGTGCATTGTGTATGTTGCTGGTGTAGTTTATCAATAACAACATTAGCTAAAACCAGAGTGAGCAAGACACTGAATTGCTGCTTTACGTGCTACTAAACCTGTGTCAGGATACTTCTGATCACATCTCAGCCTCTCTGAGATTCTGAGATTCAGTGTTCTACAGCATAAATGTGATTTTTCTTCATGTAGTGTATTTGTCCGTGTGCGTGTGCGTGTGCGTGTGCGTGTGCGTGTGCGTGTGCGTGTGTTTCTGACAGGTCTGGCTCCAGTAGGAGGGATGTGTGAGCCAGAGAGGAGCTGCAGCATCAATGAGGACATCGGACTTGGAACAGCCTTCACTATCGCCCATGAGATTGGACATACGTGAGTAACACAGACTCCTTTTTAATTTCCTGGACCTTTCAGACGTATCCAGGTTTTGTAAATGTCATTAAAAAACAGCTTTTTTATATCAAAGTCCAGTTAGTTTGTCGAAATCATCGATCATCACAGAGTCGGGTATCAGACAGCAGAAGAATTACACACAGAACTTCACCCTCTGGTGTTTCTAATGAGCCATGCCATTGCCTTGGTAGGGCACAGTCAGTGGGTTGATCTGGTCTAGAGTGAGCTGTCTTTATAAATATTGGACTGCCAAGTACATGAGCACATCCATTGGGACCATCCAATGAGCAGCAAGTGGAAAAACATCCAATGCAGACAGATGTTTGTTCAGAAGAGCTGAATCATCCACACGTCTGCTGTCCTTAAGAAGCTTTTGTTTTGTGTCAGATGATGCATTATAAAACTCTGAGGACAGGGTTACACTCCACAGTGTTGCATGCACATTAAACTATGACCCACCAAGATTGTGAATTAGAAGCTCATAACTTTGTGTTGCCAAACATCTGTCCTGCTGGAAAAATGGAAACCCTGATTCATGGTTGTTTTTTAGCTGAGACTAAAGCACAACATATCTGGGTTACCTGAGGTGTCTTGAACCCTTTGTTGGGGTCTGGTACGAGTAATTGTTCCATCAACAGAGAGCGATTGTCCTCAGATCACATCTCTTCATTTCCAGAGAAAGTTTATGCAGCATGAGTCATTTTACAGCTGGGACTGAGAATGTGTTAATAGTTGTTTATTTTCTTTAAGAGACAGTGGGATTAGTTACAGCTACAGCACCTGGAGGTGTTTCTGTTTTTATTGTCTGGCTCGCCCAGATAGCGATGAAACTTTGTTAACTCATTTGTCTGATAGGTGGTCTGAATCATCTCTAAACCAGTAATTCTATTAATCTATATGCTTAGCTGTGCTTGGGTACAGACTGAATTAAGAGATGTTCTTGTAAAGCCCCACTTAGCTCAGTAGTTCTGTGTCCCATTGACTTGTATGCAAACATCACTGAGAAGCATGAGGGCAGATGGTGGATCCATCAGGGTCCTACCTTCCTAATGGTTAACACAGGTAGTTTTCAAGCTCTCCGACTTCAAGGCTGTCCTGTCAACATGACCGGGCGGCGTGCGCTAATTAATGGTGTGTACATGCAATCTGTTTCCCCGACTGCAACACAATCAGCGGTTGTTTTTAACTGTCGTAGAAACTGTTTTGGCATCACAGCGTCGTATTAAATTAAACGCAGGCCTGTTTGTGGTGAAGAGTACCCACATGAAAAGACAAGACATAAATTACTCTGTTGGGGGATGAAAAGCTTTCAGGACGTTATATTTCAGGCTCAGACACGGCTACTGTGAGTTATCTCTGTCTGCAATAAATGTTCAGGGAAAACAATGAGACTCCAAGTTGGCCTCTATCAGCGTGGGACTATCGCCATATGGTGTCATAGATTTATCTTTTCACCACGTAATGTTTAAGATGGACCACGACAAGTAATAACCTTGTGGATAAGACTTTTTCCTCATAGGATTTTGGGTTTATTGGGTTCAGTCTTTGTCTGGGGGCTCTGCTGGTTTTCTTCCTTTGCAAGCTTTTTCACTGCGTCATCAGAAATGATAGATTAAAACAAGCATTTGGACAGAGATTAAGACATTTTATAGACAAAATGATGAATTTATTAATCAAGAAAATACGCGTTAGTGACATGTTTTGTCTGAATTCAATGGTCCTTACCTTGTTGACATATTAAAAAAGAATGTCATGTAGAACTTGGTATGTGTGGAAAATAATGTGGAATAAAAACCATCGACATTTTTCTTTTCCAAGACGCAAATATTGAGTTTACATATAAAAAAGATTAAAGCAACAAATCCTCACATCTGAAATGTATTATTTTACTTTAAAAGATAAATGACTATTGACCTAAATGATTAAATTCCACAAGTTGCAGCTCTAAACTTGACCTCGTTTCATACAGAGCTGCAGACTTCTGTTTGATACCAGTTGGAATAAATTGGCTGCAAACTTATTTCTGTGTTAAATCTAAAAGTTGGGCCCCTTTGAATTTTAAAAAGCCATCACAAGGTGTAAACCAGTCCCTGACTTGATGTCCGATAAAAAAAAAAAAACAACAGCCGGGCACTACATTCTGCTGAAAGCCGCTGACCATAGATGGTACAAGGGAAATATCCGGACACAGACTTTTTGTCGCTGGAAAGTGAACTCTTCTGACAGCTGTGGACTGTAATCTTTCATATGTGTGTTCTTCAGATCCCTCTTGGTTATCCACAGTGATCTTTTTTCCACTGTCCCCATCGCTGCTGCGGGGATTATTACCCGTCCACATGGCCTCAAAGTCTTGTCACTGTATCATCATGGGCTTTAGGTTTGGGATGAACCATGACGGTATGGGGAATGCCTGTGGGCCCCGAAGCCAGGAGACCGCCAAGCTGATGGCTGACCACATCACCATGAAGACAAACCCGTTCATCTGGTCCGCCTGTAGCCGGGATTACATCACCAGCTTCTTGGAGTGAGTGAACCTATCAGATATCTCTACCGCCACAAATAATTTGGAAATTGCAGGTTTTGAGAAAGAAAAATGCTGTTGGATGTCGGTGTAACATATTTGATGGTCAGAGAAACATCCAAGTCACAGACGGGTCTTGACAGCAGGCAAATCCACTTACATTTAATTATCTGCATCCTGTGTTTCAATAAAACCTGATACAGTCTGAGAATAAACAATTGAAACGATGCCAGTTATTCTTAATCTTGCTTTTCTTCTTCTTCTTCTTCTCCTTCTCCTCTGTCTGGTGTGCTTTAGCTCAGGCATGGGTTCCTGTCTGAACAATGTCCCCCCAAAGCAGGAGTTTGTGTACCCTACGACAGCACCGGGTCAGGCCTACGATGCAGACGAACAGTGCCGCTTCCAGTACGGCGTCAGATCTCGACAGTGTAAATATGCGGTGAGTAGTGTCTAGAAGTTCACGGCGTTTGCAATTTTTAAATGCAGTATTTCTGTATATTTAGTACATTTTCTTAAAACAATCAAGAGACAAAATATCTGAACAGAATTGTCTATTTTTGACTGGAAGTGCAAAGTTTTGTCCATAAATGTTTCCAGACCTTTAGAATATCTCGAAGTCCTGAGTCAAGGCAACTGGATTTGTTGTTTTAGATGTGAATCAGTTGTGTCTGTATGTGCAGATGGACCAACCCTCTGTGACGTTACCTGTAGGTGTGTTTGAAGCTCAGTGTGGTGGCTCCTCTTGGCTGATCCCTGACCCCTTGTCGCTCACTTTTAATCCAACAATGAGCCAAGTGGCAGAACTTGAAACATCAAACCAACTGTGCCCTTAATTAACTTTAAGCCTTCATGCAATCTAGGTGGGTTGAGTTCTACACAACCTCACCTCCCGTCCAGTTGTCATGAATGGGGAGATTAGCTATGGAGAGCAAAACTGTGCTTTTTACCAGACTGTAAACATGTTTATTTCTGCTGCAAAGTTGGGCATTTTCACATCGAGGTCTGCGGGGATTGACTTCGTTCTGGAGCCAACCTCAAGCAGCTGTTTGAAGAAACTGCAGATTTTGACACTTCCACGTTTATTTTTCGACTCTGAGAGTTGCTGCTTGGTCGTGTCATATTTCAGACCCGACAAAAGCTCTTTCAAGTTATTCAAGCTCCATAATGGATCCCAACTGCAACACTTTGCTTTACGTTGGAAGTCTTGCCCCCCGTTCTGTTTTTACATTCTGCTTTTTGTCCCCCCACCACGAGCCTTCTCATCAGTGCATCAAATAAACCCTGTAAAGTTATTTATCTCGACGCTCGCTGCTGATTCATGCTGCTCTGGCTCTCTCCTTCAAGCCTGTGATGTAAAACATCTTGAGGTACCGTCACTGAATAGCATTTATTTTATTGCGTGGTCAAGTTTTACAAGGCCAGGTTCAGAGTGGATGGACATCTGGAACAGCAAACTGCTTTATAGACTCATTATTATCGATAGTGTGTAGTCAGAGCATATGTACACAATAAAACATAACCCCATGTGTTATAGACATTGCTGCACAGGGAGAAGAGAGGAAGGTGAACAAAATTTGTTCTGCTCTTGTCTCCGCAATAATCATATATACGTCCACTGTGACAGGTTGTCTCACTTTGTTCTTGTTTTCATCTCTCTATCACAAATGTTTTATTTTCCTAATTTCCCTCTCTTTCTCACACAGGAAGTCTGCAGTGAACTTTGGTGCATGAGTAAGAGCAACCGCTGCATCACCAGTAGCATTCCTGCTGCAGAGGGAACCATCTGTCAGACCAACACCATAGAGAAAGGGGTAAACGCTGAAAGCACTGTTCATTTCAGAGTTAGGGCAGAATGGGGGAAGCGGTCGTTGCAACGCTGCACATGTCGTGATAATGGGACCAGTTGTTGTTTACAAGAATGAAAACGCAGCACGCGTCTTCACACTGAATCATCTTTTTTGTTGTTTTGTTTGGATGGAATGTCTTCCAATAAAAATACTTGTCAGATGAACCATTCTAAAAGGGAAAAAGTCATCCGGAAAAACAAAAGTTGAAGAAAAAAACAACAACAACAACACGGCTGTTAACTGTTTATATTAGGATGTTTGTTCAGGACTGCTGCGTTTGTTGATTAGTATTGATGTCTATGACTGTAACTTAATCAGCCTGTATCTGCAGCCGGGTCTAAGTGTGTCTCTGTGTGCTGCAGTGGTGCTACAAGAGGGTGTGTGTTGCCTACGGGACTCGTCCAGAAGGTGTGGATGGAGGCTGGGGTCTGTGGTCACCCTGGGAGGAGTGTAGCAGGACCTGTGGAGGTGGAGTCTCCTCTTCTGTCAGACACTGTGACAGCCCCAGGTACAGAGCTCACCTGTGACCAGTCTGAAACGCATTATCACACTTGTATTTAAAGAATCGGCAGCTTTGCTAAAGCTGAGGTCGCTTCAGGGGGCGCTCCTGTAGCTCACCTAGCTGAGCGGGCGACCCGTGAACAGGGGCTATAGTTCCCAGTGGGTTCGACTCCCGCTCAGGTCTCCCCCCCAGTCTTCTCCCCCTTTTCCTGTCTATCTCTACTGCTCTAAAAATAAAAAAGCCCAAAGAATATATTCAACAAAAAAACTGCGGTCACTTCAGGACACAAAGGAGGAGATCAAAAACAGCTATAGAAACTAATTGGAATATGTCTTGGAATGTAACTGTGAAAGCTAATTGTCTTCTGTGTAGATACTTAGAAGTCATCAGTACCATATTGTGTGCAGTATTTCTGCTTTCCTATTTATTGTCATTATTTAATACATTTTATTTTGTGTATTTAAAAAATCGTACCTCACACTGAGATTTGTTGTTGATTGTGCAACACACTGTGTATAAGCAGCAGAATGTGCACAGGAAATGTTATTATCATGAGCTAAGTTCATATTCCTGCAACGTCCTGAATAGAGACTTTATGTTCAATATAAAATGCAGAGATTCCTGCTTAGTTTTAAATATTACTACAGTTTTTTCCTAATATTCCATTTATACCTCTTGACTTTAAACAAACGCACCTTTATCATTTGATCTTTTATCACATGGAGTGTTCTGTTTGCAGCAGTAACTTTCTGATATATTTATTTCATGCTATTAGTATAACTTCATAGGAGCTGTTCATCCCATCCAGAGGCTCTCCAGATCAAATAACACAACCGCAGTATAGACACACCCAGTCCTGCAGTGTGTGCTACAGCCAACATGATGAGACAGACGACAGCGACAGTTAGGACTCTGCAGTTATACAAACTGTTGACCATTTTAGAGATGCGTCGATTCGGCATATTGGCTCGGTGCTGTTTGCAGGTAATCAGTGAGGGAAGTTTCTGTCACACGACACTCCGCTTCTTCATCAGCTGTTGTAAAATTTTAAAGAAACTTCCCTCTTCCCTGAAAACTCGACCCAGAAAACATCAGTCCTACTATCTAAATTCAGGACCTTCTTGCATGCAGCAGTGGAGTCTGAATCATCACAAAACAGCCAAGTCTTTTGAATCACGGTCACCAGATGCCTCATCTTGAATTGATTAAACTGAGAATGGATTGACCCAAATCTGAGGCCAACACTGTTCTCCTGTATCATTTCTGAGCATCACATTTTCTTGGGTTCCATACTGTTTAAATTTGTTAAAAGTTTAGCAGACGCAGCCATTTGACTTGTGGCATTTATACCTTCCCTTTAGGTTCTATTTTTAAAACACAGCGTTGTTGTCTGGATGGTCTGGGAGAGACAACAAAAACAGACAAGACAGTGAGACTGAAAACACAGATAAAGGCAGACAGCAGGGGTCAGAAGCCAGTGTTGTGTGCTGATGTGATGAGCTTAGATCTTGTAAAACTGCACTCAGATGTCACTAACTGGCCCGTTTCACTGCAGGCCAACTATCGGTGGAAAGTACTGTCTGGGGGAGAGAAAGCGCTTCAGGTCCTGCAATATTGATGTGAGTAGCTACTGCTGCTGTCCTGGTAGTCAACACACCGTCATCTAAATCATGAATATTAGTTGATTCAGTTGGTTCTGTGTGTCTGCTCTGCTTGTCAACTCCATATTTGTGTATGTTCCAGGAGTGCCCCGCAGGCTCTCGAGACTTCCGAGAGATTCAGTGCTCCGACTTCGATAGCATTCCTTTCCGGGGGAAATTTTACACCTGGAAGCCTTACAGAGGAGGTGAGCGATGGCGCTTTACGTCTTACTGCCGTACATCACCAACGTAACTTACGCTGAGCAGGTGACGTTCTAGAAAACAGATCAATGTGTCTGCCAGCACCACATACTGATCCTTGACAACAGTATGACCATTTGTATACGATCCCTTGGAGCTGGTGCATGATAATGAGACAGCCTCGCAGGTATAAAAGAGTTTCTACAGTCTGTCTAAAACATTTTCTTTCCCTGATGAGCACAGCTATGAGAGACAGATTCTTAGTGGAGGGAACTCCAGGCTTTCTTGCCTTTTTTTTTTTTTTTCCTGTTGGCTATAAGCATTTTCAAAGCCTTTTTTTTCAGTGCTTTGAATAGCAATATATTCCTAAAACAGAGACTGGTGAAGCACTAAAGCCTTGTACTTGTTGACCTTATAATGTTTGCAGTCAGCCTACTCACTGGTTTGAATTATGTTTTTCTTCTTGGTCTTTACTTGCTTCCAAGACTGTTTAACACTGCCAGAGTTGTGGCTGAAAAAAGAAAACGAAAGTTGTGTTACACGCCTTAAGAATCCCTCTGCAACATGATCATTTATTGTGATACACAAATGTAATTACAGTCAGATCTGCTTGAGCCTTAATGATTGGGCGGTGATACTGATAAACCTATTCACTCGTGCATTCACACACTCGGCCTGTTTTTTTTTTTACCAGCTTTCCTTGGCTGCAGCAGCTGTGTTGCTTTTAGAATGTATTTTATTTTTAAATTCCTCTTGTTGGTTTGAGATTATATTTTTATATTCTGCTTAAAAACAACAGAATAAACCATATTTGCGATCCGTCATCTGGTGCCAACTTTCATGTGAATGCACTCATTGCCAGATTTGGAAACTCTTGGTCAAGCTAACAAGTTGACAACCAGCTTTGTGCAGACCTGTGGTTGTTAGGCTTGGTGAAGCCAGATAAAGAAAAGGATCCGGGATATGTTGCTTCGTAGTACAGGCAATTTTACCAGAAGTATCTTTTTTTGTTACACCTCATTGTTTGAAGGATATTGATGTTCCACTTGCATGAGATTGCAGGCCAATGGTTTTAGTCAGTGGAATTAGCACAGAAGACGAGAACGGTGAAGGTGAAACCGTGAAGATGGATTAAAAGAAATAAGCCAAGAGTTGATGACAGCAGACAAACAGAAGTCAGGAGAAAGTGAAGTGTGAGAAGTGTGTGTGTGTGTATGTATGTGTGTTTGTGTGTGCGTGTGTGTGTGTGTGTGTGTGTGCGTGAGTCAAAGCTGCAGACGCTCTCCTGTCTGGCCTGCAGATGCTGGCTGCAGAGAGCCACGCATCCCACAATGCCTTGCAAGAATTCCTCGCTCCTGATGAACGCTAGACGCTGAACCTGGATGTGAAAGATAAATAGTTTCAACGACATAACTGCCTTTAATCTGGCCCTCCAATACCATAATGGCTTACAGAGATGGTCAGCCGTCCAATTCCAACTTCAGGCAACAAGTGCTCCTTTCATCAAGTCAGCTGATTTTACAATGGAAATCCCTTGCAGCTGTTAAAATAGGACCGGTGCCACGGTCTCTGCCCCGCGTTAAGTCCAGATCACACCGCCCAGCCCCTTCTCTGTCTTCTGCAGCCCTCTCACTCTCCACAGCTTCTCGGTTCAGCATCCTCCCTGACACTTCCACCATCACATGTTTCATCTCCTCTCTCTTTCTCTCCATCTCTCACTCTGTTGAGCACACCATTATGCAATCTCTCTTTCTCGTTCCTGTCCTGACACAGAGAACAGGGAGAACCTTTCTCTCTCGGCTCAGGCAGCCAAGGACAATTCATTAAAACAGTCTCTCGTTTAAGCAGGATTTTTTTTTTCTTCTTTTTTTCAAACAAGCTGCTCGACATCACTGTTCTCAGCCCAACAGCCTTCACATTCAACCTTCACACTCCATACAACACACCCTGAAAGTTGTAATGCACACCCTGCTGCTAGCCATGCTTGCCCTGCCAAAGCTAGGCAACATGGGAATTGTAGTTTTCCGTGGTCTGACCACTTTATTGTCTGCAAATCCTGCCAGTACATACTCTCTCTCTGTCTTTCTTTCTTACTTTCTTTCTTTCTCTCTCTTCCCAGTACATACTGTACCTGCTTCAGCACTGCCAGCACAAACAAACACAGCCCAGACTGATGTCAACAGCCACTCAAATAGTGGAGCTGTTGGCAAGCTATGCAGATGAATGAAGGATATATACCACTTGGCAGGAGGAGACCTTTAGCAACACCGTGTGTGCCTGTGTGTGTGTCTCTTGTGTTGGTATATTTAAGCAGTACTTAACCTCCTCACACCAGCAGGGCTACTAAATATTAAACATATACACATTTGTTAAGCAGTAAAGAGGAAATTCAGCTTAACTCTGACTTGGTATATGTGGCTCCGATTAGTGTTAATATTGACTTTGGTCGTGCTTTACCCTTTTTTTGATCTTGAACATTAATTATGCAATGTCCATAATTCATGGAATTTCTCCTTATACAAATGAAGCACAGTGTTGGTTCAGGCAGAACACTGAAGGTTTGCTTGTAGTAGCTGATTGGCATCAGCCTTCATACATGCTTCCCAAAAATTGGACTGGCTCAGGTCGTGCCATACATTCACATGTACCATTATGACAGTTTTGCACCCAATATTGACAGAAAAACACAGAATTGTAGACATTTTTGCAGATCTGTTAAAAAAGAAAAACTGAAATATCACATGGCCATAAGTATTCAGACTCATATATTTCACTCAGGTGTTGTCCATTTCTTCTGATCATCCTTGAGATGGTTCTACACCTTCATTGGAGTCCAGCTGTGTTTAATTATATTGGTTGGACTTGACTATGAAAGGCACACACCTGTCTATATAAGACCTTACAGCTCACAGTGCATGTCAGCAAATGAGAATCATGAGGTCGAAGGAACTGCCCGAAGAGCTCAGAGACAGAATTGTGGCAAGGCACAGATCTGGCCAAGGATTTCTGCTGCACTTAAGGTTCCTAAGAGCACAGTGACCTCCATAATCCTTAAATGGAAGACGTTTGGGACGACCAGAACTCTTCCTAGAGCTGGCTGTCCGGCCAAACTGAGCAATTGTGGAAGAAGAGCCTTGGTGAGAGAGGTAAAGAAGAACCCAAAGATCACTGTGGCTGAGTTCCAGAGATGCAGTGAGGAGCCTGGAGAAAGTTCTAGAAAGTCAACCTCACTGCAGCCCTCCACCAGTCGGACTTTCTGACAGAGTGGTCCGAAGGAAGCTTCTCCTCAGTGCAAGACACATGAAAGCCTACATAGAGTTTACCCAAAAAAAAAAAAAAAAGAAGGTCTCCCAGACTATGAGAAATAAGATTCTCTGGTCTGATGAGACCAAGATTTTTGGCCCTGATTCTTGGCGGTATGTGTGGAGAAAACCAGGCACTGCTCATCACCTGCCCAATACAGTCCCAACAGTGAAGCACGGTGGTGGCAGCATCATGCTATGGGGGTGTTTTTCAGCTGCAGGGACAGGACGACTGGTTGCAATTGAAGGAACGCTGAATGCAGCCAAGTACAAAGATGTCCTGGATAAAAACCTTTTCCAGAGTGCTCAGGACCTCAGACTGGGCTGAAGGTTCACCTTCCAACAAGACAATGACCCAAAGCACACAGCTACAATAATGAAGGAGTGGCTTCAGAACAACTCCGCGATTGCTCTTGAATGGCCCAACCAGAGCCCTGACTTAAACCCAATGGAGCATCTCTGGAGAGACCTGAAAATGGCTGTCCACCAACGTTCACCATCCAACCTGACAGAACTGGAGAAGATCTGCAAGAAGGAATGGCAGAGGATCCCCAAATGCAGGTGTCAAAAACTTGTTGCATCTTTCCCAAGAAGACTCAAAAGGAAGCTTCTACTCAATACTGAGCAAAGCGTCTGGATACTTATGGCCATGGGATATTTCAGTTTGTCTTTTTTAACAAATCTGCAAAAATGTCTACAATTCTGCGTTTTTCTGTCAGTATGAGGTGATGATTTTAGCAAATGGCTGCAAGATAACAAAGAGTGAAACATTTAAGGGGGTCTGAACACTTTCCGTATCCACTGTATATACTCACGCCAACGTGTATTTTCTTTTATTTTAATTAACTTTTGTTTATGAGGGAAAGTCCTCCCAGCAGAAATCTTGTTGCTGCTCAGATTCTTCGAGAGCTCCCTCAAGAACATAGTCTTGAACCAACATCTTGAACGTATAAATATCTTGCACTTGTGAATAATTATGTTTTTATAGTTTATAAGTAATTTTTGAGTTTGTCTCTCCCAGCTTTGGTGCAGTGGTATTTAAACCACTGTCCTTCTGTGCATGTTTATATGCATCCACTGATGTAGTATTCAGTAGTTTGGTGTTCGGATGTGTTTATTCCAGAGAAACAGAGACATAATCACATTCAGCTGCTCGTTCTCCAGTTGTCAGCACAGAAAAACATTTCCTACTCCCCTGCTGACTTCTTTTCTCTCATACGACCTCTTCTGTCTGCACCCCTGTGGTGTTGGGATGTTCTCAGCAGAACATGTGCAAAAGACTTCTTGTTTTTTGTTTATCTGGGCTTTTTGTAAGGGACAATGTAGACTATTAAACATGAGTGCTACCATTTGATGCATTCTACCAAAGTCAGCCTAAGGCTATTTTCCAGCTGTAGTCCCCTGGAAGGTCACAGTTGCACACAATCGGGTCCACACATTCACAGCAAACAAGACAAACATGACAAAGCATATTATGCAAATTACACTTGCTACTTGTCTCGCATGTCAGCACATCATGCAAACTTTATGCCACATACCGTTACAGATTTTAAACAGATTTGATTGCAGTATTTTCATTGTTATTTACATAAAGACAGACTTTGTGTCTGTTGTCAGTCCTCAGTCAGGTGAAATACCCGACATGACCTGCTTAGCTGCAAGTGAAACATGCGGCTCGGTGCAGGAATTCAGTTCTGAGACAGTTTAGAAAGACACACACATGTCTGCGTGACAGACAGCTGACAGTCTGTATCAGAGATCATGCCATGAGGTTGAAGGAACCGTCTGCAGAACTCCGTGACAGAGTTGTGTCAAGGCACAGATCAGAGGAAGGCTTTGAACAAAATACTGCAGCATTGAAGTTTCCCAAAAGCACAGTGACCACCATAATTTTAACATGGAAGAAGTTTGGAACAACCAGAACACTTTCTAGAGCTGGCCAACTGGCCAAACTGAGCCGTCACAGGAGCAGGACCTTGTTAAGAGACCAAGAACACGATGGCCACTCTGGCTGAGCTCCAGATATTGTGTGGAAATGGGAAAAACTTCCAGAAAGACAGCCATCAATGCAGCACTCCACCAATCTGGGTTCTATTGCAGTGGCCAGATGGAGGCCTCTCTTTGGTGAAAGAAACATAAAAGCCTACTTGGAGTTTGCAAACAAGCGCCTAGAGGATTCTCAGACTGTGAGGGACCAGATTCTCAACTCTGAGGAGACCAGAATTGTTTGGTTATTTTTTCCTGGAAAAAACAGGGAGACGTGTCAGGATAGCAGGAAATCTTAAGAGTGAGTGCAGAGTGCTGAGACATCCTGAATGAAACCTGCTCTGAGTGTTCAGGACCTCAGACTGGGCCTCAGGCTTGACCTCCAACAGGACTGCGTCACTAAGCACCCAACCAACACAGTGCTGACCAGCCAGAGCCCAATCAAACATCTGTAAAGTGACCTGACAAAGACTTTCCACCAACGCTTCCCATCCAGCCTGACAGAGCTTGAGAGGATCTGCAGGGATTAATGATAGAAAATCCTCAAATGCAGGTGTGCAAAGGGTCTCAACACTTACATCAACGTGATATTACAGTTTCTCCTTTTCATTTAATTTTACTGTAATTCTGTTTTTGCTTTCAGATTCATTTTAATATATATATTGAGTGGAGAACTTCTCCAGAGCTGCTGCAGGAGCAGGATACTGAACACTGTCAGGGACTCCTCACACTCTCTCCATAAACTGTTTGAACTGCTGCCATCAGGCACATGTTTAAAGAAAAAACCTCCAGACTGATCAACAGCTTCATTCTACAAGCTGTCAGAATGCTGAACTGCTGATCTAGATTTGCAAACACTCGTTTATTTAACGAAGAAACACTCTCTCATCTTGCCTGTACTACTGTGTACGTACAACAAAATGACAATAAACTTGATCTGATTTGATTTGATTTGAGAGTGACGAAGGAAAAAATAACTGATTTCATCTTAAGGCTGCACCGTAACAGACTATTAACAATTTGAAGGGTGCAGTACGTGTGCACTCGTGCTGTTAGATTTGCTTTTGTTGTGTACAACCCAAATATGTTTTTGTCAGCGTTTGTGTGCTTGTGTGTTGATACCTGCTCCCTGTGTGTTTGTGTATCCAGGTGGGGTGAAACCCTGCTCTCTCAACTGCCTAGCTGAGGGATACAACTTCTACACAGAGCGAGCTCCTGCCGTGGTGGACGGCACGCCGTGCAGAGACGACTCTCTGGACGTGTGCGTGAACGGGGAGTGTAAGGTGAGGGAGGAGCGTCTTGTACATGTGTTTGTTTCTATACATCTGTGCAAGTGTTCAACCGAAATACAAGGTGTTGGAGGTGAAGAGACGCTTTAAACTGATCAGCAAAAGGTTGTCTTCACCTAAAATCTGTGGTTTATACTCGCTCTCGAGATGCTGGACAGTCTCCATTGTCTCGTTTACACACCAACTGCTGGCAATCATCACAATAAGTTTCTCAGCTCACAAACTAGATTCCCATTACCGATGCTCTTTCTTAATCCCAGCTGTTAATAAAAACAAAACACTGAACTGCTGTTCATTTTAAAGAAGTGGAGACCACCTGGAGCTCCAGCAAGTTCCTGGATCCCATTTGACTCCCACATGGCCAATTTGTAGAAGAATGTAGGCAAAAGAAGCTGTAATTGTAACAGCGCGCCGCTTTGGTAGTTGTTGCTAAATCGCAATCTGTTTGTTTTGGATGTAGTTCTACTCTAACCAGTTTTTTAAAAAAAAGCTTTGGACAGGGTGGAAAAGATGTGAGAGCAGAGAGAAAGGGGACATCATGATATCCAGCTTGTTGTTTAGTGATGAGCTGCAGCCAAAAGATTTTATTTTTCAGCCCGTTGCCTCCATCGAGCTTCTTGATCTGAAGTGTCTTTGCAGGCTGTCGGGCCGTGGAGCTGTGGAGCTGTGGAGCTGTGGAGCTGAAGCAGGCTAGAGTTTCTGGGCTCTTTGTTTATCAACACCCCCTCTCCTTTCTCTGCTCCTTCCCCTCCTCCTCCTCTCTGTACTCGGCTCTGTTCTGCTCTGTAGGAACTCAGTGACCCTCCAGCTCAGCTGTTAGTCTGTCTGCACTGCAGGCTGGCTTTCATTCACTGCACTCTTATTATCTCCCTCTCTCTTTCTCCTTTTGGACTCTCTACACCTCTCTGCTCCTCTCTCACTTTTACCCGCCTTCCTCCCCCCTCCCTTCATCTTCTCTCTCCTCTCTCTCCTCCTCCTCCTCGATCGCCCACCACTTGTGTATTTTGTGCACACACACAACTTGCTGAGGAATCTCTGTCTCCCATTTGCTGCCTCGTTTTAGTTTCATTTTCAAAGTTAAGGTCTGACAATCAGACAGAGGGGAGCAGCAGACGGAAAAATTTGCAAGTCCGGGAAGCAGAAAGAGGACCTGGGAACAGGTGGTCCAGTTTAACACAACATGCTTTTGCAGGATCTGTCTGCCAGAGCCTCTTTATAACAGATCTACTGGACGAAATATAGAGCGAAGAAAAAATCTGCAGCACCTGTTCTGTTATGAAAACACTAGAGCAGGTAAATGCAGGCACCAGAACGTCCGAGTCGTTTCTGGAGTTTCACCACATAATCTGCCTCAGTCGAGACGTGAAGAGGACTTGTGACCGACTAGACATTCCTCAAAAAAAATCTGCATGAACTAAGAATTGGCCTTGATTTCTTGCAGTTGGTTGTTTTTAAAACAGTTTCTTGTATAAGTCAAATGCACATCCAGTGTTTCAAATATAATTTCTAGCATCCATGGCTCAGCATTATAAGGTGCATAAACTCTCCTACTCATACATTTAGGTGACGCATTTAATTTATGTTAATATCTTGAATTACACTAACCTGCTCTTCTTTGCTTTCTGTTGGGGAAAACTTTATGCTGGTTAATTAATACCAAAAATAGATTTATCTCTGTTACCTTCACATGTACACTGATGTGATTCAAAGTTATCAAAGATAGAGGTTTATTTATTATTATTCAATTAGTCCATATATCATTGTCATTATTATTATTATTATTTCCCATTTTGTTCCATTTCAAAAACCAAAATATGAATGATGTTCCAGTAAGCAGACTGTTTACAATCATTGTCGCTTATTTTATTCATCATTTGCTTTGTCGATAACACGTCAAAAAGCAGCAGTATGGATTCCTTACTGTACTATCTGGGAAACACTGTCTGCATGTAGACACGAGAGGCCTCCTGCTCGTAGGGATCTATATCATTTTAAACTCTAATAACTCACCACTAGTCACATTATAAATCCACCAGATAACCATTGGCTGAATCGCCGTTTCAACCCTTGATTTAGTTTTGAACTGTGATCCAATCAGTATAAAAGTAATAATAAACTTAAGCCTCATTATCCCTCCCTACAATAAGCAGCTGCCATATAAATATATGAGAACAAGAGCAGTTACCATTCATTTTCTGCTCTTTTGTTTAGGTTTGGATCGCTGTTAAAGAGTTTGAGTAAAACCACCTGCTTCGCTCATCATGAAATTTATTTATGTCGACAGCTATGAGTTTAGCAACCTAAGAGCATTATGTCTGCTAAGGATCAGAAAACACATCTGGACTTACCATCTGATATTTCTGTGTTTTAAAAAACTGGTCTGGAAGAAATTAGGAGGTAATCCCTAAGCCCGGCCTCTGACACCTCTCGACTTACAGACTGTGCCCCTTCACCCATGACCCTGAGTGACCCTGCAGCTCACTGCTTTCTCCCTTTTGTCGCAGCACGTTGGTTGCGATCGTATCCTCGGCTCGGACGTACGTGAGGACCGCTGCCGGATCTGCGGGGGTGACGGGACCAGCTGCGTCTCTGTGGAGGGACTTTTCAACGACTCCCTGCCCGAAGGAGGTAATGAGCTAAAATACTTCTTTTACTCTCCCAGAGATTTGACCATTTGATTTTGTGAGCTGCTGCCACACAGTTCTCTGCGCGTTCAGATAAAGATTTGGATCTGTCCTGACCTTATTAGCAGTCTGGGGAATAAGGGTTCGCTTTCTGATTTTTTTGGAACACTGTCCACTTTTCTGAGAACGGGATTAAGCTGACACGAGGCGTTTACCATGAGAAGTTATGCAACGTAATTTATGTGTTGTCCCAAAAATGTGCACATTTCGATCCTGATACTCTGGATTGTGAGTGCACCTTGGAAAGCTGCCTTGCAGTTCGAGTTAGGATAACCCAGACGTTCAAAATTTATATCACGCAATTGCCTGTTCCCCTGCAAACTCACAGCATGCTGTTAGAGTCGTTCATTTGATAAAGCCAACAAAATGTCATGTAACAGCAGAACAATCCGTTATTTCAGCACCTGTTGGACTCAGGGTTTTACTGACGAATGCTGTGGTGTACACAGAGCAGGTGAGAGGTGATGTAGTCCAGTCCTACAGTTGGCGTTACAGACACTAACAGTCACTTGTCTACATCAAGCGGTTTTATTACCACCTCAGGGGACAAATTGTAATTTCTGTTTTCCCAATCCCTTTGTAGCCATTTAAGGTCTTGTTGGAAGGCCTTCAAGGTTCTTCAGGCCATCAGTGTGGGCTTTGAATAGGTTTACAGGAAGATAAGTATCTTCTCCTAAAGTGGAACAGATATGTATTCTAATTATGTGACCAACAGAAATATGAAGCAGTTGTGTATATACATCTATATATAAGTGGACAAATACAGTAAGTCTGGTCGGTATCACATGCAGACACCACGAGCCAGCCAAAGATCTTCTAGGAAGACAAAGAAAAGCTCCTTAAATATACACATATGCATACCATACACTGTATACATGCATACTTATATTTATCCACTCGCCACCCAGGGACACGTGGCAGACAGATTTAGGTGAGGTCCGACCAGTGCGGCTTGAGGTCCTTCTGCTGTCGAATCTATTTTGGGTCACTTTCTCCCCACAACACCAACTCCAGAGTCTCTCACCAAACTGTCAACACCACACCCTCCCAGGATTCCTCAGAGGAGACACGCCCGAGCAGGCAGCCGTTACTCCGAACCACAGTGGCCAGGCCGCTCCGTCAACCCCAGCTGTGGTCTCAGCGACCCTCGACACACGTGACATTGCTGTTGGCCTGAAAATCCATTAATAGGGCTGAGCGGTGGAGGTTTAGGCATGTTGTGACTGTGTGATTCTGGGGAGGCTCCAGTGATGAACTCACTTGCTTTGAAATTAAGGAACATGCAAGAGACAGATTTTTTTATTTTAATTTTTTTTTTTTAATCTGTGATGACTTTCAGTGACGAGTTTGCATCGAGCGTTAAACTAAATGATGGATCCGACAATTCTGATCTTTAGACTTTCTCTAATGTATAAAACACACATCTTTCTGACTCCACACCTCCTATTTGGTCTCCAAGTAAAAGCTGAGTCACCATCACCACAGTTTTTTCTTTTTTTTAAATTTCCCTTTACAGCCTCAGAAGACCTTTTACATCTATTTTTATCTAAGTAGTAAGTAGTACTACTGAGCTAAGTAGTACTCATCATCAAATAAACTGATGGTCATGTGTAAAAATGGTGGAACGCTCCTTTAATGTCCCAGCATGCGGTCGTAAAAAAATCAAAGATGCCATTTGTAGAGTTAATGCGTGTCTGTTGTGTCCACCACCAACATGTGCACCATGTGGCCAGAAGTTTATGGACATCAAACATCCCATTTGTGATTGTTGAGCTCTTTAAAAAAACACCAACATGCTCCAACATGCTGCTGCAACATTTCCTGTGCAGGTTTTCCACATGATTTTGGAACCTGGCTGCAGGGATTTGCTTCCATTCAGCCAAAAGAACACCAACAGGGTTTAACCTTAACATGTTTGATGGTTTTATCCATAAAGTTTTGATCATATAGTCTATAATATCCCCAAATGCTTTTTTTTTTTTATCAGTGAAATATTTTAAGACTTAACCTCCTGTCAGAAGTTCTAAACGTCTCAAAATAGTCGACTTGGTCACAAGCACAGCACAGCATGTTCTCATCTCCAGCTGAACTCAAACTGCAGGCACAGACTGAGGGCTTATTCTGGTCAAAGGCAGATTTATGAGCAGCTCAATCACTCAGTCATGTCAACATTTGATTCCTCTGAACTCCTGAAGGCTTCAGCCAGCACTTCTCCTCTCTTCTCTGCTCCAGTGATTTAAAGGTTCCCTGTGGAGTTTCAGGCCTTCTAGCAGCACTATGGAGCGGTTTGTCCGTGCATCAGCGTTGTGTTTGTGTTGTGCGTGTACATGATACACATGGCAGTAATCTCACATTAATTCACTGATCTGCAGGTGATAGCAACCGGCCAAAATATGCAGCAATGCATCTGAAAAGGCAGGAAGAAATAAAAACTGCAAGCGAGTAAGTGTGACTGTGTAAACAAAGCAGGTGTCAGTCTTTAAGAAAAATCAGCTTCAGTGTTTCAAGGAAATGCCTTCATCACATTTACTAAACCTCCGGGGTACACTGTGGGTTCTGGTGAGTAACACTAAATGGAAACACAACGTTAAGCAAACTTCACAGGGCACCCTTAAGTACGGTGTGTCTGCTGGTGCTGAAGGCAAAACAAGTATAATAAGATATAAGAATGCCCTCTAAACCTTTCAAATTCAGCTCTAACATTCTGCTACTGCTAACGTCATCCTGCTGTGCATGTTCTACGGCCCGAGAATGAAGCCAGACTAGTGGAGCTGTAAAATATGAAAAAATGACATCAATGTCGAGAAGACTGAAAGATTAGCTTCCTAATGCTGACGAGCTCCTTAATTCTTGCACTGCTCTCAATATAGTTGCATTAATGTCCCTTCAAACCTCCGCTAAGGTTCAGGTTTTTGCAGCTCCTGTGTTTACCATGCAGGTTCCTGATTGTTAACAGAAGAAGCTTCATTCTTGCACTTCTGTCTGTACCTGAGGTCAGAAAACTCAGATGCTGGCCATCTAAATTTCAACACCCTCGTCTACAAACCAAAAGCAAGGAAAGCTCTACAAAAAGGTCACAACCCAAAACCACACTGGAAGGAATTGTTTTATTCTTCCACTCGTTCATTCCTCCGTCCTCTAGTGAGCTGAAGTTATTTACAGGGCTGCAGTGGCGGACCTTCTGGCTGGACAGCCGAGCCGAGCCGAGAGAGCAGAGCGAGGTGGGTGGAGGTGAGATGAGCAGGAAAAGAAAGGGGACGAGAGACCAAATCAATTGGAGGGAAATGGAGAGAGAAGTAGCAGAGAAGCCGGCTCTTGGCGTAGTTCTTGCTCTCGAGCAAAGAGCCGAGCACAGCAGCCGAGGACAGCTGCCCAGGAATGCAGATGGAATCTGAAGCCTCTGCTTAGTCCATTGGCGTCCCACAGAGCTAAACACTACTTATGCATCGCTCCCCTGATCCCCAGCGAATAAACCTCCCTCACCTTGCATTCATTTTTTTTTTTGACTTTTTCTGGGTCTATGTGTGTCTCAGGTTATGAAGAGGTGGTCAGGATTCCTAAAGGATCAGTGTTCATCCACATACAAGAGCTCAACATCTCCCTCAACTACCTGGGTAAGATGATGCTAAAGCTAACGATTAACATCACTCCCTTTGAATAGAACTGCAGCGTAGGAGTCCACAAAGGCAGAGTCACATAATCTTAAATATCCCTGTACCTTTCTCTCCCAGTGCTGAAGAGCAAAGGTGATCAGTTCTTCATCAATGGGAAGCTGACCATCGACACGCCTCGCAGGTTCTCCGTCGCCGGCACCACTTTCCACTACAGACGTCCGACTGATGGGCCAGAGACTCTTGAGGCGCTGGGACCAACGAATATCACACTCATTGTGATGGTAAAATGGATTACAGCAGAAGTATTCATACAGTTCTAGATGTTTGCTGAATGAGGATGAGACAACCTCATGGTGTGTGTTTGTAGGTGCTGGTGAGAGAGGAGAACCCAGGCATCCACTATCGTTTCAACCCCCCAGTCAACAGGGATCCTCTGAGCGGGTTTGCCTGGCACTACACCTCCTGGTCGCGCTGCTCAGCCCTCTGCGCCGGAGGTAACGACACAACAAAACACACAACATGTCACTTCAGAGGACATTGCATGAAGTTGCTTTCATTCCCTGGAGGCTCACCAGAATCGTTAAACATAACCACTACATGCTCAACGCAAAACCCAAATGTTTACGCAACGTTTTTACGTTTAGGGGCACCAGAAAGGAAAACAGCATTAACCTATCATTTACAGCAGATGTCACCTAAATGTTATATTAGGTCAGTTTTGTCTCTTTTCTTTATTGTGAAGATAAATTTAAATTGCTTTGCGTTTAACACTTGGTTAAAATCAACTCTTTGAAGTCCATGTGCACAGACAGAACCCCTGTAAAACCACAAATTGTCATTTTCACGCTTTGGTTGTGCACAGATTAAACAGTAAATTAGAGTTTATTAGGTGCTAGTTGGCGAGTTGTGTTACCTTTGGACTGAGCGAGGCTAACTGTTTCCCCATGTTTCCAGTCCCTGCTCTAAGCTAAGCTAAGCTAAGCTAACCAGAAGAGTCGATTCATATTTTCAGACAGACACGGGAGACATATGAATATTCTCATCTAAACAATATAAACAAATTTTACAGAAGATGAAGTTTTGGTCAAAGGTTTTTGTATTTGATTAAAAAACCTCCACGGGCGCCCCTGTAGCTCACCTGGTTGAGCGGGCGACCCATGAACAGGGGCTGTAGATCCCCGATGCAGCGGTTGTGGGTTTTACTCCTGCTCACGAGCCTTTGCTGCAGGTCTCTCCCAGTTATTCTCCCCCGTTTCCTGTCTATCTCTACTGCTGCAAAAAAATATATTTAAAAAAAACCTTCACAGTTTTTGAACATGAACTCCATCCATCCATCCATCCATCCATTTTCTATACACCGCTTAATCCTCAGTAGGGTCGCGGGGGGGCTGGAGCCTATCCCAGCTGACTTAGGGCGAAGGCAGGTTCACCTGGACAGGTAACCAGTCCATCGCAGGGCCACACTTAGAGACAGACAACCAAGCACACTCACATTCACACCTACGGACAATTTACAATCACCAATTAACCTCAACATGTTTTTGGACCTTGTGGGAGGAAGCCGGAGAACCTGGAGAGAACCCACGCTGCACGGGGAGAACATGGAGACTCCACGTAGAAAGATTCCGGTGCCCCCACCGGGACGCGAACCGGCAACCTTCTTGCTGCGAGGCAACAGTGTTTCCAACTGCGCCACCTTGCAGCCCGAACATGAACTCAAATGGTCATATTTAATCTCCAGACACACATTCCTTCTCTTTTTAACTCTCTTCTTCCTTTTTCGTCTCTCACATAGACGTACAAACACACACAGACACACAGCGGTCCAGTTTGAACGCCTGTAGACGAGCACAAACCCGGGGAAGCCGTCACCAGGCCGTTTGAAGCCAGAGGCGTTTGAGCAGTTCACAGTCTTTGAATCCATCACATATAGCCAATCTCCCTTTTCCTCTATGGCCTTTGTGACTTAATGATCCGTGTAGCTTTACCTGATAAGAGCTTGTTTTCTTTCTGATAAATAAATTCTTGCGCTTGGTGTCCCCCGCCCTTGTGGAGGGGAAGGATGTGAGCGTGGCAGTTAAACATTCAGCAGGAATGCAGCAGCTTTTATGGACGCAGCTTTGTTCTTTTTTATGAGACCTTTTTAATGAAATCAAACAGGCTTCTTGCTGTAAAATGGCCTGACTTGATTGTCTTTGGGGAAGGTTTCACAGGACCTTGGACCTTGTTATGTTAACATGAATATTCTAGTGGGCCAGTAAGCAGCGAACCCTAACCTTGTAGAAACACAGACATGCTGGCGTAGTTTAAGTCTCTGTATCGTCAATATGTTTTCATGTAGGTCGTGTTGCAGGCATAAAGTGTGGTTTTTGAGTGGGGGTGCTTCTATGTGCACCATGAAGCCATTTAATTGCAAAAAAAAAAAAAGGTTTTGAAGTCCAGCTCAAAGGCGTAAGTCAAAGCCTTTGAGTTGGAATTCAAAACAGTCTTCTTTAGCAGTGATTTGATTTGGTTTGATTATATTTGGTGCCTTAAACTTTGAGCATGCCGCGGCCTCCCAATTAACGCCTTGTCCTACGTGGACATGCATGACTTTCTCTAGACATTTTTAACTTTTCATCGAGGCATCAGAATCAGTCTCCACGTATGATCTTCCCATCTTTGCTGCACCACTCCAGGTTGACTACCGGGACCAGTGATAGTTTTTTGTAGGCTTCTGTAAGCACAGCGTGGCTTTATGGTTAGAGTAACTACCTGTTGGTTTGGCATGCTCCTGACAGGGCTACAACTGTGTTTTTGTCTTTAGTTTTTCTTTTATTTTGTTTTTGCTGTATCATTTCTGAGACACATGAAGAAAACGTACCCGTGTGCTCGCGGACTAGGTTTCACTTTGACCCACATAGTTCATCTTGGCAACGCGGCAGGCTCCATGTGTGAAAGGGGGAGTCAGTATGCGTCACTAATCCCCTCTTGTGTGGTCGCCTGGTGTTGTCTCACCTGTCCTCAGGTGTGCAGGTCCAGCAGGTGGTGTGCAGGAAGCAGACAGATCACACGATCGTCTACAACCACTTCTGTGACAAGAAGAACAAACCCAAAGAGAAGAGACGATCCTGCAACACTGAGCCGTGCTCCCCGAGGTGAGTGGTCTGGATGTCATGTGATGGTTTTCTTTGTGATTCTTTCCTTGTTGTATGTGTTTGTATTTTCTGAATTTGCATTTTTCTCTCAACTTTAACCATCTGTTTATATGTGTACACTCTATGTCAGATTGCTTTATGTGTTACTTCTATATAAAACGTTAGTATTTTATAAACTAGTTATGCTAGTTTCAAATATGGTGAGGTGCTATAGACACACTATTAGGGTTATTGTAGTCGCTTTATTTCAGGTGTGTTGTAGGGAATTTGATGTCCAATATATCCTGCTTAATGCATCTCTTCGTTCACAGTTTTTCAATATAAATTTAAGTAGTTTAATTAAGTTTCTATTTGACATTTTGCACACATTGTCTACAGGTTTGGTATTTGTGTGTGTTGGCCTACCTTGATATGTTCTCAGTTATTCCTACCTGTGATTTGTGCAGCATGCTCTCCCTCTGCAGTGTCTCCTCACTCTATTATGCAACAGAAGTGATCCCACTGAATGTGAACTCCTCTCTGCCTCTTAGCTGGTGGACCGGAGAGTGGTCGGAGTGCAGTCGCAGCTGTAACGGTGGCCTGCGGACTCGGGTGGTGTTGTGCAAAAGGAGGATCTCTTCGACGGAGGAGAAAGTCCTGGACGACTCAGCCTGCACCCACCCTCGCCCTTCGCTCACCGAGCCCTGCAGCAACCACAGCTGCCCCCCTGAGTGGCTGGCGCTGGACTGGTCAGAGGTAGGCAGACGTCAGAGGTTTCCCATCATGCATTTATTTCTGCAATGTTTTTTAGTCAGCTCATGACTGATGTTGAACCAGTACTTGAGTTTTCTACAAAATTCCTCTCAGATGAAGCAATAGTTTCTTTTCCAGTTGAACCTAAGAAACCCAAACATCTGCCAGCAGAAAGCCAGAGTACCTTAGCTATGAAATACACAACAGAGGCACGGAGCAGACAAATACATCACAGCGAACACGTCGGGTCAGGCCTGAGTACATATTGTTACACTTGTCATGCAGGAATCCCCCGACGCTTTTTAAACGTGACCCCTGGTTTGAGCAGTCTGCTGAAGTTTAAAGGTGTCAGTCAGAGGAGCTGTAACACATCCAGTTGATTTAACTACAGCAGTTTGAAAAGTCCATCTGCTTGCTCGCTGATTTGCTCCTGGAGCTAAACTCTGTTCTCACAGTTCAGGATGAACTGAAAAATGGTGTCAGAAGTGCGTCAGTGTTCAAATTTCTCTGACATCTTGTGTAACGTAGTGATGGCGCACGCATGAGAGGAATTATGTCCAGCTGTTTTACAGCAACCCAGTGGGCTCTGGTGTTGTTTCATACAGCTGCTGCCCTCTGCTGGGTGGATAGGGAAGATGTCTTTTTGCATGACCGCAGTGACCCCCCAGCTGCACCCACCCATTGCTTCCACCAGCTTCTGCCTGATGTTTTACTTTTTTTTTTCTCCCTCTTTCTTCATCTCCCACTCTGTGTGCAGTGTACGCCCAGCTGTGGTCCTGGCTACAGGCACCGTGTGGTCTTGTGCAAGAGCGGGGAGAGCGGCGACACGCTGCCAGAGTCCAAGTGCCCCAAACAAGGCCGGCCCACCTCCAGGGTGCGCTGTAACCTGCAGCGCTGCCCTCCCTCTCAATGGGTTACGGGTCCCTGGGGGGAGGTAAGAAACTCTCTTAGTTCTCTTTATTTTAGTCTTTAGCACAACACCCACATCAAATCGTATTCATGTGTATTTATATACTGTATATTTGTAGTGCTATTATTAGATAACATATGTTGCTCCACTATTGGGAAAAGCTTCTGTACTCCTTGGAAAAAGTCTCAGCACAACATCTGTTTGCTTTGAAAAAGTAATCTAATTAGCATTAGCAATCGCTGCCTCTATGATTTATCAGTCAAGAGAAAGTTGAACAGAAACCAGTGAATAACCAGAACCATCAGCATAATGTCTGATGCAGTTTGCCTTAAATAGCTCGTTTTATTTCCGTTGTAGTCATGCACATGCTGATGTTGAAGTGTTGTTTAATCAATGGGAAACAAATTGTGTTGGAGATGGGATTTAGTCGCACAAAATTTATAGCAAACAGTGAAGACTCCAGGAAGCCACTGCTTCCAGCAAAGAAGTACTCCGACACATAACCTCCTGTAAAACCACCATGCATCATTTTTACTCTTTGGTTTGGAAGAGATTAAACAAACAAGATCTAACGTGTGAATCAGTGAGCTCTAGATGTGCTGCTACAGTATGAGCTGCTGTAGCTGGAGGCTAACTGGATAACTCTGTGTTCCTGAAAATGTTCCCAAGTTTGTTTGGTAACTACTTCTTCTGTAGATCACGATGTGTTCGGTGAAGGATTTATCGCATCGGTATGTTTAAATATGTTTCTGTGCTTCAGTGTTCTGCCAAGTGTGGCCTGGGTCAGGAGATGCGCTCGGTGCAGTGTCTGGCTCACACCGGCCAGCCGTCCAACGAGTGTCTGGAGCACCAGCGACCTGCAGCCATGCAGCAGTGCAAGAGCAAATGTGACCTCAGTCTGCCCGTCGGTACAGACAACCCCGAAGGTCAGAGCTCCGTCCTTCTAGCCTCTCACTGTCCTGTAGTTTCATCCAAAGAACAGCTTCCAGGTTTTATTTACGCTGTCAAAATAACAGATGAGCACTTTGTGGAGTTTAAAAGTTCTGTTTGTTGAGAACTTTTCTTCTGTGTTGAGCTGCATTATAACTTCAATACATCTGCTTTATGTAAAAATAATTAAACAGGAGGTAAATGTGGTGGCTTTTCAAAATGAGGCAAAATAAAACTTTCCTTGAGATTAGTTAGAATATTGTCAATATTTCTTTAACCTATCCTGGAATAATTCAAATCTCAGCATCACCTGCTCTTGAACAGCACAGGACTGATGTCGTCATCTTTTTGAGCTCAAAGTCCTGATATTTAACTGCAGTGACCTCAGATTAATGCCTTCATGAATCTTTAACTCATTTTGCTCGTCTCCCTGCAGAGTGCAAAGATGTGAACACTGTGGCTTACTGCCCCCTGGTGCTCAGGTTCAAGTTCTGCAGCCGGCCATACTTCAGACAAATGTGCTGCAAGACCTGCCAGGGACGCTGACACCTCGAAACTCGCAGCATCCATCTTTGGGTCCTGTACGCTCACACAGTAAGCCTGAAACCCTCCCACTCAGCCTGGTAACAGCAGCCCTCGCACTGCCTCCGCCGGAGCAGTGCGGGATCTACCTGGGACTCTGTCATGCAGACGCCTGGTCCTGTAACTGGTTCAGATGGACCCTTTTTTCTCCACCCAGAATCCAGATCAGACGTCTCTCCGAGCCGAGCTGGACCGAGCCGGCCCGAGCTGAGTTCATACATTCCACTGGAGGGAGGGCTGCTGAAACCCGGAGAGGCAGAGAGAGGGAGAGCCTCTCCTCCATCATGGTCTAGGATGACCCCTCTCTCTCTGTCTCTCTGCACTTTGCCTTTGTTGTAATATTTTGGTGCTACTATATTTCACTTTGGCCACAGGACTGGTCGCAGTACTACGAGTTCCATTTGTGTTTGCTTGAGTGGCCTCAACGTTTAGCCTGATCTCCTCGGCCTGTATGTTAACAGGTGATGTTTGTTTAGTTATGAGGTTTTTTTTGGTTTTTTTTTAAATCCACTTTGTAAAGAAAATGATTTTCCAGATATCTTTGCCCACAAAAAGGAATATCTTATATTATGAAATGAAAGATTTGTCTCTATGTTATCTGATAGTTGTTACTTGACCACATTGTTTTATGTTACTGCTTCGTTTCGTATCAACATATTCATCGAGTCCTCGCTGTTATTTAGCTGAAGTATGGGCAGAGTTCGATTTGCACAAAGAGTCAGCCGTCAGAGGACTCGTGTATTTTACGTTTGTGTTCGTGTGATTTGACTTGATGTCTCGGTGTAAGCTCTAAACGTCTCACTGCAGTGGACCTGCCACAGTCTTGCCATTTTAGTTGCTCAGACGCCACCACCTCGGCGGTAAAACAGAGACACAGCCTCAGCAAAGCCAACGCTGACTCACCAGGACCATGTTGTTTTGTGTTGTGGCTGCAGACTGTGGCAGCTTGTGCATAAAGTCTACAAAAAGGAACTTACTGTCATTATCTGAACATCCCTCGGTGCGCCCTCGCTGTTAATTCTTTTTTTTGTTTTATTTTTACCACATGTTCTCACGGTGCGAGCAGTTCGTACTGTGAGTGGAAATCCAGAGCACAGTGAGCCACAGTGAGTCAGCTCTGGCAGGAGGAACAGGCCCAGCGATGATGAGTGAAGACCTCCGACCACGCTGCTTTCAAAGAGCGTTTTATAGCAGGAGTGTTAATCTGAGGATGGATTTACAGAAAAGATCTGGTTTCTCTGTGGCACAGATCTGATCACGGCTGCCTGTAACCTTCATTCAGGATGTCTGCCACAAGGATTCAGCAAATTTGAGCTTATTTAAACTTATCATGATAATGTTAAACCTCAGTAACTGTATTTTTGTGTGAAAGCAGCACTGATATCTAACAGGTTGATATCCAGCAGCTACAGAGCAGCGTCGTCCTCTATGTGGACTTTCTGACCACCTGTTCGCTCAGTTTTTAGTCTCCACTGACTTCTGAGGGACGCATGTGGCTCTAAAGCTGCTGTTTACCAACTCGTCACCATCTGTCTGCTGGTTGGTGCTCAGCAGGTGCACTGTGGCTTTTTGGAGGTTTTTCTCTTGAAAACAGCTGCAGCCAGAAACCACTCTGTGAGAACAAGTGAACCCAGACAGTAGCTCACTACGAAGCTCACTGAACCCGAGAGATTCAGGTAATAATTCTCTACAGGTTCGTCGCTACAAGCCGCCGTTTCCTCACTTGATACGTAGCTGTTGTTAAATACAGAGATTCTAGTGTGTCGCTGTGAACTGAAATCACAGAACCAAAAGCCTAGAAGTCATCAGGAGGACAGCACAGCAGGGAAGCGATTTAATACTGCACATATCTTTCTTCCTGTGTGAATCCACATCAGCTTTTTTTTTCCTTTTAAAGACGGGGATGTGAACAAGAGACCCAAAAGGAAACACATCACCTGACCTGAATCTGTGTCACACTGATTTCAGCTTTATGACACATTTTTAAAAGACGCAGTTTCAGCTGTTTCTTTTTCCTGCAGAGAATAATTTTAGAAACGCTGCCTACGAGGCTCGGAGATCAGTCACCGGGACTGACGGCATCACTGTGACGTCCACTGTGCTCTGAGGTCTGCTGCTGCGGCCGGACGCCGGTCACGGCTGGAAGCAGCTCTGCGTAAAACTTCACTTCACTTTCATTGTAAAGAGAGGAAGCTGCAGTACGTCTTTACTGGGATCAGCTGCAATGTTCCTGTTTTCTTCTCGTGGTGCTTTAGTTTGGAATGGTGCTATTAGTTCATCGTTTGAATTATCAGTTTAACAATTGTTAAAATCTTTTATTCTTTCCATTTGAGCCTTTTGTGATAATAACAATCTGCAGAGCTGGCCTGAGGCGTCTGAGTGCAGCTGCTTAGCACCCGTCACCCACCAAAGGCCCTCTTTGGTTGCCTCTGGGTATATTTTTATGTTTTAATTTACTCTCCCTCACTTGGATTAAGTGGCAAAAAAGTGCTCCCCAAATCCCAAAATGCAGCTTCAGAAGAATATTTTACGATTTTGTCAAATACTGTAAAATTTTTCTCAGCATTTCCAAACACTCGGATCATTTGGACGTTATATTAACAAACGTTTTGGTTTGAAACAAGTATTTAGAAAGCCTCACAAATCACTTTTGGATGCACTCAACCAAATTGAATACTCAAAAATCAAATATCTGCTGATCAAGCATGTGGAGCACAGAAACATGAAGTATATTTATAGTTCGTACATTCAGCTGTATGCTATCAGAGTCCAGCTAACTCATCCCTGCAGTCTATGAGGACCGAATATGTAGAAACACTTGGAATCGCACAAACCGTTTCAGAAGTGATTTCCAAGACTCACTGCCGGAGAACATCCTGCCTCAGGCTCCACTTACACCTGACGCTAACATGTGTGTTCATTATCTCAACTGCACTGTGATCCCATCTCAATATGCAAACTAGTCTGGTGATGCTATTCATGTCTGAATCACTTTTTGCTGCTACGTGTGGCTTTTGTTGGACTTGCTCGAGTTAGCGGGAGGAGGCAGTGACCTCTCAACTTGCTGGTTCGATTTCATTCGTCAGATGTGCGGTCACAGTGTACAGATCTCACTCACACGTGTGGCGATGCGTGTTTCCTGTTATCTGTTACCCGGACATGCTAATAGTCGGTGTAAATCTGTGTCTGTAAGGCGTCTTTCTCTTACCTGTGCCAATAATGAGGCTTCATGCAGAGCAGTGAACCAGTTTTTATTCTGAATCAAAAGGAGGGACAGTACCGGTATTTGTTGTTTTGTTTGTCACATGCTAATTATAACATGACATGTACTGTATATTGTTCAATACTATAGGCGATGAACCCATGTGTCCCCCATGTACATCTTTTTAAAAGGAAATATTAAATTGATTAAACATGGTGCATTGTTGATTTTAAGATATTGGATTTGATTATTTCACACTTATATTTGTACCAGTGCTCCACACACTTAGATTCACTGAACAAGCTCCAGACAGGTTGAGATCATCACTCGTCTATTTCTGGATCTAACTGATGTCATGGAAAAGATGAAGTAAGAGCTTCTTCCTTTTGTCTGAGCGAGGCTTCAGTCATCAGTAGGATCTTGATGGCAGAAGACAACACTGTGAGTCACGGTGGCACCCGTCATTCTATTTTTGGTTTATGATCTCTTGGACTCACACATACGACCTGAAAAGAGCTGATGGTTAAGTGTGACATGGGACGAGAGACGGGATGTTGTTGAGTTCAGCGCCTCTTCGATTCAACGCTCAGTTGCTCCTCAGACAAAATGTTGTTGTAACAAAACTCCAGCAGCAATAATAACGATATAATGATGAAGTCGATTGTTTTATGCAACTTTTCTACAGATACTGAATGTAAGTAAGTAAGTAAGGTTTGATGAGACTCAAAACCTTTTAATCCAAAAGTACGGAACCCCTGAGTGGCCAGAGAGGAAAAAAAAAGCGTGTTAACATTATTGTGTTTTTTTTCAAAGCATTTCCTTTCGCTGTGGTAATTTATTGACCATCCCGGAGCTCCAGTCTGGAAGCCGGCTGCACATAAAGATCAGTGTAATTTATAAAGAACGTCTCATTTTGGGAGAAAAACGATTTTGGCCGGTTGTAGGTTGTGGTTTGGATTACAACGTTTGGAAAGAGGTGCCATTTGATTCGCGTTGGAGTTACTGATGTTCAAATCTTTGAATATCTTTCCAACTTTACTGAACTCTGGAAGTGGCATTGGTGGAAAGAGTATAATAAGATAATAAGTCTTTACCTCAAGTTAATAACACGTGGGAACGAGATAACTTAACTTATGGCCGTGCGTTAAGTTATCTTGCTATCAGGCATTATTTGTTTTCCCTCTATGTCCACTCAGGTTCTGTACAAAAGAACTTTACGCGTTCAAATTTCAGACCAGGAGCAAAACTGTCTTGACCTTTTTCTGCTGTTTGGGTTTGACGACCTCTAGTGGTCGTATCATGACATCTCTCTTGATGTCAGCAAACCCCAACACCAGCACAGATTTAACCTGGAGACAGCGAGCCTGATGAAGTAAAGGAGACACCAGGGTTAGACTGGAACGCTAAAACTTCAACAAATTGAACACGAAGGGGCAGAATATGATGACTAAGACAAAAGGTGCAGAACAAGAGACAGAGAGGTGAACAATGACCTCAAATAGATGCAGAACAACTGCACAGATGCAAAATAAGATGCAGACAGATACATGCAAATACCAGAAAAAGAAAAAAAATGAAGTGCAAAATCAGAAAAGAATGATGTGGCCGCAAAGAGACGCAAAATGACCACGATATTGTGAGCTAGCAATACAGAACACGACATAAAACGGGGGGCTGCAAGGTGGCGCAGTTGGTAGCACTGTTGCCTCGCAGCAAGAAGGTTGCCAGTTCTCGTCCCGGTGGGGGCACCGGAATCTGTGTGTGTTTCTGTGTGGAGTTTGCATGTTCTCCCCGATGATGGATGGACATAAAACAGCTATGAAGAGACGCAAAACAAACGCAGAAGGTGCAGAACAACTGCAAAGATACAAAATAAGATGCAAACTGACACATAAATCAACCAGAAACAGACACAAAAAATAATACAAGACACAGTCAAGTGCAAAAAAAACAAAACAAAAAAAACTTTGGTAAAACAAGACGTGGTCGCCAGGTGGCTGCAAATAGAGTCGAGCTGTGATGCAGGAAGAAGAGAACTTCCCACCCAAACCAAAAGTTTCTAAAGCTGCCTGTGAATGCATGAGACCAGCTGGTAAACAGCCAGAGCCGTGCAGTTTGACACCTCCACACACACTGAGACGCACACGCGCCTGTAAACTGTGCCTGAACCCATCAGTTATTATGGGCGTTGGAAAGAGCAACACAAACACGAGGTGAAGCAACCGCAGCCTGGGTGGAGCCGGCAGCGCACAACTGAAACACCATCATTTGGCAACAGATTGAAGATAATTATCCCCTTGCGGTCGGCGTTGCCATCGACACTCTGCCGTGCGACCGATGAATTGGATTGACTAATTGTGCTGTTAACCTTAGATGCCTGCTGATAACAAAGCCTGTCATTGGTTCCCTCCTTCATCCTCCGTCTGATGAACATGAGGGAAATACAGAAGTAGCAGCTCGATATCTGTGTGGTGAGTGTGCATCAGTGTGTCACAGCAGTTCTTGTTTCACACACTGGGTCTGTGACAGGATAAGGAAGTAGGTTTTGAATCTCGCCCTGGATGCCGTGTAGGTTGCTGCTGTCGGCTCTGAGGGTCCCGCTGAGCTGCGATGGCTGCAGTCTGAGGAGGTCGACCTGTGGATTCTACCTGGACACACACCGACACACACACTGTCCGGACAGCGAAGGAGGAGGAGGAGGAGGAGAGGCCCGCAGGAACCATGGTACGGTACCACACCTTCATTCATCTCAACAGCATCCGTGCTCACTGACACTTTGGGGTTTCTGCTGCCTGCTTCCTTGAAAGCTTTAGAAATTTGGATCTTGATGCTTTGCTGCCATAAAAGACAGTTTTTCTAGCTGCAAAAGTGACACCAGCTCATGATGAACTTGATTTCATGTCAGCTGTTCCCTTTTTACAAGCTGAAATAATAGCATTTCATCCTGTAAAGTCAGTTTTGACTTGATAATTTATATTTTATGATAATTTATAAATAATTGAATTTCCCTTCTGGGATAAATAAAGCATTTTTCCTTTCATAAGAGAAGTGATAGCATCTCTTAACAGACCATGTCTTTGGGGAAATTCTTCTCCTTCACAGCAGCAGCAGCAACAATAGCAGCAACAGAGGGAGCTTCCTTTTTTTTCAGGACAAGTTTTTCATTGAATCTAGCAGAACAAACTCATTGCACGGCTGTGTGCTCTGATTTGTGATCACATCTTAGATAAAAAACACACATTTGGACTGATGAAAGCAAGAAAAACATGCATGTGCAGTGGATGCAAAACGAGAAAGTGACTGAAGTCTCTGTGTTGGTGCCAAAACAAGCTAAAAGCATCACCTTGGATTTAAAGTGAACATGTCGAGCTGTGGGGAGTTTTTTTTTAGTGCGATCTGGGTGTAAAAAAGTGAGCAACAGGCAGCTGCAGGAAGAGGACCGGTAGCATGTACAAAGTTTAGTGGGTTTCACAAGAGGCAGCAGTGAGGTGAGAGGGGGAAGTGGACTGCAGCACTTCCTCACTCTCACAGAGATCTCCACACATCGACAATCACGGGCACTATCCATGAACTCGCAGCATGTAGCCACAGTCGCCTAAATTCATCTAAACAGGTAGATTCAGAAGTGGAGACCCTCAAACTGCAGATAAATGTCACTTTTTGTCCCTGTTTTCACTCCATATCGGTTCCATGTGTGACAGCAGCTCAGAATAATCATCTTAAGAATCAGCGGCATATTGTTGCCCCGCTTACATTTGACATTAAAAGAATCAAAGCAGCGTCTGATGAACTGCTGAAAAAGTTTCATTTTGATGCAGCAAAGTTTTGAAATATCACGTATTGTGACGTCTAACAAAACCACAGCGTGACAGCAGTGACTGGCATTTTAAATGCGGTTCATAAGTCATCAGACATTTTGAACTCGACAGCAAAGTGTCTCCAGTAACCGTTCTGTGTGTAACGAGCTGAAAGTGTTTCTCAATGAAAACTGGTCGCAGTGACGTCAGTGAATTTTTTTTCTAGTAAAATATGTTGTTGAATGGTTGAAGTGTGTTGAGTGAGCTTCACAAACTAAATGTCATCGAGGGAAAAAATGTAAATTCCTCGAATCATAGTCTGTTCATAGTCATAGTCATCGTCAGAGTCTAATCATGTTTTTACCTTATTAAAAGTTCCTCCAGTAATAAAAAAAAAAAAAGTCTTACATATGTAATATTTTGTTCTCAAACTAATTAAGGGACACATATACACCACTTATTACAGACATGTAAGTGTGTAAAGAAAGTTATTGAGGTAGAAGACCAGCTGAAAGTCATTTTTCACAATCCGTAGAGCAGGAACAATCACTGAGTTTACAAAAGTAGTTAAAAACTAGTTTTACTCATATTCTGTTGACTCCTCTGTGTTTATGCCGACAATATGATCAGGTGAGACAACATCAGGTCCAACAATCACATCCTGTTCAGACAGACAGCAAATGTGATGAAACATTCAGTTTCCAGCTGTTTGTATAGTAAAATGATGCAGCAGTGGGTGTTACACCGGTGCTGCTTTCTGTCTTGTCATTCCTAAAAATCCTCCACAGTTATTGCAACGTTCAGCTTTTGACAAAGTGATTCATCTTCATGTGGAGCTGAAGAGCAAGAAGCAGCAAAAATCCTGTAGCTCGCTCGTCTGAACGTGAGTGACCCCTTCAAATTCTGCTGGTGTATTTTTGGTGGCGTCGGTTCCATTTATACATCATTTGAAAGCACAAAGCTTCGTGAGTCAGTGTTGTAAAGCGTTTTGAGATACCCACACCACAGCAACAGAAACAGCAGCAGCAGCAGTTCCTCACTTTAAATTCAGAGTGCGCACGCAGCAAAACGGGGCTTTTTTTCAGTCGTCTACAAGCTCGTTGAATCATCGTGTTTGACTGTTTTTATCAAACTAAATGCTCCAAGCTTTAGTTTTTTTTTTAAAATAAGAAGGCTGGTGAGTGTTAAGAAGTTAAAAATTCCAGAGGACTCTCTAAAAACAAGAGCCGCTGTCCAACAAGATGTAAAAACCTGCGTGATGTGTTCGTATTAAAGGATGCATCCAGTCATCGTCTGTGTTTGTCTTGCTGTCATGTTTAAGCAAGTCCACTGAAAAGGCCAAAAACCACAAACTGATCCTGCTGAAACATTGGTACAGCGACACAGGTTCTCTTATTACAATCAGTCTGNAAATAATTGAATTTCCCTTCTGGGATAAATAAAGCATTTTTCCTTTCATAAGAGAAGTGATAGCATCTCTTAACAGACCATGTCTTTGGGGAAATTCTTCTCCTTCACAGCAGCAGCAGCAACAATAGCAGCAACAGAGGGAGCTTCCTTTTTTTTCAGGACAAGTTTTTCATTGAATCTAGCAGAACAAACTCATTGCACGGCTGTGTGCTCTGATTTGTGATCACATCTTAGATAAAAAACACACATTTGGACTGATGAAAGCAAGAAAAACATGCATGTGCAGTGGATGCAAAACGAGAAAGTGACTGAAGTCTCTGTGTTGGTGCCAAAACAAGCTAAAAGCATCACCTTGGATTTAAAGTGAACATGTCGAGCTGTGGGGAGTTTTTTTGTGTGTGATCTGGGTGTAAAAAAGTGAGCAACAGGCAGCTGCAGGAAGAGGACCGGTAGCATGTACAAAGTTTAGTGGGTTTCACAAGAGGCAGCAGTGAGGTGAGAGGGGGAAGTGGACTGCAGCACTTCCTCACTCTCACAGAGATCTCCACACATCGACAATCACGGGCACTATCCATGAACTCGCAGCATGTAGCCACAGTCGCCTAAATTCATCTAAACAGGTAGATTCAGAAGTGGAGACCCTCAAACTGCAGATAAATGTCACTTTTTGTCCCTGTTTTCACTCCATATCGGTTCCATGTGTGACAGCAGCTCAGAATAATCATCTTAAGAATCAGCGGCATATTGTTGCCCCGCTTACATTTGACATTAAAAGAATCAAAGCAGCGTCTGATGAACTGCTGAAAAAGTTTCATTTTGATGCAGCAAAGTTTTGAAATATCACGTATTGTGACGTCTAACAAAACCACAGTGTGACAGCAGTGACTGGCATTTTAAATGCGGTTCATAAGTCATCAGACATTTTGAACTCGACAGCAAAGTGTCTCCAGTAACCGTTCTGTGTGTAACGAGCTGAAAGTGTTTCTCAATGAAAACTGGTCGCAGTGACGTCAGTGAATTTTTTTTCTGGTGAAATATGTTGTTGAATGGTTGAAGTGTGCTGTGTGAGCTTCACAAACTAAATGTCATCGAGGGAAAAAATGTAAATTCCTCGAATCATAGTCTGTTCATAGTCATAGTCAGAGTCTAATCATGTTTTTACCTTATTGAAAGTTCCTCCAGTAATAAAAGAAAAAAAATGTCTTACATATGAAATATTTTGTTCTCAAACTAGTTAAAGGGCTCATATACACCACTTATTACAGACATGTAAGTGTGTAAAGAAAGTTTGGTAAAGAATTAAAGAAAGTTTTTGAGGTAGAAGACCAGCTGAAAGTCATTTTTCACAGTCCGTAGAGCAGGAACAATCACTGAGTTTACAAAAGTAGTTAAAAACTAGTTTTACTCATATTCTGTTGACTCCTCTGTGTTTATGTCTACAATATGATCAGATGAGACAACATCAGGTCCAACAATCACATCCTGTTCAGACAGACAGCAAATGTGATGAAACATTCAGTTTCCAGCTGTTTGTATAGTAAAATGATGCAGCAGTGGGTGTTACACCGGTGCTGCTTTCTGTCTTGTCATTCCTAAAAATCCTCCACAGTTATTGCAACGTTCAGCTTTTGACAAAGTGATTCATCTTCATGTGGAGCTGAAGAGCAAGAAGCAGCAAAAATCCTGTAGCTCGCTCGTCTGAACGTGAGTGACCCCTTCAAATTCTGCTGGTGTATTTTTGGTGGCGTCGGTTCCATTTATACATCATTTGAAAGCACAAAGCTTCGTGAGTCAGTGTTGTAAAGCGTTTTGAGATACCCACACCACAGCAACAGAAACAGCAGCAGCAGTTCCTCACTTTAAATTCAGAGTGCGCACGCAGCAAAACGGGGCTTTTTTTCAGTCGTCTACAAGCTCGTTGAATCATCGTGTTTGACTGTTTTTATCAAACTAAATGCTCCAAGCTTTAGTTTTTTTTTTAAAATAAGAAGGCTGGTGAGTGTTAAGAAGTTAAAAATTCCAGAGGACTCTCTAAAAACAAGAGCCGCTGTCCAACAAGATGTAAAAACCTGCGTGATGTGTTCGTATTAAAGGATGCATCCAGTCATCGTCTGTGTTTGTCTTGCTGTCGTGTTTAAGCAAGTCCACTGAAAAGGCCAAAAACCACAAACTGATCCTGCTGAAACATTGGTACAGCGACACAGGTTCTCTTATTACAATCAGTCTGGCTTCGGTTAGAATCTGTAGTTTATTTGGATCTCAGACGGTTTGTAAAAGAAATCGAGGATGAAGCCGCCCAAAGGTTTATGGACAAATGTTCTGAAGCTCCAAATGTAGCCGTCACTATCTTGGCCTTTTGAAAGCAGGCGGAATGAGCGAGGCGTTAATCTGACTGAAAATCTGAGCACACAATCTGTCCATGACAAGGTAGTCAGGCCCTGCTTCAGCACTGATTTTACTCTAAACTCAACTATAATTTACAAAATGAGCTTCATGTTCTATTCAAAGAGACGTAAAGGTAGCGACCATGACCATAAACTCATAAAGAAAATGTTTCCCCAGATAGCAAATCAAGTGAGCAGTAGGATCACTTTGTCATAGACTTCTATACAACATGACTTCTGTTTTCAACCGGAGGAGTCGCCCCCTGCTGGCTGAGCTGAGCGCTGCAGATAGTGTCAGGAGCTCAGACAGTGTTGAGAGTAGATCTCAGACACTTTGTTTGGGTCTGTTCAACAGATTTGTTGTTAGAAATATCTCAGATTTAACCTTTAAACATGCAGCAGGGAGCTTTTGTCTCCCCTCGCTGGCGGTGAGAGCAATTACACAAACACTGTTGACTTGTTTCGCTGTCAGTCGAACTGTAATATTTCCCCTGGATGCGTGTTTTCCTTTTTATCAGGAGCATTAGAAACTTTTCTTGGACACGTTGTAGGTTTGTACGTAGCCTGCTTTAAGTCGATCAGTACAGCCGCTCCCCTTTTCAGCTAACGTTGCTAACGATGTACCAGCAGAGGAACCACAGACGCCTCGTTAAAGCTCCACTATACTGGAAAATACAAAGACTTACTTGGCGCTGATTTGCTAAATCCCTGTCGTGTGGACTTTGTTTGACAGGGGCTTGAACATAACGTTTATTTAAATGTAAAAGTCCTGCAACTGGAGCTTCAATTTAGTCCAGACAGAGTGAAAACTGATGTAAAGCTGCCTTTACATGGACTTTGCTGGACTTGATTGGGTTTTAATTAGATTTAACATTGTGACTTCCGTCTGAATTTCCCTTTGAGGATATTTAATTTTAGACAGAAATTCTACCTGCATGACACCTTTCATCACATGTCCTGTGTGCTACGTATGCATGTGTTGAGCCCAGCAGCTCTGAACATGACACTGAACCTAAGACGGTTCCTCTGGTCTCGTCACATTCCTCATATCTTGCATCTTTTTTGTTCACATTGCCTAAACCCTGGTCTGAAACGTTTTGCATCTCCAGTAACTTCAGGGACTTCAGTGGAATTTTTTATTTTATTTTATTTTATTTTTTACAAAGTCTGGCTGCACAGCTGGAGTCTGTACCGATGGAACAGCCGCAGACTTTTAAACTTTTTGATTCTTTTTTCTAGTAACTCCAAAAATAAAATTCTTTACGTAGAGATTTTGAATTGATTTACCAAAGTCAAGACAACAAGTGAATTAGAAAATAAGAAAAATAACTTTGTCTTGGATTGTAGGTGACTTTAGTGACAGTAATGATGGTTTTTGTCACTGTTGGATGGCTACGATGCTAACAACGGCTATATTTAACAGATGGTTATTTCCGTCGACTTCCTTTATAACCTTGCAGGTCTGATTTTCTTTCCCTCTCTGGTGACGTCTGACACTCGGCTCGTCAAACGTACCTGTGAGCTTCCACCTACGAAGCAGTGAATGTAGGTCGATGGCTCAGACCACAGCCCAACCACTCTGCCAACAACAAGGCCCGTCAGACTTCACACATCAAACACACTGGCTTCTTTAAGGAGACACCAAAATACAGGAGATGAGTTCACCTCTGGCTGCTGTAAGGAGGTGACAACATAAGTCCAAACCAGAAACCTGATCAGTCCGATTAGGAGGACGACCGCTTGATTGCGACAAGTGGACACAGCGACGCTGCTGAAGCTGAAGCAGTGCCTGTTGTGTTGTCACGTTTCATTTATCAGCAGGTACTCTACAGGCTGAGGTGCATTTAAAGATGCTTCTCTAAAATGACCAAGTTAGAAAATGAGCTCACCTCATCTGTGACCAGTTGCCTGGCAACCAGCCCCAGCTTCCTGTAACGGCAACCACAGTGGGTTATGTTCTCGAAAACGTCTGTACTGATGCCAAACATGTCGTCTCTGCTCTCCTGCTTTATTAGGTACCGACAGCACATTTATCCTTCCGTCTTCTTTCTTCTTTGTTTTTTTGTTTGTTTGTTTGTTTGGATTCTTGTCAACAGGTGTGGGTTTCCGAAGGTAAACTTTTTTCTCGAAGGGCCTGGAAATCACTTTTGTAGATATGATTATCCAATTTATTTTTGTATTGTTTTATAGATTTTTTTTTTGGTGATTGGTTGTTTTAACTTCTTGTAAATGTAAGAAAATTTTATCTTCATTTAAAAACAACAACAAAAAAACAAAAAAATCTTTCTTTCTTTCTTTCTCACCAAAAACAAACACTTTACAGTTAGGATTATCTTCTAAGATCAGGAAGCTTTCAAACCGAGCCGCGGACAGTTTCTGGTACTCACTGGGATGAAAAAACCCAGCTTTCGTAAAACATTTTTGGAATCCCCCTTAAAATTACTTATAGCATTCCAATGTTGAGTAAAATCTTAACCACGTGTCCAATTTCTGTGCATCTTTCCTCACTTGTGTGATTCAGGCAAAGTACCACTGGCAGAGTCAGAATGTCAAACAGAGCGGCGTGGACGACATGGTCCTGCTGTCCAAGATCACCGAGGACGCCATCGTGGACAACCTCAAGAAGAGATACATGGACGACTACATCTTCGTATCCTGCAAGCTGCCGGTTATTACTTCAAACTGTGGCCGAGTAGCTTACGTGATAGCAGCTACTGAAGCTAAAGTGCTTTTGAGATGTGCAGGAGATGAAATTAACTCTGTGACCGCAAGCTTAGCCGTGATGTGTCAATAGCATGAGCGTCATCAGATGCTGTTCTCACGCCTGCCCTCGTTTGGTCCCACACAGTCACTCGACAGTGAAGCAATCAGAGGACGGTTCATCCTCAGTTTAAGTTCAGTGTGGGACGTTCATCCTTCCAGGCCTGATTAGTCTCTGTGAGACAGGCTTCTATAGAAACATGCATCCACACACACACACATACAGACACACAAATAAAACAGGCATATATGGTCATAAATACAAGAAATTCACTCTTCCTCTTCTGCATTCACCGTGTGACTCAACAGCTCGCTTCCGTCTTCTTGAAGCACAGCTGAGCATCATGCCCTTATTTAGAGCCCAATAAAACCAAAAACAACATTCACATTAAACACGAGCAGCTGACATCACCTCAACTAAAACTATGATCACAAGGGAAACTTAATCACTGGCTTCATTACCTACTAAAGCAAATGATAACTAAGTAAATGGTTGGTCTGGTTGGTTTTAATCGTCTGCGTGATTGGCCTGGAGTTCCTTCATAATCAGGAAGTATGTGGACTGTTTGATCTCTATAACGGCCACAGCTGTAACACAGGTCAGTGTGAGGTGTCGGTCCATCACCGTGGTGTTGAGGATCTTCTGACTTCATTCCATTTAAATTTGTCCTGAATACCTGAAAAACTAGCGACAGTCTCTCGAGCCTCAGCTGTGTTTAGTGTTTGTCGCAAAGTGGGAGGTTAACGTGACAAACGCGGTGCTAAATATTACCACGGTAACACTGTCGGTGTGGATGGTGCTCGGTGCTCAGTACAACTTTTCAGAGCTGCTAGATTGACTGTAGACTTTATGTTTTGCTTGTATGTTTGCGCTAAAGATAGGCTGAAATATTTACACTCAGGAAACCATATTTCCCTGGTTAGGGTTACTGACTTTATAAAGTGATACAAAAGCTTGTCACGCTATAAATTGGCCAAAGCTGAATTACTGCCAGAGGTTGGTTTTTGTTTTTGTTTTTTTTTGTGCGGGCTTGACTTTATTGCACAACAAAAGCTGGCATCATGCTCCAGCTCCGTTCTGATATTGATGAGAGTTGTGTTAAAAAGGGAAAGTTGCAGAATCATTGTTTTACTCTGTCAGCTGCCTCGACAGCGAACACAGACGTCAGCGTTCATGTGACGCTTTCATTGTTCAACCATCAAAATAAATCAAATGAAAAGTGGGTTTGAATCTTTTGTCACCCATTTTCTAGGTTTATTTCACAAGTCGATCGTTATCTCTGAGTTAAATTCTTAGTCGTTCGTAGCTGAGTTATTGCTGAAGCATTTGAGTTCTAAAATATGGAGTAAGTCATTAGAATAATTTAATCAAGTTTAGATTTCTGGGTTTTGTGCTGGTAGTTGGACTGTACCAATAGTGCCAGGGGCAGTCTACAGCTTAGACTGTATATAAAAGTAATGACGAGTTTGAAAAGTGAAGCTCGCGTGGTTGTGTCTTAAACATGCATTCTGTCTAACAGCCAGCAGGGGGCGACTCCTCTGGCTACACATAGAAGTCAGATTGTACAGAAGTCTATCAGACACTGACCTTGTTTCTCACTTCATTTGTTACCTCAGCAGACATTTTTCTTATGAGTTTATAATCTCAGTTGCTACCATGAAGTCTCGTTCAATACAGAACAGTGTGCATTTTGTAAATTATGCCCCTGTTTAGAGTGAAATACACGATAAGGCAGGGTACGCTTCAGGGTTAAATACCCTGTGAATGACAGGTTGCTGTTATTTCAGAAAGAATTGGCCTTTTGGTTCTCCAGTGAGATCCACTGTTTACTCTGATACGTCCGGCTTCAAAAGACCAAAATGGTGACGACCAAATTGTAAAATTGCGGTTTCGAAACATTTGTCCACAAACCAATCAGTGGCACTTGGTCTGTCTTTCAGGTACAGTCTGTGGTCTGCAGCCTGCCACAGACCCAGTCCCTCCAATCTATGAGTAATATTTACTTACATATTTACATTCGTCTCCAAAACAGGGTCGCCAATAAATGATTGGATGGTGCTACGCATAATGCGCTACTGGGTCCATGGCTGGTTATGGACTCCCCCAGGTGGTACAGTCCAACCACAAGTACGACAAAACACAGAAATAAATCCCTGAAATACTGATTTATTTTTATCTTTTGTTCAAATATCTAACTGTAAAGCAACAACACTGATGTGAACAACTGAAATTTAAATTCAGAGACAATTATCCATTTGTGAAATAAAAGTAAACAGAAGAAGGATAACAAAAGATTCAAACCTGTTTTACAGCGGATCGTTTAGATTGTGGCACTTCAACACAGCACTGCAAAGCGGTTCACAGACAGCTTTAGTGTATAAATCAGCTGAAGTAATTGCAGTACAGAAACGTCCAACATAGACCGGTTACCTGTCCAGGTGAACCTGCCTTCACCCTGAGTCAGCTGGGATAGGCTCCGCCCCCCGTGACCCTGGTGAGGATTAAGTGGTGTATAGATGATGGATGGATGGATGGAAATGTCCAACATGTAATATTTTAATTTCTGCTGACATTAGAGCTTTATCAAGACTTCTTGTAATGCTGATGTTATTCTTTTATAGTCAAAAAATGGTTGCTGACTAATCCGCTGACCCAAACATCAGGCTTCAGTGAAAACATACGACACATTACTTCCTTAACGTCGCTGCTCAGACGTACATCGGCCCTGTGCTCATATCAGTCAACCCCTTCAAACAGATGCCTTACTTCACTGACAGAGAGATTGAACTCTACCAAGGAGCTGTGAGTACAGTTCTTCAAGAGTTTCTCACCAAGTTATGCAAACTTGTGGTGTGTGTGTGGCCCAGTTGTTGTTCCTGCTGCGTTGTGCTTTATTAACTTGAACTGTTGTTTCCCTCCCTGCAGGCCCAATATGAAAACCCTCCTCACATCTACGCTCTGACCGACAACATGTACAGAAACATGATGATCGAGGGAGAGAACCAGTGTGTCATCATCAGGTGTGTACCACAGTCCTCACATCTGTTCTCTGATGCTGTTACCTGATCTACCACCGGTGTCCTCCGTGTGGTTTCTGGCTGTCCGGTGTGATTTGCTGATGTGTGTTGTGGAGTAATACGGGTGCTGTGTTCTGTTTTTCACGGTGTGTTGTGGTAGCGGTGAGAGCGGCGCTGGGAAGACGGTGGCGGCCAAATACATCATGGGTTACATTTCTAAAGTATCTGGAGGTGGATCAAAAGTTCAGGTAGAAACAGGATGCAGCCACAAAATGACTCAAAACACCTTTTAAACTTCCTGCAGTGTGCTGCGTAGGTATCTGTGCGTCTCACACTGTGTCGTCGTGTGTTGCAGCACGTTAAAGACATCATCCTACAGTCCAATCCTCTGCTGGAGGCCTTCGGTAACGCCAAGACCGTCCGCAACAACAACTCTAGTCGTTTTGTAAGTGTCATCTTTGCATTAACCCGTCCTCTGGGTTCTGTCTGTGTAGCAAAACAAACAGTCGACGCCACGGCTGATCATTTCCATCCTGAAACTGCATTGTACTGATGACCTTTTCAAAAACTCAGAGTCAAGCTTTCGAGGTTTCATAATTAATAAACTTCAGGAATCAGTCGTGTCAACATGTAGGTCAGGTCTTTCTGTGTCATCGTTCTTCTTCATAGTTTGTTTGAAGTTTGAACACGTACGGCTTAATTAAACCATATTTAAGCTTTCCATGCTGTAGACTAGTTTAACAGTGTTTGAGCAGAGTTGTGGGTGAGCTGGTGTGCTCGAGCCAAAGCAAGTAGGGAGGAGTGAATGGAGAAAGAAGCACGGACTTCATAGATGTAGAGGAAGCAACAGAGTCGGGTGACATCTAAGCAGCCATTTTAAGCAGGAAAGGATCGCTTCAGTTAATAAAAATGTGAACTTGTGTAACTTTGACACAATGAGATGAGCTTGTAGCGGTTAAATCAACGACTGGAGCAGGACTTTAGGAAACATTCTCAGTTATATTACTGCATTTATATTCCATAAAGAGGATTTAACAAAACAAAACCTGGCTGGAGCTTTAAACTGGAGCTCATCACAGAATTTTGGATGCATAACTTTTTAATTTTCTTGATTTTTAGAGATGCTAGCAGCATTACCAGACATGGCAAAGGGTTTCCATACAGGCAATCTGCACACACAGTGATGGTTCAAAGAGGCTGATTCCTGATGGCTCAGCTCTGATCTGAACCTCAAGCACAGTCATGAGGTTGACGTTTGTTGTTTTCAGCTGAATGTGGATTGTTGATGCATGTATCTAGGCAGCCATATTAGAGCTGCAGCAACGACTTAATCAGTTATCAGCTATTTGATTAGTCGCCAACTGTTTTGATCATTGATTAATTGGTTTAATTAACTTTTTTAAGAAGAAAATGCTAATTTATTAACTTCCTGAACTAAGATGGTGAACATTATAAACAGTATTCATGCTATACATCAACATATTGTCGTGCAGATGTTAGCGTTTAGCTCAAAGCAGAGCCTGGCAGAACTTCTAGCTCAGCTGTAGACTCATGAGGACGTGTTGATTGCTGAACCATCCTGAATGTTTTAGGTCTATGAATGGAGACTAACAGTATTTGTCATGTTCCAATGAGATGAAGATACAAAGATCAACAGGAAGTCCATCAGTGTTTATCAACTATTTACTCAGAAATCGGTTAGTAATGAGCTGCAGTGTGAGGATGCACCACAAAGCCTTGTTTCAGTTGTTGTGTGGGTTTGCTGCAGACAAACAGCCCTCACCCCTTCATTTCTCATCAGTGGGGTCCTGATGCTCTAATTTCACACCTTTTAACCACATCAGTGTGCACATGTGCAGCCTCCGCTCAAGGCATCGTGACATGACTATAAAATTTCCTGTCAGAAGGTGCATGCAGCTCCTATAGATGCAGCAAACATGGACGTTGCTGCATTGTTTTAACACCGAGAGCTTTTTGATTCTCTCTTCTTTCACTTCTGCTCAGCGTCCGTCACCGTGCGTCCGCTGTGTTGACCAGGTTGACAGATTTACCTGCTCACAGCACCTGAGTGTTGACTTTGATTTTACATCTGCCAGGGGAAATACTTTGAGATTCAGTTCAGCAGAGGAGGAGAGCCGGACGGTGGTAAAATTTCAAACTTCCTGCTGGAGAAGTCGAGGGTGGTGAGCCAGAATGAGAGCGAGAGGAACTTCCACATTTACTATCAGGTCAGAGGCAGATGAACACAGTCACAGATCAGTGGAGGAGGCCACATGATGCCTAACTTCTCCTGTACCTGCGCTGTTGTCTTCCAGTTGATAGAGGGCGCCAACGCTCAGCAGAAGGAGGCCCTGGGCATCATGACCCCAGACTACTACTACTACCTCAACCAGTCTGGGACGTACAAGGTGGATGGAACCAACGACAGCAAAGACTTCCAAGAAACCATGGTACAGACTGTAGGACCTAACAGTAGATGTGTGCTCTGACTTATCTTGATTTTATGGCGCCCCATGACAGGAAAAGCATGAATAACCTGCCGGGGGGGCCTGGATGTAACCGCTTTTGGCTGCAAACAAATATTCTAAGGAAGCGATCTGACAAGTTTGGCAGGGAATCATCACTCTGATGGAACCGCTGATGGTCACAAGATTACGAGGTTGTGTAGAATAAAGAGGCCACAAAGTGAACACAGTGGCAACCACAAGTGTCCTGTGCTTTGAAAATAAGTGCTGTATTCTAAACACAAACTAATTCAGGAGTCAGCTGATACCATGTTTAAGAGGAAACTCGTCTTTGACCAACTCTGTTAACACAACGAGCCTGAGGAGGCCTTGGTGCATGTGTTTATTTAGACAGGGGAGCTTACAGGGCTGGAAGTCAACTGGCCTCACAAAGAGTTTTTTTTAATTGTAGTACATATTCTGAGCTTCTTAAATCTTGCCTACCGCATTCCCTCATACATTATAATGAAAAACGGCATAAAACTTAGTGTAAAAGGGATGAAAAAAAAATTTTTAGTTAAAAAAAAAGTTTTTTTTTTTTTTTTTTAAATGTCACAAAATCACTTTAGGGGCTGTGAAACTAAATTTAAAAAAAATAAAAAATAAAATTAACAAAACAAAAAAAAAAGAAAACTAATTAAAAATAGTAGTTAATATATTCTCCCCAAGATCCTAGAAAATAGAAAACTTGGTGATTTTATTAAAATTAAATAAAATTCCTCGAAAGAAGAAGTAAAAATATTGGAAAATGTTTTTAAAAATCTAATTTGACAGCAGGAATCAGTGTTTTTTTTCTGGGCTAATTTGAGTTGTTGGTAATCAAGAAGACCAAAAACAAATATGCAAACAATTACACATTTGCAGTAAAAGTTAAAATCCTGGTGTCTTAATTTCGAATTTATCACCAAATCCCACACAAACCTTGATGAACAGCCTGCGTTTCTATATGTTTTACAGGTTTCTTTCAAAGAGAGCTTTTTACCATTTATTCTTCAGCGTTGATGCATTATTATTATTTGACATGTACGATGGAGCTGTGAGTGATGATCGACACACAGAGTGAACAAAAAGAACAGTCATGATGATCAGAAAAATGTTGAAAATCAGATCTGATAATCATCCAGGCTAATAATCGCTCAACCTCTATCTGGCAGTAAAATATTTTCACCTCCATGTTTGCTGTCTGATCTGTCACAAACCGTCTGCTTCTCGCTCTGCTTCGTCTCTGTTTGGCCTCCAGGAAGCCATGCAGGTGATCGGCATCCCGAGCGACATCCAGACTCAGGTGCTGCAGATCATCGCAGGCATCCTCCACCTGGGAAACATCAGCTTCATAGAGGCGGGCAACTACGGGCAGGTGGAGAGCACAGACTGTGAGTCAAACACAATTAGGCGAATCCAACCCCTTTTCCATTGAGCCCCTCAGGAATACGAGCAAATTAGAGCAACACCACGACAAAGCCAGTCCCCTGGCAGACGCCCAGCTAATTGATAGAATCTGCACACATCATTACTATCTTGTTTACCTTCTCCTGTGTTTGCTGCCGAGGGATTCCCTCCCCAGCAGATAATTGGTGTTTACATCCAGGGTGGCGGTTGTGCCGTTCCCCAACCGCTGTCTAGTGTTTTTCAATTTATTTCTTTCATTTACAGTGGAAACACACACTTTCATTCATTCTGCACGCTTCAACGCAAACATGTCAGAATCTTCATTACCAGCCTATTGTTGTCACGATGAATGTAATTATGAACAAAACAACCTTGCTTTTATTTGCCCCAGTGCTCGCCTTCCCGGCCTATCTGCTGGGCATCGACCCCAACCGCCTGCAGGACAAGCTGACCAGCAGGAAGATGGATTCGAAGTGGGGAGGGAAGTCCGAGTCCATCAACGTCACGCTGAACCAGGAGCAGGCCACCTACACCAGAGACGCCCTGGCCAAAGCCCTCTACGCACGCCTCTTTGACTACCTGGTGGAGGTAGTCACGCTGCACAATACGCAGCTGCAATAAAAGCAGACTGCATAAAACGACCCATTCGCTTTTTATCTACCTGAGATACAGTATGTACACAATGCATCTGTGTTTTATAGCTCACCTCTGTCTTCTCCAGGCCATAAATAAAGCCATCCAGAAACCATATGAGGAATTCAGCATCGGTGTTCTTGACATTTACGGCTTTGAGATATTCCAGGTTGGTCCTCTTATCGCTCACGGATGCATAACGTTTATAGGCAGCCACTAAAATGGCAAGTGGTCGTTTTACACGCGGCGCGGCACAGCAGGGTTTGTTTTATAGTGGCAATAATCTCACATTGACTCCATTGTGCTTTCTCCTGCAGAAAAATGGCTTTGAGCAGTTTTGTATCAACTTTGTCAACGAGAAGCTGCAGCAGATCTTTATTGAACTCACGCTGAAGGCTGAGCAGGTAGCTTGTGTGTTTCTGTATGTCGGTTGAAATGTTGAAATGGGACTCTGTTTGCTACAGTGAAAGAATGAGCTTCTCTTCAGTCTGAATATGTTTTAAATATATTTGTCCTGAAGCCATTTTGCATTAGTTTCATTTGAAATATTTGCTCCTAATTTCCTCTCAGGAAGAGTACGTTCAGGAGGGCATCAAGTGGACGCCCATCGAGTACTTCAACAACAAGATCGTGTGCGACCTCATTGAAAATAAATTGGTGAGCTTTAACTGCATCATCTTATAAATGCATACAAGGTTCACACAGATCGAGTTAGGGTGTGTTTTGTGTGTATTTCCAAAAAAAACTGTAAAAATCACCTAATGTGTCCAAATCGTAGCGGTAGTATGAGGTGATGCTGCTGCTTTGACCCCATTTGTCATGCATTTGGAACCAAAACTACGTCAACTTATCAGAAAATGTATTTAACATAATATAAAAGTCTATAATGAATACCAACAAATATTTTGCACATATTCTTTCTTGGTGTCCAATGGACCCCAAAAGACCTGGGTGGCTGGGTGTAGAGAGGGTTGTCCTCCAGTCGTAAGGTTGGCGGTTCGATTCCCCCGCCCCTCCACAGGCGAAGTGTCCTTGGGCAAGACCCTGAACCCAAAGTTGCTCTCAATGGCAGGCAGCACCTTGCATGGCAGCTCTGTCACCATTGGTGTATGAATGTGCGTGAATGGGTGAATGAGAAACACATTGTAAAGCGCTTTGGATAGAAGCACTATATAAGTGCCATTTACCATTTACCTTCTCCGTATGGCAACATGAAAGTCCTGAACAGGGTTAGAGTGATCTTGCTAGACAAAGAGACTTCAAATTTGTCTTGCTTGACTCAGAAAATGTCGGTGTCTTGTTCTTTTATCAGCTCCATACCATCAAATAATGATTTCTTATGGTGTATATTTACATTAGGAGAGTTTGTTTGTTCCAAGATACGTAGGAAACACCAGTAAATACCAGTAACATGCTTACAAAGCCCTCGCCTTCTTGCAGAACCCTCCCGGTATAATGAGCGTGCTGGATGATGTGTGCGCCACCATGCATGCCAAAGGAGAAGGCGCAGACGGCACGCTGCTGCAGAAGCTGCAGGCTGCCGTGGGGACGCACGAACACTTCAACAGCTGGAACTCCGGCTTCGTCATACATCACTATGCAGGGAAGGTAGGAACCTGAAATCAATCAAAACGAAACCACCAGAAACACCGACCTTCAACTACGTCAGATATGTGTTGTATGTATTTATACCTGCATGTCTTGATGATGTGTTGAGGTTTTAGTTTTAGGAACACTGCAACAATTGCTTTTTAAAAAAATGTTTGATGTTATGAAGCAAAACATCACATTAAATTACTTATTTGTGGAAAACTATGATGCTGACCTGCTTGTGGTTGCCATTAACAACATTTGAACTCAGAAGTGTGCAGCAAAGCCTGACGGTGTTCCTGACTTACTGACGACGTCCGTCTGGTTGATAACGTCTCCACAGCACTTATATTGTCTGGTGTTGTCTCAGGTGTCATACGATATCAACGGCTTCTGTGAGAGAAACCGGGACGTGCTCTTCCCCGACCTCATCGAGCTCATGCAAAGCAGTGAATTGTGAGTCTCCTTCGTCAGTCTGATGGTTTCCTTCCTGGTATGTTTTGTAAAGCAGCCCAGTTGAATCATTATGTGAATATATCTCCGTAGTGACTTCATCCGCAGCTTGTTCCCTGAAAACCTCAACACAGACAAGAAAGGCAGGCCGACCACAGCCAGCTCCAAGATCAAGGTCAGAGCCTGTTTCCTAACCTCGACTCTACCGCTTAACGCAGAAGAAAGAAAGATGTTTTGAGGTTGTGACAGCACATTAATCACATTGGTGTTTCCAACAGAGACAAGCTAATGATCTGGTGAACACGCTGATGAAGTGCACTCCTCACTATATCCGCTGCATCAAACCCAATGAGACAAAACGGCCCAAAGACTGGGAGGAGAGCAGGTCGGCACGCTCACCTTCACACGTATGCAAACGATAGAACTTCTTTGAGGAAACCCTTCTTGATTTATGCCATCTGTTTTTAGAGTTCGGCATCAGGTTGAATACCTGGGACTGCGGGAAAACATACGAGTACGCAGGGCTGGGTTTGCATATCGCCGCGTCTTCAACAAGTTTATGATGAGGTGAGTGTAATCATGCATAGCTGAATACGCATCTCCAGCATTTCTGTGTGTTTGCTTCAAAAGAACAACACAGCTCAAAAACACACCCTTACAGTGATGTTTGTGTGTGTGCTGGATGATCCAGATACGCCATCCTAACAGCTGAGACATGGCCGTGCTGGAGGGGTCCAGAGCAGCAGGGGGTCCTTCACCTCCTCCGATCCGTCAACATGGACAACGATCAGTACCAGATGGGACGCACCAAAGTGTTTGTCAAGAACCCAGAATCGGTACAGAACTCTGTCTGTATTCTCTCCATGTAGTCCACTCTAGGCTTTATTTTATGTCTGTGTTTACCAGTGGTGACATGTAACTAATCTAACAGTTGAAGAGCTTAGAAAGTATGATAAAATATGAGATAAGAAGGCCGGGATATACAGACAGGTGACAAAGTGAAGGAAAAATCTTTGACACCTTCAGTGAAGGGAACTTCTGGTTCAGGGAAGTATTTTGCCGCCATTGTTGGGGTATTCCCATATTCCCTTAAATTAAAAAGTCACTGCAAATATACACCACTTCGTCCTCTTGGGGGGCTGGAGTCTATCCCAGCTGACTCAGGGTGAAGGCAGGTTCACCTGGACAGGTAACCAGTCTATCACAGGGCTACACTTAGAGACAGACAACCAAGCACACTCACATTCACACCTACGGACATTTTAGAATCACCAGTTACCCTCAGCATGTCTGTGAAGATTCTCAGTCATCCAGGTCACGGTTGTTCTCGTAGTTTAATCGTAGCAACTGGACTTGCTTGAGTTCCTTGAGGACGTTTCACCTCTCATCCAAGAGGCTTCATCAGTTCTGACTGACTAGTTATGTTATGCATAATGAGGGGGAGGAGCAACAAACGTCCAGTTGAAACTCAGGTGTTAATGGCTCCTTCAGGATATCAGTATCTGGAACTCCCATCTAGTCAGTCAGAGCTGATGAAGCCTCTTGGATGAGAGGTGGAACGTCTTCAAGGAACTCCAGCAAGTCCAGTTGCTACAATAAATCTACCAGAATAATTAACCTCAGCATGTTTCTGGACTGTGGGAGGAAGCCGGAGAACCCAGAGAGAACTGCACGGGGAGAACATGGAGACTCCACACAGAAAGACCCCGGGCGTTCTAACCGGGACGAGAACCGGGGATCTTCTAGCTGCTAACCACTGAGCCACCTTGCAGCCCACCTTTATCCTATGATGAACTATTTCTGTCCTGATGGCTGCAGTCTCTTCCAGGATGACAATGACCCCATCAATAGGGTCCACTAGTGGGTCACTGAAAGGAATGATAGAAATGATGTGAATCTATGGACTTCACAATCATCAGATCTCGACCCAACTAAACACCTGTAGGAGGTTTTGGACTCCATAACCATCATTTAAACACCAAATGAGGGACTGTATTTTGTCAAACTAATGCTGCATCCCACCAGTAGGGTTCTAGGGAATGCCAGAACCAATGCCAAGATGCACTGGAGGCCCAACATCCTACTAAACCACTTTATGTTGGTTTTCCCTTTAGTTTGTTACCTGTCTGTACGCTCTAAGCTGTTTTGTCCAACAACATCTGAAATGTCGAGAGTCTTCAGCTGTTCTGAAAAGCCACGCTCAAAGGCGAGGTGACAAAAGAAAAAATGGGTAGAGATGATATCATTTCAGTGTGGAGGATCGAGCACACAGCGGTTCACATGAAAAGGGACAGAAATAGATGTAAAGATTAAAAAGAGCAAACTGTTTCCTCATTCTTCAGCCAGACTGTCATCGATGAGTCCAGAAGGCTGCGCTGTGAATAATGTGGGTTAAAAAACATGCAGCTTGTGGCACACTTGGCTAATCCAGCATTAATGTTTGATGAGGGTGTTTCCTAAATTATCTGACAATCTGACAAGCGGTTCTGATGGAGCGTGTTATCCCCCTAAGTAATGCTGGTAAAATTAGCTCCAACGTGACAGCACCAAGTACATCAGCAATAACAAGCTATCAATTAAAATACTGTAAAACTCAGGGATCCAGTCTTATTTTTGATGCTTGTCATTTTAAAAAATGTGTCGATATATTAAGAAACTCTCTGCTTAGCACTTTAAAAGATGTGTAAGTGCTCCATGCTGTGTTTCCCCTCAGCTGTTTCTGCTGGAGGAGATGAGAGAGAGGAAGTTCGACACGTTTGCCAGGATCATTCAGAAGTCCTGGAGAAGATACATCGCCCGAAGGAAGTACGAGCAGATGAGGGAAGAGGGTGAGTTACACAAACAAGAGATTCCTCCACACGGCTCCCGCCAAAACGCACATTTTTGATTCTAAACGTTTGTCCCTCCAGCCTCGGACATCCTGTACAACTCCAAGGAGCGGAGGAAGAACAGCATCAACAGGAACTTTGTGGGAGATTATCTGGGCCTGGAGCAGAGGCCTGAGCTGCGACAGTTCCTCGCCAAGAGGGAGCGCGTCGACTTCGCCGATTCAGTCAACAAGTTTGACCGCAGGTTCAAGGTGAGGAGCTTCATGAAGTGTTGTGTGTTTTTTCCTTTAAAGAATAAAGGAAAGGGTTATGTTTAGTTTATGGATCAATAAGACAGTGATGTCATAGTTGTGAGATGACACATTCATGCCCCTTTTAAACAGTGATGACTAAGACTTCACACCACACTGCTTCTCCTTTCTGCTGTCTTTCTTTCCCCCCCACAACCCAGTCTATCAAGAGAGATCTGATCTTGACCCCCAAAGGCATCTATCTGATCGGTCGAGAGAAGGTGAAGAAGGGACCTGAGAAAGGGCAGATAAAGGAGGTGCTGAAACGAAAGCTGGAGTTCGCGAGCATCAGCGGCGTCTCTCTGAGGTCGGTTTCTCGTGTCATGTGTGGTTGATGTTGTGGTGAAAAATGCAAGAAGTCGCACGCTACTGAGTCTGTCATTAACCGCTGTGTGCGAAGCATCTGGTGCAGGAGGGGGGGAGTAAATATAGAAAATGGACAGATTCTACAGAACTGAGAATTCACAGAATCTGACCTTCTTTGTGTCGCTTTACCGGCTAAAATCTGACATTTTTAGGGCCAGTTCCAAAACCACGAAATGATTGAGGTGAAAAATGCTTCATTTAGACGTTTTTATTTCACTCTTTTTCACAACTATCTAGAAAAGTAATTGAACCAAACCCTGAGACTAGAGTGCTTTCTTAAATGAGTTCTTGTGGTAGATATAAACGAGTACGACACACTGAAAGCATGATGCATGATTAATGATCACCGCTGCTGTTACCACGATAAGCACCTACAACCGTCATAACCTGAGCAAAAGCTATTGCTGCCATTATTACTTGCTTATTATTACCTCCCAAACTGTTAAAAATTAAGCCGCTCATTCTCAGCCTGTTTGTTTTTGATCTCTTATCATCGTCGTCTGCTCAGGCCCTTTGTCGCACTTCAGATACGTATGGGTTGTTCACAGTTCAGCCAAAGAGACTCTGAATATCTCACATAGTTTCTTTTTTTAACAACAGTTAGACGTTAAAGGGGGCAAATATTGTGTTTCCTGTTTCTTACCCCATCAGTCACCTCACAGCCTCTGCAGGTTTACATTGTGACCTTTTGCAGGCTGAAGTCACTGGACTAGACTGTGTAACCCTACTGGGTGGTTAAAACGTGGAGCAAATACAGCAGTAAAAGCTGACACATCGATAATTCAATGTCAGATTATCATTCATTATAAAACATTCAAATGTAAAAAATTTCAGCAAAATAAATGCTTTCAGATGTATGTTCTCACGTGTTTGATGCAAAGTGGCCTCATGTTGCTTCCTTGTGTCGTTTTGTGTGTCATTATTATAATTTTGTGTCTGCTTTATGTTGTTTCCTGTCTCTTTTCGACAATTTTGTGTTGTCTTATGTTTTATTTTGTGTCTCGTCTTTGTTATTTCATATTTCTTTGGGTCTGTTTTGTTTCCTTTCTGTCGTTTTGGGTCTTGTTTGTGTCATTTTTCCTAATTTTGTGTCTATTGTTTGTCATTTTTTCTCATTCTATGTGTCATTTGTGCCTTTTATTCTTATTTTGTGTCTGCTTTATGTTGTTTCCTGTCTCTTTTTGACAATTTTGTCTCCAATCTGTTGTCTTATGTCTTATTCTGTGTCTTGTCGTGTGTTGTTTCTATCATTTTGCGTCTCGTCTTTGTTATTTCATGTTTCTTTGGGTCTGTTTTGTTTCCTTTCAGTTGTTTTGGGTCTCGTTTTTGTCATTTTTCCTAAATTTTTGTGTCATTTGTGTCATTTTTTCTCATTTTGTGGCCTTTTTGTCTAATTTATTGTCTTGTGTTAACATTTTTTGTTCACGTCAGACTGTCAGTATTTACAGTGGCCTGCCTGTCATTCTTGTTTGAGGCTCCAAAAAATGGCAGATTTTATAGTTTTTAACTGTATTTTGGAATAACAGAACACTACTGTTAGGATTTGGCTGTGTTTTAAAGTCCTTTATCACAGTGTGCATAGTAATAGAGTATTTTCACACTTTCACACTAAATATGTCTTCCACTGTCTTTAAGGACCTTAAGTCGAACTTTTTTCAGAACTGTTTTGTCAACTTGAACTTCTTTCAGTGTTTCAGCTACAAGTCCCACTTCCCTTTTCTTTTTTTAATCTCGGGTCAGAAGCTCTTAACAGTTGTTTTTTTTTGTTCTTCAGTACGAGACAGGACGATTTCTTCATCCTGCACGAGGCGCAGTATGACAGTCTGCTGGAGTCCAACTTTAAGACAGAGTTCCTCAGTTTGCTCTCTAAACGCTACGAGGAAGTGACCAAGAGAAAACTGACAATCTCCTTCACTGACAGGTAACAGAGCATACAAGCTTATTGGTGTAAGGAAGCATACACACACACACACTGACCACTAACACGCTGTCTGTGCGCTCAGACTGGAGTTCAGAGTGAAGAAGGAGGGCTGGGGTGGAGGAGGCTCCAGGGTGGTGGTGTTCCAGAGAGGCCAAGGGGACCTGGCTCAGCTCAAACCTGGAGGGAAGACCCTCTCCATCACAGTAGGGGACGGTCTCCCCAAGTCCTCAAGTAGGTTCAAAGAAATAATGACCACCTTGAAATAAGGAATAGCAAGGCAAAGAAAATGTTAAACACAAAAGTACAAAGATAAGGAGACAAGAATCCATAAATAGCAAAGAAGAAGTGAAGAAGGATGGAGTCCTGATGTTGTAAATGTACGTTTATTTCAGAGCCAACGAGGAAGTCTGCTCCACAGTCTCGTGGCGGAGGAAGAAATCATGTCGCCAGCAGAGGTAGGCCACTACTTGTTCAGTTCTATCTACAGTCGTGAACAAAAGTTTACACACACATGTAAAGACCATGTAAAGCATGGCAGTCTGGAGTTTCCAGTGACTCCTGCTGCTCTTGATTTTCTACGATGGAATGATTGAAACACACACATCTTTGTCACCAAAAACAATCCTGCATTCATGGATTTATTATAAGTCTTCTGGAAATAGGACAAAATCTGCTGGGTCAGAAATATGCATACACTTTAATGATCAGTGTTGCTGATGTAGAAAGCTGTAGTCAGCAAACTGTCTTCGTAGCAGCATGGCCTCTTAACTTCTCGCTGATTGACTACAGCTCCTGCCTCCTCTGAGCCGGTTTAAATATGACCCGCATGATGCACGTATTACACTCAGTCACAAACACTACAAGGGGAAAGCCTGAGAAGCTCAGCAAAGATCTGAAAAAGCAAATCATCGACTCGAACAAGTTAAGAAAGTCACTTGGGGCTATTTCAAAGCTGCTTCAGATCTTAAAGTGTCCTCTGCACACAGCTGTTTGTAAATGTAAAGTGTATAGTTCAGTTGTGTCGCTGCCACGATCAGGAAAAAACACCAACTACCACCTCCTGCTGAGAGACAGCTGGTCAGGATGGTCAAGAGTCCACCAAGAATCACCTAAAAGCAGGTCTGCAATGAATAAGAAGCTGCTGGAGCCCAGCTGTCAGTGTCCACGGTCACGTCCATGAGCTGAGAGGATGTTCCTCCAGAAGCAGCACCTTCAAGCTGAAGTTTGCTGCTGATCACATGGACAAACTTCTGAAGACCAGAAATATGTTTGGAGGAGAGAAGTTGAGGCCTTTAACCCCCAAAACACGATACCTACCGTCAGCATGGGGGTGGCAGTATCATGCTGTGGGGACGTTTGATGCCCCAAACACACATCAAAAGTGGTAAAGGAATGGCTAAATCAGACTACAATTAAGGTTTTTGTAAGCCTTTGTCCACAACTGGATCAATCATTCCCACTAATGCAAACTATGAAATACATTTACTAGCTCTATATTAAAGGACTTATTTGTAAATCGTTGCAGTAGCTGCACTTTATTCTATTTTAAATTTTACTCTTCTATATTTCAAATGTTCTTCTTTTTACACATCTGCATTTATTCGATACCTTTCGCTGGTTTCTTCAAAGATCAAGGTTGTAAACACAAAGCATGTGATCTTCTTACACACAGTGACGTCTTGTTGCAGCTTCAACTATCCTGCAGTGTGTTAAACTGTAAAAAAAAAAAAAAAACAGCTACAATAAAAAGATGTTGTATACACAGTAATGTAATATAACACTGACGGAGGTCATGTGAGTCACAACCAGTACTGAACCTCATGGACATTTACAGCTCGTACCTCCGTCACCGTATCGTTTGTCCTTATTTTGCTCTGCGTTCTCTCCTCAGCGCACCAGAACGGAGCAGCCAAGTTTTCCAGAGGCCCTCACAACCAGCAGTCAGAGATCACATATTCCGCCCCACACAAGCAGGGCCGGCCGCCCAGCGCCGCCCTGCCCAAACTGGGTTCCCAGAGAGCCCCCCGGCCCCCAGCAAACAACCAGTACAACCAGTCGAACTTGGACTTCCTGAATGTGCCTGACCAGGGCATGTCAGGGTAAGAGACGCCACCTTTTCAGTTATATATAATAAAAAAATAAAACAGCAAGAAGGCGCGTGTGGGCGGATCAGATTAGTCAGTAAAATGGCTGCATACAGGTTTATTGAGCTCAGGGCTTGTCAAGGTGAGGCTCAGAGCTCCCAGAGTCCAAACAAATGGCTGAATGACACAGTGGGACAGAAAAACCTGTTTATAAGTGAACTGAAGGCCTGAACGCCACCTGGCCAAGTGCTGCTCCACTAGCTTCAGGGATATATATGTAAAACAAACAAGTTTGTAACGCACATCACACTCAGAGGTGGGTCAGAAACATTACAGAGAGGGATGAGACTGAACAAATGGGGGCTTAAAAACCAGGGCACACATTTAAACACTCTCCCCTTAACTTGTTTTTACACACGACTGTGCGTACATGTAGCGTAGAGTTGTGTGAATAAAGAGGAAAGAGAGCGTGAGAGAAAAGCCTGCTAGCGTCCTCACCTCTGCACACATTACCAGTCTGTGCACGACGGGGACATTAATATTGAATTGTCAGTTTCTGAAAGCTACAGGTGGAAAAACCCCAGTTTTGATGTCAGAGATGTGTGGGAGGAGGCTGTTTGTAATTCTGACAAGCAGTTTGTTTAAAGGATACTGAATACAATCGGAACTTAATGCAGTCTGTCATTGAAGGTTGATGTGCGTACGAGAAACTGGATTTTTTTTAGAACATCACTGCGTCTATTATAACCAGCCAAACTCTCTCTAATGCATCTTTCTACCAACTTTACCTTTAATCTCTGCTGCCATGTGACAAGCAGGTCCATGGTGAAGTTTAATCCAAGTTTGGGGTTTTGGTAATTTGCCTTAATACAAATGTCTTACAGTATTAAAAGAGATCTGCTATAAACCCACAAACCTGCTGTCTGTGGATTAACTCTGTTTTCTGGCCATTTAGGCTCCAAGAAGCTTCAAGAGTTCAGCATCTCCTTCATCCTTCTATCATTTGTGTCTCTTTGGTCACAGGAAGCAGAGGAGAAGGAGCATCAACCAGCGACCTCCTCCTGCTCCTAAACCTCAGGCTCGCCCTCAGGGGCCCCGCTGCCGGGCCTTGTACCAGTACGTGGGCCAGGACACGGACGAGATCAGCTTCGACGTCAATGACGTGTTCGACCTCGTCAAAGAAGGTGTGTGGATAAAAGAAAGAAAAAATAGAGACTGAATCAAAAACATCTGATAACGGTGGTGGGTTAGAAATGATTCACTGTCTGTGCGTCTCTCTGCAGATTCATCGGGCTGGTGGACGGGCAGGATCCAAGGAAGGGAAGGTCTCTTCCCGGGTAACTATGTGGAAAAGATTTGATGAGGACTTGACCAGCCTGTTTTGTGTTATTTGAGAAATATGTGTAATACGTGTAAAGCAGCACATGCTGTTTGCAAAAGGACCTGCCTGGGAGTCGTTGCATCGTAGATCTTCGGCCATAATGGAAACGTTGCTGTTTAAAGGTGGACATTTGCTGACATTTGATACACAACTAACTTGTCTGGCAGCGTGAAGCATGAACAGAGCACGGGACACCTGCCTGTCATGGTTGTTAGAACAAAACTGCAAAGAGCTGCTCAGGTTTCGTCTCTGTTGTTGTGTCAGACGCTGCAAGAAGATCTTTGACTTTCCCACAACACCTTTCTGTGAGTCGCTTCTTCGCTGAATGTGACTTAAAGCTAAAGTTACAGAAAAGTGACCTGAAAATACTGCACGGCTTCCTGGTGTCTACGGTGTTTCTATTTGCCTGAAGCTTTTCTCCAGATCAGCATCCAGCGCCACACGGTACTGCTCAGTACTGCTCAGTATTCTTCATTAAATCAGTACGACCAGGTAGTGACATTTGAAAAACATTTAAAAACATATTTCTGCAGCAAAAAAAAACTTGCTTCTGATAAAATCAAAGTCTTTGAGCAGAGCAATATTTTGATTTCAGTTTTTTTTTTTTTTTCTATTTGTTGATTTTTACTGAAATGCTTCTGGGTATTTTCACCTCCATAACAACAAAAATAAATATATTTTCATACTTTTACCTCAAGGACTGTGCACTGGTCTCTATCAGTACGTTATAAGACATTTTTGAAGTTAATGAAACATTTTTTAAAAACATACTGAAAGAAAGGGGTGAATACATGATTTTATGTTTGTATTTCTGCCAAATTTGCATTTGATTTTTGTAAAATAATGATTGATAATGATGATGATTTACTCACCGTCAATCAATGTGTGATTTTGTATATGACCTAGAAGAAAAATAAAGTTGTTTTTTCCAGTTCTTGTATTTTTTTAAGACTATCAAAGTCAAATATTTTTTAAAAATTACATTTTAGTTGTCATAAATAAGGCACAGTGAAAGATAGGACAGAGTGCAAGATATTTTAAATGCAAAAACACAAAGCAAGCCACAGAAATAATAGTTTTTAAAAAATGGTGCATATAACCAGAAGTTGACATCCACTGCATCCACAGGACTACAAATGGAAATGCATATTGACATAACAGATTTCTTCAGGATCGTAGAAATGAAGATATTTCTTCTAAAAGTGAAAAAAGTCAATCAAGGTCAACTTACACTTTATTTCTCCCAAGTTTCCAGCACCTGAGACACATGCAGCTGATAAACGTCTCATAAACCCGACAGCACCGAAAACCAGCAGCATAAAAACCAGAGAACACATCCAACCACAGCAAACATAAAACGTGCAGCATCACATCAGCCTCCCACACGTTCATCTGTTGCACATAAACACATCGGCAGCAGCAGCAGCACCCTGCATTACATGATGTCCTGATGCAGCCGAGATGATGTGAACGTTTCTCGTACTTTCTTCCTGAAGGGCTGAACTCTGGAGCTCACAGGGCAGGATGGAGGTTTTCTGTTTCTGCTCAGTCTGTTCATAAACCAGCTGTTGTGACAAGCGTATTTGTAATACAGACGATATTCATGGCAGCTGGCCAATTTCAGCTGAACCAGTTTCCAGATTGAGTAGTGACTATAATAGTCATGTCTTAGTGTCAGTCTCTGCAGAAAACACAACACTCAACACTCTGTGCTGTCATGTAACATCCAGCTGAGCGTGGCATCACTCTGTAGTGTCAGAACATCTGAAGCTCTTTATTTGTGTTAATGTTCTTTATGTTCTTTGCAGTCAGGGAACAGCGTCGTATCTGCAGCACACTCTCAGCAGCCAGGACTTCATCTAAAGCTCTGCAGCCTGCTGTAATTGGATTGACCAAAGCCTCTCGCTTGGTGCGACACTCCAGGTTTTCTGTGCTCCTTTCGGCCCCTGAGAGATTATTTAAGAGCACGATGCTGGCTCAGCGATCAGTGATCATCACGGCAGTGTGTATGGTGGAAGTACTTTTACACAAGTATTACACTAAAGTTCAATTCTAAAGTGTTCTTTTCATTCGTCTTCATTATATTATATTTCCACTCCACTACAGTTTAAAGGGAAATTTTGAACTTTTATTAAAGACAAGATCATCTTCACAGATCCCTCAAAGGGAGAAATTTACATTTTACAGCAGCTCAATAGGGGCTAGAAATAAAGATCTAATAAAGAATAACTTATATGAGTATGTACACATGTGACATGAACATTTAACATTTTAGCTAAAGATTTCAATTCATAGTAAAAAATAAAATAAATAAAATCCCTTACTGGCTAAGATGAGATTTAATCATCATTGGGGCAGTCAAATTTATTTGTAATCAAAATAAGATTTTAAAAAATGCAACACTAAAACCACGTACTAGTGCATCAGTGATATGAATACAGTCATTTAATATAATACTTGTGTTTTATTATCGGAAAGATGTCGTTCATTTTTCATTCGTGTATACTACTTGAAGCAGAATTAGTAAAATACAGTACTTGTACCACCAAAGTTAATTGTGTAAATGTGATTACTTTGCCACTGATTTGTACCAGTTTGCATAATAAACACTCACTCACTGTATTTTCTTGCTAATCTGTACAGAATGTGTTCTGTGACAGCTTAAGGCAGTTTTGTTTATGCAAAACTACACTGCTGCATTTACTGACAGTATAAAACAAAGGAAGACAAAAGGAAAGGAAATACCACTTGTGCCTCCACCAGTGCGTTAGTAACACACATACTCAGGCCTGGCAGTGGAATGAACCACACACACCTCCTCCTGCACATACCTGCTCATCTGCACGGGCAGATGGACCGGTTGAGCCTCCTGTCTGCGGAAGACCTGAGATTACACAGCAACTGCCTGCAACACCTGGTCAAGGTATCGGTTTCATCTATGAGTGGCTCGTTCACGTTACAGCTTCCATGTGAAGGATCTGGACTCCAGACGGTGGAGTTCACAGACTTTGTTCAGTGAGGTAAAAACAACAACAACAACAACAACAACAACAACAGCGCACGGCTCCGTCCCATCACCGTGATGACGTATCGACTCAACCATGTGAAACCGTTCGCCGGTGACGTCACGCTCTCGTGCAACCGGACCGTCCCGATCCTCCGCCCCGTTAAATCCACCTGCTGCACCTGCAGCGAGGCAGCGAGCGCGCGGCGGGAGGCTGGATGCGAGCAGCATGGGAGGTAAGAGCTGCTCACACTTTGTCGCTCTCTGTTGGGTTTCATTCTACTTTTCATGAGTCTGTTGGAACAACACTGATGCTGAAGCTGTGACAAGAAGTCACCAGAATATTCCCTTTGTTCCTCCGATCAGTAGCGGCTCTGCTGTCAGTGACTGTTCATCAGCTTCATGTAACCTGGACTAACTCAGTTTACTGTCACATAACCGCACCTGTTTGTCATATCTGCTGTATTTATTCTGCTACCTGCTGTATAAACGCCCAGAGAGCAGCAGAGGGTTTAAATGGTAAAAGGTGTTTCAGGTCAGCCTGTGAAGGATTGTCAGTTTCTCCTCTACATTCATTTAAAAACTTCAGTTCCCAGTTATTTTATAGATTCATGGGTGTGTTTCTGTGTGGATGAGGACAAGAGATCAGTGATCAGCAGGTGGAAGTTCACCAGGTAGATATCAGTATTTGAACTGACTCCACCTTTACCTGCCAAACAGCTTGTCCCAGCTGTGCATCAATAGTTGCTAACCAGTGATAGAATATACTAAATGTGTTGTATTTTACTGTTTAGAAATTAGTGAAGTACTTTAATGCAGGACTTTTTTTAAAAAATTATTTTATATTTTTAATTTTTAAGTAAACATATATTTATATATCTTTATATATTTTTATTGTCTTTATATTTTTTATTCTTTATTCTATTCTTAATAAAAAAAAAACGCATATCAAACAAGAGCTCGGGTCTTAAGAGGTTAAGGTAAAAGAATTACATTTTTTATTAGTTGCACCCATAGATTAGGACAGATCTGCTTCTTTCTGAAGTTTACAATGTTTTTGACTTTGGCAGAATGTGTGACTTAGTTTTCATCACTGAAATAAGCTTGCAGTGACTACATCATACCCGTTATTCAACTTTTGCTCCTCCCTATTTAGGCTGCATACATGAAGACAGCACCGCCGCTATTTGACCTCAATACAGTTTAAATAGACATAAACATAGAATTCAAGTAACACTTCCATGACATTTATAAAACTTAGCATCGAGGCCCGACTAAAACGCTGTTCCACCTGAAAACAACATCCCCAGATTGAGCTCCACAGCTATAAGGCCAATACTGGAACATAACCCATCACCCTGTTTCAATCAGTAGGTCGGAGAAAAGGTCTGAAAAAGTCACGTGAAAGCTTCAGGTTAATCTAAAGAGTTAATTAGAGAGTAAATAACAGCCCAGGTTTTGTTCCTTTGGTTTGTTGTGTATGAAACCCTGGACAGCCATGGCTTTGACTGCTTGTGTGTCTTTCAGCGTACAAAAAGCCCCATAAGGGCATGTTAACACGCCAAAAGACTGCTTGATTTTCACCAAAGGGGGTCTTCACCAATGCAGCAAATGCTACGTTCGCTTTAATTATAGTTCTTCAGTGATCGTACCGCCATCGGTCGTCTTATTGAAAAGTCAGATGCAGTCTAATCCGTTCTACAGGAGCTTCCATGTTTGAGTAAGTCATAAAAGTAGTTTTTCTCTAATCTGATCCTTTGTAAAATAAGCAGTGTCACAGTTAAAAGTGAAAGTCATGCGTTCAGGATTGTACTTAAAACAAGCATCAACATATAGTTTTAAATACTGAAAGTATCTGTACATGTTATGCAGAATTTCTGAATATTTTATTTGTATTACTCTTGGATTAGAATGATCTGGTGCATTAATATTAATTTGATGGTAAAGGTGGCTTTAATTTTAAATACTAAATCTCAGTATCTGCATCTTTTTTTACTCTGTCATGATGAGATATAAGAATGACAGTTATGAAATTACACATCCTTATGATCACACAGTCACACTATGTAGTATTTCTGGTTTTACGCTTGAGGATTAGTTGACATTAGCGAGATCACTGAGCCTGTAAAACAAGCTGAATAACGCCAGGATTATGTGGAGACGTCCTCCTGATGCATTGTGGGAAGTGTAGGATGCAGTAAAAAGTCTGGATATGTCCAACTCTCAGAAAGTGTTGTAGTTCTCACACATCTCACAGCACATTTAAATAACTATTTAAATAAAGTTGTGAAAGGCTGCCAGCCCACATTTAAATGCAGGTACTACACTGGAAATACAACTGAGGGGGGAAATGGGAACTGATTTCCATAAACCACCTATACAAATATTGTTCTATGAGAGAAACTGGCAGAAGCACCTTTATTTGAATCTGTAGAACTGCAGGTGTGTTGCTTATTATTGACCGATCGGAAGTCTGTGATCGCTGTTTCCCTTCTCGCTGTCTCTCAGGCGTTTATTCTCTTGAGAAGATGGCGGGAAGTTTCTCCTACGAGAGCTCAGAGATCGACTGGTGCGAAGACAACTACAGGCATTCTGAGCATGTGGTGGAGTTCTTCAACACTGTAAGTCCTGGTCAATACATCACTCAGAAAACATTCAGCAAAATCACCCAGCACCTGCAACTTAGCTGCAATTTACCACCATGTTTCCCCCCTTTTGTTTGGCTGATTGATTAAATGATTGACGTTTCCCCTGCAGACGAGCAGCTTTGTCTTCTTCATCGTATCTCCCATCATGCTCTACCTTCTGCACCCGTATGCCAAAGAAAGAAACCTGGCCATCCACCTGGTCTGGGTCATGATGATTTTTGTAGGTAGGTCGATTTGTTCCTTGTTAATGTTTAACTGTCAGATCATAATCTCCACACTCCCTGCCTCACAGACTTTGAGGTGTGTTCTCATGAAGTCATAAACATTTTAGCCTTTTATGCAAACTCTTGTGTAACTTTGCCTTTCTCCGTACTTTGCCTGATTTTAAAAAAAAAACCTACAGTTCATCTCAAGGTAAACATGAAATTACCAGAAGAAAAAATGTAAACAAAACAAGCGTGGAAGGAGCATCCAACCCCGACGTCACGAGAGAAAAGACGGTTACATGTGGCCATAAAGCCATAGCTCAGTGGTGACTCACAGCCACAACTCTGTGCACTCGTTTGTCCTCAACGGCAGGATGATGAATGAAACTTGTTGCACCGCATTTTGTGTGAAATATCAGATCTCTGTGTGGCGTGATGTCCCACGCTATTGTTTTTTTGCAGGAAGTAAATTCGACTGAAAGATAACAAGAAGTTATAGGCATGAAATGTAAAAGTTTTCTTTACATCAGTGGTTCTCAAAGATGCACATTACCAGAGGTCACTGAAATTAAAATCAATCATTAACACCCGGAAATGCGACTCATAAAAAAGGATCCGCGTTTAATTAATAAAGGATCAACACGATAGCATCAGCAAACCCGATATCACTTCATATCTTTCTCCTGGTCGTTCACGCCCCTCCTGCAGTGGCCCTGTGTCCCTTCAGGGGGCCCCGCCCTGCAGTTTGAGCACCACTGCCTTGTGTTAACATGTGAACAGGAGTCACCAACCCTGCACTTCATTTTTATAGTCTTGATTTCTTTATGGATGACTGAACAAATCATAAATCTGCCGTCGATGTGATAGCGGAGTGGTTTGGATGCACGCTGCATTTACACGTAAGCTCTGAGCGTCGCAGGCCTGGTTTGTGTCTGTCCAGTTTAAATAAGACCACGAAGCCTTCTGAAGACGAGTCTTGTATTGGTGCGGTAGTGATCTGACATGTACATAAATCGATGAATCGTTTTAGATGCTATATTGTACACATACAAATGAATTGCTAGAAAGCACAGGCAGTGTGGTGGAAAATATTAGGATCCGTCATAGGCTGTCATTTTTCTGTAATAAACGTTTTGTTTTATTTTCTAACAATCTAATCTGTTTAATCTTTCAAACAAACCGAGTATCTTTGTATTTTTGCGTCAGTGGTTGAACAAATAGGACATTTCAATTTGTGATGGACATCTTTGACTCTTTTCTGACATTATGGAGACTAAATTATTCATAAATCAACCAAGAAAGTAGTCAGGATGCAGGAAGCCGTCTTTCAAGGAAGTTTTGCGAAAGAAGAATTCTCCTTGTTTTATTTTAATCAATAAGAGAAGAAATTATGTCAAATATAAGCCCAGATTTATACAGAGAAAATATATTCGTCGTCCTCCCTTCGTCTCTGACTCCATTCACCATGGAACAGTTTTACTGTAAAACTTTTAACACGCCTCTTTTAACCACTCAGTCCTGTTTATTTGGTCCCATGTGTTATTTTCTTCTAGTAAATTGACTTGTTCTCTGTTCTTCGCAGGGATTTTCTCAGCGTACTTCCACATGACTCTCAGTTTCGTTGGTCAGATGTTGGATGAGCTGTCGATCCTGTGGGTGCTGGCGGTGGGATACGCCATCTGGTTCCCTCGCAAACTCTTCCCTTGGTTTATAAAAGACAGGTACGCTGGCCTTGTGACTAATAACCCAGCAACAGGTGCCTGATTTATGTTTCCACAAGCCCTTTAATTCATATGTGTGTGTTTCTACGGACTCCCGCAAAACCCAATAATCCTTTAACAAGACGAGAAACAATGAGTGTTTCCAAGGCACGCCACTGTGAAACCAAACCCGCGTCGGCTGCGGATCCAGTCCGACAGCTCCGGCAGGCGTCATTGTCACAACAGACACAATGTGGTGCTGCAGCCATCACCTGAACATGACAGAACAGGGGGCTCTGAAAAGGAGAACCCCGCCCAACTCGTGTAAATATTTAACCGCAAGGTGGAAATGAGGAATTAAAATTTGATCAGCACCTGAAAACAATCCCACACAACAATAACCTTGCTGGGATGTTCCAGGTTTCTCAAGCTGATGGGCTGCTCCTCGTGGACATGGAGGGATTACTGAGCCGCTGTTTGAAGTGACTGTTAATATTTCATGCTGGAAAGTCACAGAGCTCCATTAAACGCTGGGATTTCCTGGACACATGTTGTTGCCTCTTCTCTCCCACGCTTCTTTGTTGGCTTTGTGCCATTCAACATGGCTAACATCACACATCCTCATCACGTACTACACTAACTGCCACGTTCCAGGGTATTTGTTTATTCGGTTTGTGATGATTCATGTTTTGTTTTTCTTTCACCCTGCGTCTCACTCCTCTGTCACGACCTTTGAGCCACTAGTAGTGACACTGGTGAACATGGTGGAGCATTTTTAGCCACAAAAAGAAAAGTCAATATTGGACCTGCATTCATCAGGCCGTCACAATCGCAGCGTCCCAATGAAAGATAGTGTTGCACAATATCTGCTAAATGCAAATATTTCCCAACAACGTCGCCATATCAACCGAACAAAATGATGTTAGCTATTGCAGCTTCGAGACAACAGACTCTGTTTGTCAGCTTTTCTTTGGCACTGACAGTTTTTCCTCCCTCTCTCTGTTCGACCACAGGTCCACTTTTTCAAAGCTCGTCCTGGTGATCACCGTCGTCTCCTCGGTGTCATCCTTCGTCAAACCCACAGTCAATGCCTACGCTTTAAACTGCTTCGGCCTCCATCTGCTTTACACCCTGTTTCTGGAGATGAGATGGTAAGAAAAAGATGCTTCTTCTGGAAACTGTAGCCACACGTGGTGCAGTTTTGATGTCGTGTGATCACCAGTTTTCTCTCCTTGCCAGCTGCACTGACCAGAAGGTTTTGCGTCTCGCCAAGCTGTCGGTTGCTCTGTGGGGGCTCGCCATCTCCTGCTGGATTAGTGACCGCGTTGGCTGCAGTTTCTGGCAGCGGCTGAACTTCTGCTACCTCCACGGGATCTGGTAAGT